TATTGTAAAAGTTTAATAAAATAAATAAAGAATAATAAAACAATTCAATCAAATTATTTAAATAAACAAAAACACAATTAAATTAATTATTACTAATATAATTATATTAATTATTGTAAATATTAATTTTACTTATTATTATTTAGTAAATAAGTATATATATTACTAAATTAAATAATTCTTATTAAAAATATAAATTTATTAATTAATATTAAAATAAAAAATATATATAAAATTAAATAAAAATTAAATTATAAAATTAAAGTATTAATTATTATAATGACTAAAATAAATAATATATATTAAATTAAAAATACAAAATTATTAATTAATACTATAATATAAAATAAATAACATGTATTAAAATTAAATAAAAATTTACATTATAAATTAAATATATTATAATTGTTATTAAAAGAATAAACTAATAAATTTCATGTTTAAATATTTTATTCTTAATATATATATATATGTATATCATATTCAAAAATAAATAATTAAAATAAATTAAAATTAAATATTTAATTAAAAAAAATAAAATTAATGAATTTATTTTAAAAAGAAATAAAAATATATTTTTGTATTAGCTATTATAAAAGGTAATATTATATTAAAAATTAATATTATGTAATTAATTTATATAATATTAATTATATTTAAATTAATTAATTTAATAAAAAAATAAATAAATAAAATATAAATTTATATAATATATAAATTAACATATCTACAACAATTAATTGAAAATAATTAAATTTTACATTATTTTAAAAATATAAATAATCAATTAATAACTTTACTAATAATTACACAAATATTTATGTTTAATAAGAATATTATTACGATCATTAAAAATACAATAATAAAATATAGCGATTAATTTAATTTATTATAATTATTATAAAATTAATTATAATTTAATTAATTAAAGGGAATAATTAAATATTTAATAAAATTAAAATTTTATAAATTATTTTAAATAATTTAAATATATATATGTGTTCTTAATATATATATCCATTAAGAATTATTAAAGATAAATAATTAATTTATTGTTTGATATAATAGAAGCTAAATTAATTTTTTTTTTAATTTAATTTATTAATTTAATATATATAATTTTTTTTAATAAATTAAATTAAAAAAAAATAAATAAAGCATTATTAAATATTATTTATTGAATTTATATATTATATTTATTTAATATTATTTATTTAATTAATAATATAATTTAAATTATAAACATTTAATAATATTATTATTTCTTTAATAATAGTATAAATATGAATTAATTCTTATTTATATTAAATATTATATATTTAATTAAATTACTTAAATTAAAAATATTATATATAACTATTAAATAAAATTAAAATAATTAATTAATTAATAATATTACTCTTAATTTTATGTAGATATATTATATGAATTAATTTATATATATCTTTTAAAATATGTTCAATTAAATCATTGTTTATTTAATAATAATAAATAAGTAAAATTATATTTATTATTTATTTTTTTTTTATATTTTATAGGTTATTTAGTAAAAATAATTAAGTTATAATAATTATTATGTATTTTATATTTTATTTAATAAAAATAATTAAGTAAAATTATATTTATTATTATATTTTATTTTTTATTTAATAAAAATAATTATGTAAGATTATATTTATTATTAATATTTAATTAATTATAATAGCTTTTATCTTAAGTATACGCATATATTAAACGTAATAGTAATTTTAATTAATATAAGCCCACTAGAATAATTAAATGAGACAAATTAATAGAATGCCTTTGATGCAAAACGTGTACTAAGTAAATAAATTAATAAACACAATAAAAATAATGAAGTGTGTAATAAATTATATAACTAATACTGGTATTTTTATTAAATAATCTATTCAACGCATATTATATACATTATATTTTCATATATTCATAATTTAACTGATAAATGTATGATTAATTAGATATGATATAGCCCATAAAAACATATATATAATTTTCATTCACACTCGGGAAACTTCTGGAAGAAATAATAGTGTAATAAAAGGAAGCTAACGAAACATCCCTTGATAAGGCATAATGAAGTTTTTTGTAATGCATAAAAAATTACGCTTCACTTTTCTTTTAGGACATGTTGCTTTTAAGATTGTTTTATTTCTTTTATACAACCTAAACCATTTTTGTAAATCCAATAAATTGTGTTTGAATGATAGAAACTGTTTTTTTATGTTTTTATTTGGGTCCTGTTATGTAACACAATTTTTGTATTTAACACAACGCACGTTTTGAGTCATAATTTATATTTACCTTTTTCATAGTAAACAAAATATTACTTAATGTTATGCCCTTTGTTTTTAAAAAGATTCATTACTTCATTGCTATGCTAAGCATCGTTTGCATATATATTTGCAAAACATTGAGAACACTGATTTTGAAAGAAGCTTTGGGTAAACAGAATACAAACTATATGATTATAGACAAATTGAATATTTTTCTTCTTAGTAAAAATTAGCATACGTATTAATCAATCCAATGACTTTGTTCTGACTGAAATATATTTGTATTAATATATATATATATGATGTTAAGCTAAAAGAGGGCCTAAGTTTATTTAACACATTGGGGCTTTCCAATTACAAAAGTGATAATTTTATGTATATAAAAGTGGGTTCATAGTTAATGGCATCGAGCACTACAACGTAAAGCAAATGAACTTATAAATTTACTTATATTTATGAAACAAAGAAAATAATATAATTAACTTGTAATATATGTGAAGAAATGTTTATAAAAAGAAAGGATATAAGACATCTCTTCGTTAGACTATATTTATATATCATTCTGAAGCAAAAATACACAAGTGTGTTTTCGTGTAACTTTTCGTTATGATTTTTGTAAATACAGGAATGCTAAGTAAGCAGAATAATGTTGACACTATGGCTTTAGGTAAATTTGGTTTTGCAATTGTATATCAGTACAAAGACATGTGTTACATAGGTGTTTGAGCAGCCTTTATGATTTATAAACACGAATAAATCAACCACATTTTAATTTATGATATCTAGAAAGTTATTGTGTTCTAAAGCACACATGGAATAAGAAGTAATTGACATCTTCATAAATTTCTATTTTTAAAAGGGAATAACGGAGAAGTATACCAAATTCACCAGTGGCACAATGTGAACATTTCTAACAATAACACCTATATTAACTGATATTGTTTTGTAAGACATAAAAACTTCTCATTTTTAAAATTATTTTAGAATAACAAACCCTTTTCCGCTTATGCACTCTTATTCCTAAAAATGTATAGATAAAATCACTATTTTTAAACACATCACAAGCACATGTAAAAAGGTTAAAGATGAGTTTGCTAAAAAAGGTATTGATATTCTATTCTTTCAAAAGTTCTTATAGTAAAATAGTGACAAAAATGAATTATATTAAAAATTATTTTTATATATAAGTATTTTATTTTTTCTTTTATATTCTTGTAAAGAATACATACATATTCTTAGTGCACTGTTCATAAATCAAACATTAAGAGGGTCTACTATTAGATCACATATATGACCTTTCATTCGTATAAGCAGATAAAAGAACTCATTTGAAACTACATTAACAAATATATAATTTCCATTTTTCAATTTACACCTTGGAAGCAATGCAATGTGTCACGTTTTTTTACACAGTCTAACAATTCCATTAAAGTGGTGTTACGTGCAAAATGAACACTTCTATACTATTCTTTTTTGTGAAGGAATCTCAAAGTATGGGACTTTCCATAGTTGCTGGTGCTCCACTGAACTTTATAATTTTAACCCTTTTAGCATTTTGTTTTTTCCCTTAAGTATTACAATTTTTTTTTTAAATACATTTTAAACTATAGGAGGTGTATTTTTTTTTTTAAGCCTCACGTTGCTAATTATAAAATAAGTTCATCCTAATGAATTTTTTTATTCCCAACACTAGAAAAAGTATTATTTATAAAAGTTTTCATGTTCTATTAAAGCAGATATGAAAAAGGGCTATGGAAGAGTACGTTTCAAAAAGTCTTTTGTTACATGTCTTATTTTGTGTTTTTGAGTAATTCTAATATTTCAAAAGAAAACCTACAATTTACATATGTTTTACATAATATTATTGCGATTCATAGGTTTGCACATATAGCAAGTTCCTCTCACACTAAGGCACATTTCAAAAGTAAATTATATTTATTCAACAAAATATAATGTAGGTAATGGCTTGAAAAATTGAACTTTGCTGAAGCAAAAAAAGTATGTAATTTAATGCAATGAAAATTACATAAGCAAATCTTATAATAATATTAAATACTAACAAATATTAAAGGGAACACATATAGAAAATTCCTTGAAACATTTTAATAGTTAAAAGATAAACGTCATTTTAATGTATACATAACACTTTTAAAGAACCGCATTTTTTGGAAAATTGCTAGTCATACACATCCCCCCTATGACGTTCAAGCGTAAAAATTAAAATGACTAGGAATTATTTTTAATTTCATTTTACTTCACAAGTCTATAAATTACTAATTTAATAATATTCACATTTTACATATAAATTTCATCATAAATACTTCACCACCCATTAACTATGAGTTCATAATTTTTAAGAATGTTAAAAGTGCAGTTGTTTAAAAGTCACCTTTGTTCTAATTTAATGAAAGGCGATTAACGCTGTATTTCTCCTTAAAAAAACACATTCCATTATATCTTATTTAAAAATGTGTCTTTTTCTTTTTAATAATAAATATAAAATGTTAAAATATAATTTTTTCCAAATTTATGAATGTTGAAACTTTTTTTTTGTAAAAACATTTTATAAACACTTTGACAAACAAAAATGCATCAATGCATATGGTAAAGAAAAAAAAAAAAGGCTAACAAACAAAAAAAAAAAAAAAAAAAAAGTTTTGTTTACGTATACAAACGAAAAAACATTTATTCATGAATAAAAAAAGACTAATTAATGATGACTGATGCTATTTTTTTAAGCTGTATCTCTTTGTCGGATAATTCCTATAATGTAAAAAATGGTATATATGAACATTAGAATTTTATAAACATGTAGCATATCTAAGGATTAGTAAGTTTATATATGCAAGTAATGTCAGTAAGAAGTATAAAAAATTGTGTGTTATGTGCAAGAACATATTAACCTTTTCTTTGAGAATTAGTTTTTGAGTTTTTATTTCACATTCTTCATTCTTTTCATATAACTCCTTTTCTAGCTTTATTATTCTACTTTTCATTTCCTCCTCATTTCTAAAATAGAAAAAAGTGTGTATGTATATAACATGAGAATGTATTAGTATTCTTAAAATTGTGCAAATATGTAAATAAATGTAATATTATTGTTTCTTATATTTTCATAATATAATATGTATAAATATGTAAATTTTTATCACTTTTCATAGTTTATAATATATCTCTTTGATATTTCCAAATTTTTGTTGGCATTATTTAATTCTTCGCCCAAGTTTTTGTTTAGTCCTGTGAAATTTTCAATTATTAATGCTTGTTCCTGCAGAAAAAACATATAAATAAATTTTCATTAAAAAGTTTTCTTTAAGTTATGAATTAAAGTAGTTCATATTTTGATTGTTTATTATTCCTTTCTCATACTTTTATAATGTATAAAAAGCATTAATGTATTTTTAACAAATTACCTTCAGGTCATTGTCACTTTTATTTATTATGCTTTTTAGTTCTTGTATGTCACTACTATATTTTTTAATATTCTTATCCTTTTCATCTAATTCTTTCTTCTTGTCACTTAGTTCTTTAACGACAACAATCAATTTCCTATTAAAAATATGAATAAAAGGGTGTATATTATTTTAAGACATAAATCACTAATTTCAGCATAGGTAAAAAAAAAAAATAAAATAAAAAAGTCTTTACTTGAATGTTCCTTCCAATTCATTATTTTGATTTTCTTCTATAGTTTTCAGTTTCTCATTTTCATGCTGTGTAAAAAAAAAAAAAAAAAAGGGAAAGGAAAGGAAAAAAATTACAAATACAAATAATTCAAAAAAATCATAAGTTTTTTTAATTTATATATTTTTATTTCATTACAGTAAGAGAGTTAATAACGTTTATTCCTTCATTAATTCTATTCGTCTGATCTATTAATTTATTATTTAATGTTTTATTTTGTGTCTGTATTTGTGTGTATTTTGTTTGAAGTGATTTTAGTAAAGATTCCATTGAAACAGTCCTGTTTTTTATATTTACATTTTCTTCTTCTGCTTCTTTTTTTTGTAGATAAACCTCTTCATATTTTCTTTGCAATCTAAAAATATGTGAAAAAAAAAAAAAAAAAAAAGTAATTTTGTTCTGCTTCTCATAATATTGTTACCTTTCCACACGATCATGGATTTTTTTTTTTTTTTTTTATTGTTACTCCTTTTTTATGTTTTTCTTTTTCTCACATACTCATCTATTATATCATTCTTCTGAGAAATAATATTCTCTAGGTTGTTATTTTCTTGAAGTTTTCTATTAATTTCCAATTCATTTTCCTTTCTAATTTTTTGAATTAAAGCATTGTGCGCATTTTGTTTCTCTTCTATTTCTTTATTTAGCACATTTATGACATCTTTATATCTGTCAAGGTCTTGTTTGTAAAGTTCTAATCTTGATTGTGATTCATTAAGCTGCGAATTTAGGTTTTTTATTTTATTTGAATAAAAATTAATATCAGATGATCTCGTTATGTTATTGTGCAATAAAATGTTTAATAAATACTTTTTGGAATATTCGTCTGCGTCTTTTGAATAAAACAGAAAATTGTGTAATAAAAAATTAAATAAATACTGTGTGTTGTACATTATATCAAAATAAAAATTAAAAGAGCTCTTTCTGTTTTTTATTGTTTCAAAAAATATTTTGTCGAAATTGAGGAAAAAGGAATTTTCGTAATTTGCGCTTGCATACTGATATTTTAAAGAGGGAAACATGTTTTTACTTCCTAACTGTTCATTGCTTGTAATATTTTTGCTTAGGTTTGTGGAATAATTGGAGTTTAGGTGATTTGGTAAATAATTATCATTCTTTTCATTTATCAAGAACCTGTTTTCCTCTTCGTTAAAGTATTTTTTGTTTATGTCATCATATTCATATGAATTTCTTTTATTTAATTTATTTAATAATGTGTTGTAACTGTCATCTTCGTGTAATGCTAAATTTTTTTTGGAACTTCCTTTTAAAAAACCTTTATAATCAATAAAATTTTCTGTATACTTTTCCAAATAGCTGTCTAAATTGTAATAATGTCTAACTATATTTAAAATGGCTATTTTCATATTTGAAAGTTCAATATTCTTATCAAAATCTAAAATGGATTTTTTATACAATAGAAAAGATATAGAATAAACGCAATTATAAATTATTAGAGAATCTTTGGATTCGTATAGAGATGATATCAAAAAGGTTAATGCTCCTGATTCGTACAAAGCCTTGTGTATCTTAATGATATTAGGCTGATTGTTATAATGAATATTTTTTATAAATATACTTGACTTTAAATCAGCTGTTTCGTTTAAATTGTTGGTTTTTTTATTTAACGAATAATTTAACAAAAGAGAAATGTATCCACAAACTAATTTTATATTTTTCATGTTCACACTTTTTTTTAGCTCCTCAATGAAGTAATCTATATATTCAAAGGTGTTTTCATGTATCGTTTCATAAAATTTTGTTTTCATTAATGTAAATAGGAAGTTAATAATGACAATTATGTACCTCGTTTTTTCAATATTTTCTTCTAATGTAAAAAGAGCACTGGAAGAATATACATCTGGAATTATATGCAGGTTAATTAATATAGCTTTAATAACCGTGTTCCTTTCATTTGTTTTTATATTATCAAATATTCTACAGAATATCTCTTTCTGTAATTTACTTCCCTCCTGTTCGTTATTCGACGCATATGAATAATTCAGGTTATTTACATTTGCATTTTTCATTAAATTGCCAACTCCTGTTGCTACATTCGTATTTTTTCCATTTACATTAATGTAAGAACTATTTAAGTTCCTCATGCTATGGTTTGTGTTTAGGTGTGTCCCATATGGGGCAAAATTATTATTGGTATTACTTTGGACATTGTCAAAGTTATTTTTTTTTGCACAGAATTGACAATAAAGATGTATCAACTTTGAAAAAATTAGAGAAATTACTGTTGCCAAATTTTTATTTTTATGTATAGTTGATAAGAACAGCATATTTATATGTTCATTTATGTTGCTAAAAATGGAATTGAATTTTTTGTCTTCATTGTATTTCATAATATAATCATTATTTTCATTTAAAATATGAAATATGGTTATGGATACATTTGGGAATTTAATTAAGATAATGTAAAAAAGAAATGATATATTTGTTATTAGTTCGTACTGTTTATTCGTTAATAGTCTGGACGAGTATGTGACAAAAATGAAAAGGACTTTTGTTATATTGATATTTTCTTCAAAAAAATACACAAATTTTTTATCATTAAAACAGAATATAAGTGTGTCTACAATAGTTCTCATTCTAGTTAAATTTCCATTATTAACAATATTTTCAAAAAGGAGCATAGGGGAAAAGTAATTTTCTTTTTCTAATTCTTCTGGGAAAATAAATATATACGTTTTGTATAAACTAATATAGAAATTTTTGTATACTTCAATATCTTCATATTCATTTAAATATTTATAATATTTGGATAAAAATATTTTTAACTCATTAAGATCATTGCTTGAATTCATAATTTTTTCTCTCAGAGAATTTAAATTCATTAAATTGTTAATTATATTTAAACATTTGAGCAAGATGTTGCAATAGGTTACTCTGTTTTTTCCAAAAAATAACAATTCTTCTTTGCTATCTATAAAAGATGATACATTACTATTTGTGGTTCCACTTAATGTGTTCGATGATGTTAGCATTTTTTCTTTTCTATTTCTGCGTACATTACTGTCTGCATGCATTTTCATCATGTCAGAATACAACAGGGAGCTGTCTTTTATCATATCTTCAAGGTAAAAATTTAAGAAATTAAGAAGATAAAAAAAGATTTTATAAAAATAGACATTATTGTTGTGTATTTTGAAAGAATTATATTCCTTTGTCGTTCTTCTAATGTAATTTGTATTGTTCTGAATTGTACTGTTTTGGTGAAAATTTATATTCATTTCATTTGTTGAAGAGTGTTTTCTAAAATTAGACATCGAGTATTTTCTCTTCACGTTGCTTTGAAGGGTATTTGTCTTTACAGGATTTGTGTAAGCATAGCAATTTTTTTCAATCTCTGCGTTTAGTTCTTCATCTTCCATTTGTCTAATGTCAAATGTTACTATATTACTTGTTATATTTTCTAAACAATGTAAACAAAGGGTTAATAAATAAATATTATTATAAAAAATTTCATTAACATTATCCCTAAAGAAATATACTTTAAGAGAATTATAAAAGGATGATAAATTTCCGCTTTCTGAGCTTATAGAATGTTCAATTGACCTCATAAGATAAAATAAATATTTGATTATATCGAATTCTTCTTCTCTTTTCATTTCACTTGAAGATAAATCATCATTTGAGTATGTTTTTGAGTTCTTGTCAGCATAAGTGTTTTTATTTGGAAGATCATTAAGGTTCCCGTTTTGTTTAACTGTATCATTTACAAAAAAGTTTTTCTTAAGTGTTCTGTTTTCATTATTTTTTTCTGCATGATCTAAAGCAATTTTATCTTCATCATTCGTAGTGTCTTTATTTTTTTTTGTTTCCCCTCTCAGCATATAATATTTAAGTTTATCTGAAATACTTAAAATGCTGATGTTGTACAAAGATTCTATATGTCTTTTGTTTAATAAATCCAGTTTTGCGGTGTAATTTTCATTTGCATATGTCTTCTCACTATGATTATTATTCTCAAACACATTTATAACATTTTCATAATAATTCCTATACAGGTAATTATAGTAATTTATTAACTCTCGCATACATTCTTCATTTTCGTTTATTAAATCTACGTCATATATGTTGTTCTTGTACTCTTCTAGACACAAGTTCAAGTATTCTGAGTAATCACAATTGAAATTTTCCCTTTTCTGAGAGAACCTTCTAATTTCTTTGCTGTGCAGGTTTGATAGACTATCTCTTTTAAGCATCTTTTACTTTTTGGCACATTTAAAAGGGGATAATGTATGTATATACGTAAGTGTGTGTCTGCGTATGTTGCTTGTGATGCATATGTACATTAATGTATACATGTGTATAAACGTATGTACTACATTACACTTACGTAATTTCCCTTAAGCACATGCATGTTACAGTGGTGTATAATATTTTACAACATGTGTGCCTGTTTTTTATGTGAAACAAACATGGGCTGTAAATGAGCATTGAATAACAAGGAGCACATTTTCATTTGACAAAACATATATCCCGCCCTCCTTATGATGTGTCTAAGAATGAAATGTAAAACGAAAAATGTAAAATGCAAAATTAAATCATGCACTTGTGTGGGAAATATCCATGTCGACAATTTAATCCAAAATTTAAATGGAAAAATTAGATGGAATGCTTATGCCGAAATTTTATATCTAACATTTAAATCGAACATTTAAATCAAATACTTAAATGGAAAATAAAATTGCTTCATTTTATTTTGTATTTCTTTTCCTTAAAGTGAACATGCCACATATGTAATACAATGGTATGTACATTAGCTTCATTTGAAAACTAAAGATAATTGTGGAAAAGAAAAAAAACAGGGAAAACATAAAACACAAAGAGAGAGAAATAACTACAAAGTCAGAAAATAAAGCCTTTTTTTTTTTTTATATTCTATTTTTACGTATATAATGAGATTAATATTCAAATTAAAATACATATTTTTTTAAAAGGGAACTTGACAAACCGATTTTCACAAAAAAAAAAAAAAAAAAAAGAAAAAGAAAAAGAAAAAGAAAATTGTAAATGAGTATAATGGTTAAGTGATGCTTGTAAATTTTTTAGATGTAAGCTAATGTCACTAAAAAAGAAAAATTGCAGTGTACTTTTCCATTTTAAAAAACAATTAAAGTGAATTAATTTTTTTTTTTTTTTTTTTTTTTTTTTTCCTTCTCATTTGGTTTAAGTGTGCTTATTGTAAGCTGTTCTTTACATGTATGTAAAATTTTTTTTTTTTTTTTTTTTTTTTTGAAAGTGTGTGCATGTTGTATTTCATTTTTAAGTATTTGTTAAATGCATATTTTTCCATGATATACTTCCATTTGAAGTTAATATATTTTTTAATAAACTCTTTCTTTAATCCATTTTTTATTCATAATTTTTTACATTAACTTAAAAAAAAAAAAAAAAAAAGAGGAAGGGAGGAATAAATGGGAAAAATGGAAATAAAGTGATTTAATCGCACATTAACATAGACACTTGTAACATTTTTCAAGATTAAAGTATGTTTTTTTTTTTTTTTTTTTTTTTTTTTTTTTTTTTTTACACATGTTATGGCCCCTTTTCCATTTAACAATTGTAAAGCAACACATGGTCAAAAAAAGAAACAAAAAAAAAAAATTTCAGACAAATTTATTATGCGTAATAATGTGGGTATATATATATACATACATACATATAAACAGTACATTGTAACGTTTTGCACTTTCGATAGTGTACATAAAAAATTAATACAATAGAACCTTTTTCTCATTATATGCTCATTTTTACAACACGGTAGCTAAATAAAAACGTCTCATTATTCATGAATCCCGTGCGGAATTTTATCAATGAATAAATCATTAGTTTTTATTATTCTACTGAAATGGGTATGAGGGAGAGTATTATTACACATATGTGCATATGTTTCTAATTCTTCATATGCTCTTACATATTTTCCCCTTTTCTGTATTATTTAATATGAATCGTTTGCAGGATGAATTACTGAGTATAAAAATTAGTAGGATCAGGCATACCACCTCATGTTAATGACATTATGGAAATAAAATGGACTTTTAAAGAATTTCTGAACAGTTTCTTTATCCATTTTTCCCTTTTTTTTTTTTTTTTTTTTTTTTTTTTTTTTCACAATCAGTGGAAACTATACCTACTATATATACTTTTTATGCTCTTCAATTCATCCAAGTTATCGTCAGGATGTTGAATTCTTATGCCTATGAATAGGGTACAAAATGTTTACATATATATATGTATATGCATATCTGCATGTGTGCTCTAGCATATACCATTCATTGCACAAAAATTTATATCCACAAGAACACAAATGTGTAATTCTATGTACTGGACAAAATAGTGTATTAATTTTAAAAGTTTCCGCGTAACCTGTTCCTTATAGATGGCCTATAATAATTTGATAAATCCCTAAAATGGCTAAAAGACGAATTGTCCTTAGAACATGTTTTTGGTTTGGTTGTGTCTAACACTTTATCCTTTTTGTCTTCTTCTTTGTTCAACTGTTCCTTCATTTTTTGTTTATTAGCTACCATTTCTTTTTCCAATTCCTGCAATCTTTTCTCTCTGGATATTTTCATCTTTTTATCTATTTCATTATTCCTCTTAGATTCTGAAATTTTATTTCGGTATTTCATTAACTTGTGAATAAGTATAAGAACAATAATACCAACAATTAGGACGATGACATTTCTTATTGTCAATAAGTCCATTCCCTTTACGGGAATTTTGTTACCCATTCTGTCCATTTTTAGAAGATTTCAACAACAATAACGAAACAAAAAAAAAAAAATTAAAAAAAAATAAAACAAAACATGCATTATCACACATGTACCAACATAAACAAAAGGCTAATTTAAAATAAAGGATTCATTAATGCCTTCTGACATTTTACCTTTTATCTTTTTTGTTATCATTGTTATGCTTCATATAGAAAATTTTTAAACTCTTTTAGTGTTCGTAAATACCCCACTCGAGTAGTTGTAGCTGCATTTAGATACATTAATTTTTGCCACAATTATAGTTGCAAATTTGACAAAAAAGGAGAGAAAAAAAAATAAATAAAATAAAATAATAAAATAAAAAAAAAAAAAAAACAATAAAATAAAATAAGAATAGTATTTTATTGCCCAAAGTGGAACAAGTTCAAATAAAAAAAACATGTGAACACGTTTTTTTTTTTTTTTTTTTTTCCTGCTTATTTCATTTTTAAGTTAGTTTACACCACTATATTATTACACTATTGCATTGCAGCTTCTGTATTTTTTATCTTTTCGTTATTCTTTTGCACATTTTACACTTTTTACAAGTTATTTTTTTTTATTTTCCCCCTATATATATATATATATATAAACGTGTGCATGTCAACGATCACAATGCGCGCATACTCCTCTCCTTCAGCTTGGGCTTGATTCTCAGAAGTGTGGAAAAGTGGCAGTTTCCACATCTTTCTTAAAAAATTAAAAGCAATGCCTTTTAATGATGCATTAAGTTCAAGATGTTTATTACCAAAGTGATATATCAAAAGATCAGTGTGGATGAGTTAATATATATCCATTTTACACACATATGTAGTAAAGTTATATAACTACCAACATACTATTTCCGTTGGCAAGAATAATGCAAATCTGATGCAATGTTTTTGTCGATGTCTTTAATTAAAAAAGGAAAAGGCACCACGGGAGAATATATTATGCCCTTACAGGTATGCTACACAAAAGATAAATAAAAAGTGTTTCCATATAATAATGACCCAAATTGTGTTATTATGAAAAAAAAAAAAAAAATACACTATACTTCCGTTCATTTTTATAACATGTGTAATGTTTTTATGAACTTTCGATTGAAAGTTTTATTTTTTCAAAATTATAAACAATTTTTTTCTCTTTTTTAAATTTATATATACATGTTGCTATCAAAAGGTGTTTTGTAAAAAAATTGTTGGCTGAAAATGTGGGATGAGAAATTGATCATTGGGGAAGGGTAACTAAAAATCATGTAGATACAACCCCCCGCCCCCGGGTGGTGGAAGGAATATTAAAAACAGTACTAAAAATTATAAAAAATTATATGCATGTTAGAAAAATTATGAAGATTACATAAATTATGCAGATAATACAAATTGTGAAGATTATACAAATATCCAGGTTATAAACACTATAATAATTAAATTCATAAAAAAAAAATTAATATCCATAAATCACAGATACATGTCGGTTAAATTGAACATTTATAAATGATTTTGTGCTTGAAAAAAAAAAAAAAAAAAAAAAAAAGAACCCACATAATTAATAATCATGTGGAATGTACAACACGTATATGTAAAGACACAAACTGTGGGATGAGAGTCGCTTGGTTCATATATGATCATGATCTTATCATATAATGGTATATTTTATAAACACATGACTCAAACGTTTATATAAAATATACAATGCGCATAGGACATATTAATCTTTAAATGTCCTTGTTTTAACTACTTAATAGAGGACGTACTTTTATTCTTATGATGGTTGTGTAACTTCTTCAGTAAATCATCTCTATACCTTCTGTACACCTCTTGTGATTTAGTCATCAATTCACTGTGTGAGAAATCAATAATGTCATAGAGAAAAAATGGAATTAGGAAGAATGTACCCCAGTCTGCCTCATTTGCCCATCCAGATAGGAGAGTTAAAAATACATAATAAAAAAAATAGTGCGTTTGTGAAAAGTGTAATTCTCCTAATTCTAAAAAGATGTTGTTGTTAAATATATATTTCGTAAGTATATGTGTCATAGAACGCGGATGATTTCTTTCATTATTAAAAAGTTCAGTTCCATTGAAAATATTTTTCCCAAAGTCATAATTTAATGTCTTTAAATCATTAACTTTGAAAATTATAGATGATTTTTTCTCTTCTTCTGGGTCTCGAAAGTCATTAAATCCAGGGATTGCCATAGTACATGGTATAGGGTCATAATCAATACTTATGTTATTACTAATAACACCACTTTTTTTGAAATCTTCTGCAAATAAATCATCATAAAACATGGGCATTCCATATGTTACCGAGAGTATTTTTACTTTTGGATTATTTTTAGCATTCAAAATTTTTGCTAAATAAAAAGAACTTAAATGAGCCATAGCTGCACCAAATGAGTGCCCAGTAAAAATAACAACATATGGATTTTCCTTTGTATATTTTGATTTCTCATCTTTTATTTCATTTAAAATTGTTTTTTTTAATACTTGTAAGTATGGTCTTACAACTTGTTTAAATATAAATATATAAGCTTTGTGCAATTTTCCTTGTGTTAAAAAAGGATAGGGAGTTAATTTGTGTATCAAATTTATTAACCACATAAATGGACTAGCTGTTCCTTGAAAGGCTATTATATGTTCTACTAAGTGCATACTTTTCTTATCATAATTTGGTATTGGATATTTTTTGCTTCTCTTAAATGATATAAATATTTGAAGAGCATCGATATACCTAAAAAAAACATATTTATCTTCTTCCAGGTGATGCATATTCATTATTTGTGGAACTAATGCACTTCCTACATGATCTATATACCATGGGTTTGGTATAAATTTAGATGCTTCCCATTTTTTTATTAAATTCCACATCTTATTTACTAAATATACTTTATGAGTAAATAAATAACAAACATACCAAGTTTGATACATTTGCTTTTTATCCATTGTAGGACATGTAATGTCTTTAAGCATATCGATATCAATTTGTGTCTTCATGTCAGCCGGGATAAAAATATCAATAACGTTTGTATTTAGATATTCAAATATAGGTAAATCTACAATGTGATTTGCTGTAATTAATGCATCTTTTTCTTCTTCTGTTAGAAAATAATGTTCTTTCAAATATGACGTACAACCAAACATAATAGTAATTATAAAATTAATTAATTCATACCATTCTTTATTTCTAGCTATTACATTATTTAAACATTTTCCTATATTGTGATCTTTTTTTGATTCCTTTACAATTTCTTCATTTAAAAGAAAAAGAATATCAAGTAAGTTTGATTCTTCGACACTTTTTATACATTGTCTTAAGGATAACTTTTTAAATGTTTTTACTATATTCAAAAATAAACGATATAAAATCGATTTCCTATTTCTTATTTTTATTCTATTCACATATGGGTTTTTTTTTAAATGATTTGATAAGAAACATATCTTTTCAACTAGTGTACTTTTTAATGGTAAATATTCTCCATCACATACACTTGATTTTATATAATATTCTTTAAACATAATAGGATCTACATCAATTTTTGTCAAATCAGCAAAATAAGTTACATCTTGAAATGTTGTATTGTCTTCTTCATCATATGCTGCTACATATTTAGAGTAATATTTCTCACTTGCTTTTTCTTCATTCACTATGTATAAGTTGTGTAAGGACATATCATACCCTTTATGATATTTCATTTTTAATGCATACTCGTTTTTGTAATTTATATCTACCAATTCTCTGCTTTTAATTATATCCTTGTAAAATTCATTTAACTCATTTTCTTTTAACTTCTCGCTATAAAGCTTAAGTTCGTTCTTGTATCTAGAAAACACATTTGTGCTACTCGTTTTGTAACTAAATCTGTTTTTTTTTCCGTATTCGCTTTCATCTATGAAATCATAACCGCTGCTTGTGCTCGTGCCTGTACTTGTTCTTGTGCTCACACTGTACGTACTCATATTGTCATCTATGTCAGAATTGCTCTCTCTTGAGTCGCTCAGCATGTCACTTCCAATATCGAAGTTTTTTTCCCCCAGACCCATCAACTGTTCAATTTCTTCTATTTCATTCAGGTATCTATTTATTACCTCATCGATATCCTCCTCGTATTCCACCTCTTCTTCTTTGTCATATTCTTCCTCTTCCTCTTCTTCTTCCTCTTCTTCTTCTTCTTCTTCGTCATCATAATCATAACCATACACATAATCATATAGTAGTATATCTTCGAAATTTCCACTATCCAACTTTTTCTTATATTCCTGAAATTCTTTATTCTTTTCATCTTCTTTATCTCTCTCTTTTGCTTCGACATTCCCTCTCTCATTTGATTTGTCTTGTTCCTTTTTTATTTGAGTTTTCCCTTTTTTCGTTTTGTTTTCTCTATTTTTTACTTCATCCATTTCTTGATTTACCTTATTATGTCTTGATCCTATTTTTGGAGTTATGTTTTCATTTCTTTGTGTCTTATTTCTTGGTTCTGTCTCGTCCACTTTTTGTACGATATTGTCTCCTAATATTTCCATAAATATACCAGAATCTCCTTCACCCTCATCTTCATGTTCTTGTTTATTTATTTTAGCATCTCCAACATGATAAGCACTGTTTGGGGTTACAACTGGAGTCAAGTTTTTCACCTCTAAAATTTTTTCTTGGTTTGTTATTTCTTTTTCTGTTTTGTCACTATCATTTGGTTTGACAGATGATATGTTATTATTATCTATTTTTTTTATATTTTTTCCTTTGTTAAATGATGTTTCATTTTCTGTATTTTTTTTCCCATTTGTGTCTACATCTAGATTAGAAGATTTTGCCACAACATTTTTCTGCTTATTTGACGTGAAATTTTCATTATCTCTGTTATTGCTATTATTTAATGGCATTACAGTTGAGCTTATAATTACTTCTTTTTCATTCTTTTCTTGTTTACTCTTTTTTTTTTTTTTTAAACTTTTATTCCAGCGAACACTAAACCAACTTTTTTTTTTTTTTTTTTTTTCTTTTTTTTCATCCAATTTTTCTTCGTTCAATAACTCTCCTTTTGCATCCTTCGAACGCTTTGGATCTGTTTCTTCTTTTGTTTCATTTTTCCCATTTAACTGTTTTTTCTCTGTATCTTTTTTTTTTATGCCATTTTCATCTGCACGTATTAATATTTTTTCTTTGTTTTTTTTTTGGTTCCCTTGCACGTTGGCCAGAAGATTTTCTTGAACCCTTTTATCACCCTCGTTTTCGGCTTTCTTATCAACCTTCTTCTCTGCCTTCTTCTCGACCTTCTTCCCTGCCTTCTTTTCAACCTTCTTTTCGGCTTTCTTATTGACCTTCTTCTCTACCTCCTTCTCGACCTTCTTCTCTACCTCCTTCTCGACCTTCTTCTCTACCTTCTCCTCTTCCTCCTGTTCTTCTTCCTCCTGTTCTTCCTCCTCCTCTTCCTCCTGTTCTTCCTCCTCCTCTTCCTCCTTTTCTTCCTCCTCCTCTTCCTCTTCTATCTCTTCCTCATCCTCTTCCTCTTCTATCTCTTCCTCATCCTCCTCCTCCTTCTCCTCCTCCTCCTCCTCCTCTTCTTTCTCTTCCTCCTTTTCTTCCTCTTTGTCCTTCCCCCTTTTGTTCTCCACCTCCTTCTCCACTTTTCCTGCTTTTACATCATTGTCAGTATTTCCCCTCTCGGAAAAATTCGTATTTGACTTGAGTAAAATCTCTTTTGAATTTTTCGATTTGGGGTCTTTTATATTATTAATAGGAACAGAACTATTATTTAACACATAGGTTTTAATATGTTTTCTGCTACTTTTAAAATCACAAGAAGAACATGATACTTTTAAAAAGTATGATAAATAGAAAAGATTGATGCAGTACAGGAATAAGCATGGTATCATTTTTCTTTAAAAAAAATATTTTTTGTTTTTTAAATTCATGTTCAAAAGATGGTATTGTTTTTGGAAAAAAAAAGCTGAATTTTTCATCATATTCAAAATTAGTAAACGTTTAATTATCTTATTACTACTAATATTACTACTATTATTATTATTAATATAGTAGCATTTTAATTTTATTTTATTATTTTTTTTTTTTCATATTCCAATTTACACAAATCTTCTTCCATCCGTTGTTGTATGGATGAGTCAAATATAGTGTGAATATGTACTATATGCAATGTTCCATATATGAAGCAGCATGCACATGATGAATAAAATATATCGTGAAACTTCAGTACTTTAGTACGTAAAGTTTTTTTCTGATTTCATTCAAGCCATCTAATAGTAGAATAGCAATAGTAAAAATATTAGTAATGCAAAGAAACAGTGCAAAGCAATAACAGGTTGTACCTGTGTTAGCAAAAATCAGTGGTACGGTGGAACAATAGTGTTAAAGCAGAATTTACAATTCCCAATAATAACACCATGGGACAATAACAAGAACATTTTTTTTAAATATAAAAATGTTGTGACATGGAAAAATATAGAACACATATGTAAAGAAGAAAACCCCCCAAAAAAAAAGGAAAAAAAAAAAGGAAAAAAAAAAGAAAAAAAAAAAAAGAAAAAAAAAAAAAAAAAAAAAAAAAAAAAAAAAAAAAAAAAAAAAAAAAAAAAAAAAAAAAAAAAAAAAAAAAAAAAAAAAAAAAAAAAAAAAAAAAAAAAAAAAAAAAAAAAAAAAAAAAAAAAAAAAAAAAAAAAAAAAAAAAAAAAAAAAAAAAAAAAAAAAAAAAAAAAAAAAAAAAAAAAAAAAAAAAAAAAAAAAAAAAAAAAAAAAAAAAAAAAAAAAAAAAAAAAAAAAAAAAAAAAAAAAAAAAAAAAAAAAAAAAAAAAAAAAAAAAAAAAAAAAAAAAAAAAAAAAAAAAAAAAAAAAAAAAAAGAAAAAAAAAAAAGAAAAAAAAAAAAGGAAAAAAAAAAAGGAAAAAAAAAAAGAAAAAAAAAAATTAAGGGATGAAAGAACAAACAATGACGTAAAATATATTTTGTTTCATGTTAAAATAAATTATTACCATACTACTGAACATATATAAAGAGTAAAGGGGGGGGGGGAAAAAAAAAAAAAAATAAATAAATAAAATAAATAAATAAAATAAATAAATAAAATAAATAAATAAAATAAATAAAAGGAGAGAATCCATAACTGCAAAAAATTCGGCCGTTAGAGATTACTACTATTTTAATAAAAATGGCTTGAGGAAAATTACCACTAAAATATAAAAAAAAAAAAAAAAAAAAAAAAAAAAGAAAAAAAAAAAAAAAAAAAAAAAAAAAAAAAAAAAAAAAAAAAAAAAAAAAAAAAAAAAAAAAAAAAAAAAAAAAAAAAAAAGGAGAGAATCCATAACTGCAAAAAATTCGGCCGTTAGAGATTACTACTATTTTAAAAAAAAAGGCTTGAGGAAAATTACCACAAAAAAAAAAAAAAAAAAAAAAAAAAAAAAAAAAACGGGAAGAAAAATAAATATCATATGCATAATAGTCCAAAAGAAAGGTATTTTAATAATTTAATAAAATATAATATATTTTTAAACAAATGGCAAAATCGAAAGTAGAGTAATAACGGTTTAAAAAAGGGTTTTGTTTTCAATATTAAGTTTACTACTTTAACATTTAAAATTAAAAAAAAAAAAAAAAATTAAAGCGTTAATTTGTTCATCCATATAGTATATGTATATATATATATAAACATCCATATTATATGCATATATAGCATTATGTACAAATTAACTTAAAAATATCTTTCGATTTTGTATTCATTCTTGCGTTAAGGCGAATAGAAATTGAAAGAAAGTCAAGGTCCCTGCAACGTTGTCACGAAGCGAATGTTATTTATACGCAAATGCGTTGCAGATATACACGAATGTTATTATATATATATATATATATAATATTTGCATATATTTTTTATGTCCATATACATATAGACCCCTCTTCGTGGCCCTCCTGGGTATATATTACTACGTCATGTGCGATAGAGGCAACACTTAGAAGAGAACTTTTGAAATCAAAATTTTTAAAAATTTAAATAAGGAGGAATGGGGACCCATATATATAATATATAAATAAATCCATAATACAAAAGGTGAGAAATTAATAAGTGCGCAAAAAATGGAATACCACTTTAACCCCTTTTTGTATTTATTATCCCTGCTTGATCATTTTTTTTTGTATTTTTCTTCAAAAGATTTGGTATAATTTGCGCCCTTTTTAAATGTAAAATATTCCAGTTTTACATGTTCATTATTTTCCTTCTTTTTCTCAATTACAAAATTTGACTCTTCTGTAAAATTGAAAATTTTCTGTTTTTCCTTTTCATCTACACGGTTTAATATATCCCCACATGTGGCATTTTTCTCGTCCACCTCTCCGTTGCCAGCAGGTGGATTCTGTGATGGGGATAATGACAGGTCACCTGTTTGGATGCCAGCTTTAGTTCTATCCAATTCATTGCTATCATTCAGAAATTCTTCTTTTGTGTAGTGAGATCCCTTTTTCATGGTAACGGAAAAGTTCACAGATGAGTTGTGATTAGTCTTGAAAGAAATATTTGCATTCAAAGAAACAAAATCGAGGACACATTGTGCCTGATGTGTTGTATAAATTTTTTTTATTAATGAATGGACATTATTTGTAGGTGTTTTAATTAGCGTTTTTAACACATCTTTTATTACATGGTCAAAATTTATTTTTAATTTGGAATTGTGAAATATTGCTTTAACAATGAAAGAAAATTTAATTTGATCATAAATTTCTTTTTTCGATTTTGTAATAAACTCTTCAAAATCTAATATTTTTTCGTTTTTTCCATTTTCGTTACTTTTCATTTTTTTTCTTTTTAAATAAATGTTGTATAACCTTTTCCCTTGTGCGCGAAATAATGTTACAGGTACATTTAACGAAGTTATTTCCATTAATTTTTTATATGCTTCCATTCTTCTTTGGTCAACACATTTATTTTGTATGTCTTTCATAGCTTTCTCTTCAATTTCATTATATAGTTCATTCGCTGTTTTATTGTACTTTTTTAATATATAATCATTTATATTATCTTCTTTTTTTTTTCGTATTTTGATATCTAATATTTCTGCCTCCAAAACACACTTAATTAGATCACACTTCCCAAGTATGTAATCATTCAGCATTATTTCGTCACCATCTTCATCTGTGTCTACTTTTCCATTTTCATCTTTCTCATATTCACTTGTATCACACACGTTTCGCACAATATCCTCCACTTTTCCATGTGTCTCTTCCCTGTACAGTTTTTCATCAAGGGCATTGATATCATCTTTTAGTAGTTCTTCCAGATATTTGTCAAAATTTTTGTTGAACATTTCCTCTTCGTTTTGATCCACTGCATTTCCATTTTTCTGATTCTGCTTCAGCGGAACTACTCCCTGCTGTTGTGTCTGCTCTTTTTCTTGGACATTCTCTCTTTCCTTCACGTTGTTGCCTCCATTCACACGTTCCTCTCCCTCCACTTTATCATCCACTTCATCCTCTTCATACAAAACATTATTATCGTTTAAAATATATTCGATGTCCTCTTCCTTGGGCATGTCGTGATACGTGAGCTCCTCCTTTTCCTCTGTTTTATTTTTGATACTTCTCTCGATATTATCGCTTTTCCCTCCTTCATTTTTTTCTTCTCTTTCATCATGCTGCTCTATGCTTTGACTGTCATCCTCAGGGATGTTGCTCTTGGATTTACTTTCAAGTGACTCACTGTCAAAAAATTTGTCTTGATTACTTTTAAGAATGTTTTCCAGTTTCTGAAAGAAACTACCATTTTTTAGCTTCTTAATTTCTGTGTATATTATTTCCCTGAATTTGCTTATACTTTCCTTGTTGATTTCCTTAAAATTGGGGACATTTTGCTGATTTATTTCTTGTGATACTTCTACTGTAGGTGTGTCAAAATATTTTTTAAAAAGATTAACTGGAATATATGCTGTTATGTTTTTTTTCTCATTTTTCGACACACCGATGAGGGACTCATTAAATCCTAATGGGTTATAATTTTCCTTTACAGATATGACTTCATTATTCATGTTTATAACATCCTTTGGCAGTTGATACCCTTCCTTAAAATATTTTGAAAAATTGGAATTTTTCAAAAATTCGTCGTAATATTTCCACTCCTCTTTGTCAGTCTTATTATTTGTATTATTAAAAAAATTTTCATCATTTTGAAAAGAATTATTTTTCTCATTCTTTTCATTATAATTTTCTGAATTATTAATAAAATTTTCTTCATCTTTGTCTATATCAATTAGATCATTAATTTTGTTGTGATTATCCAATATTTTAAACTCTTCTGTGTTTACTTGTTCTTTTGTTGTACTTTTTTCTTCCTTGTAAATTGCTGATTTGACATCTTCTGCTTCTTGTCCACATTTATGTGGTACATCTGCCTGAACATGACAAATGGTATTATAATATTCATTATTGGAACTGTATACCCATCCCCTTAATATGTTTATATGAACATCATTATTCCATTCTACTTTATGATTTTCATCAGAATCTATGCTAATTTCATTTTCTTTTTCATTCTTGATAATTTTTAAAAATTCTTTGAAGGTACTACCTTTTTCATATGGAGGTATTTCAACATTCATATGTAAATGGATATATGATTTATTAAATTTAATTTTAGGGAACTTATCAATAGAAAAAATGAAGTGGACATCATTAAATTTGCTAATGGTCATATGATCAATGTTGTTCATCAATCTTGGTGAACCTATTAAATGTAAATTCTTCATTTTCTTATAAACCTTTATAACATCTTCATTTACATGTTTTAAAAAAATATTCAAGTAATCATCTTTCTTAATGTAATTAATTAAATTGTTAATTGGAACATCCTTCAAGTAACAATATTCATATTTATTTTCCTTCAGTTTACTTTCTCTGTATTCTTTTACACACAAGTCATAGTAGTATTCTCTTAGCTTACTCTTTATATGCACTTTTAGCAAAACATCACTGCTCTCGTTGTTTTCGTCTATGTACTCAATTGCTAGGAGTCCTTTCTCCATATGCTCGATGAGCCTCTCCCTTTTTGTCCTCTCACCATTTGCACGTTCCGTGTTTACACTTTTTTCACCATTCCTTTTTTCCTCTCCGGTCTTGTCCATAGTAAGCTTCGTTCTAAATTCATGCTTTTTTTCTCCCACTCCACCTGCGTAATAATGCCATTTTATTCTTCTCCCATCGTGCTTTTTCAGTTGGGAAAAAAAAAAAATTTTCATAGAAAGAAACTTCCCTATGGGGCGTAAGAAATAATTTCCTCTGACATCCAATGGGATTGCTTTGCTCTTAGCAGGAGTTCGATTATTTTTTCTCCCCCTCTCGATATATAGGAAACTTGTCAATGGAAAGTGAATTTTTTTTCTATATTTTTGTTGTCTCGAATTTAATCGGTTTCCTTTTTTTTTTCCCATAGTAATTTTATGCTTATCTTTCAAGTTCACACTAAGTTTTTTTTTTTTTTTTTCGTAATTTTCGTGACGTCCACTCATGTGCAGAAGTGCATCAATGTGGTAAAGGATAAAGTACATAAGAAGGAAAACTTTGTGCTTCCTCCCGAGTTTTCCAATCATGTTCGTGTGTCTATGTGGGGAGAAGAGGTATATGTTCAGATCCCTTTTTGTTTGCGTACTTGTACATATGTATATATATCTATTTATGTATGTATATACTCCCTCTTACGTAGGGTTATTCTTCGAAGCCTCAAAGCGCACGAACACAAATTCTTGCATGTTTATGCACACACTACTGCCAAAGTATTGCAACACTTGTGTAACATTTCTTCCACACTACTGCCACACTGTTGCACTTTTTTTTTTTCTTTTTACTTAACCTTACTGCACAGTGCACACTCTACTTGTTCTCTTTACCCATTTCCCATGAATACAAAACATATTTTTTATGTAGTATCCCCACAAATGTGTATGCAGATGAGTCATCCGTTCTGTATATATTTATTTGAATTCAGCCAATCATTGAAATTTTAGGAACAAATATTTATAGTAAATTTTTATATCATCCAAAGATTTCTTCGCGAAAGTTTACGAACAAAAATAATTATTCGATTAGTTGTTGCACCTGGGCTGATTTTTTTTCCCTTCTGTTTGGCCTCACACAGGAATTTGTGCGATACAGGATTGGTAAGGATACTGTATTACCTTGCCTCATTTTATCTTCACTTCTACTTTATTTTTAGTAAATATCCCAATTTGTCCTTTTTTTTCAACAAAAAATGGAAAATTGTACTTTGAAGGGGGAAAATAAAAAAAAAAAAATAAAATAAAATAAAAATAAAAAGCATGAAATATATGCTTTTTTTACTGAAGGGGACTACCGCGAGCCATTTTTGCATGAACATATATATAAGGTAACACATCGCTTAGTATTTTTATTTTTCTTTATTTTATTTATTTTGCTTCCTTACTTCGCCTTTTTATTTTGCTTCCTTACTTCGCCTTTTTATTTTGCTTCCTTACTTCGCCTTTTTATTTTGCTTCCTTACTTCGCCTTTTTATTTTGCTTCCTTACTTCGCCTTTTTATTTTGCTTCCTTACTTCGCCTTTTTATTTTGTTTCCTTACTTCGCCTTTGTATTTTGCTTCCTTACTTCGCCTTTTTATTTTCCTTTTTTACTTCACTTTTTTACTTCGCTTTTTTACTTCGCTTTTTTATTTTGCTTTTTTTTTTTTTACCCACTCATTTTGCCTCCCCATTTTATCTCCTCATTTTACTTCCTAATTTTACCCGTTCACACATTTCTACGCATCAAATAGTTCTTTCCCTCCCGTACAAAATCACACGAGACTTTTTCGCACAAATCTCCAATATCACCACTACTTTACTGAAGCAATCAAAAGGGGAGATACTTTTTTTTTTTTTTTTCTTTTTTTTTTCCCAAAAGAAACTGAAAAAAGTAGGAAGAATATTATCATTTTCACACCTCGCGTGAGTTAAAGTCATAGTTAAACTGGACCTGTGAGAGTTACATATATGAGTCACTGAGGATAATCCAGAAGAGTACCTTTGTTTTTTTTTTTTTTATAAGCCATACTCCCATTTCACTTAAAAAAGTACAAATATATAAAGTGTTCCCATTTATAAAGAAAGGACTAACAGTTACGCACACGTTCGTTCATATGTACATATATCTACACAGATTAACTCATAAGCAGACACATATACATATACATACACTTACACGTACAGCAAAGGTATAATAGGAGCACAGTGCGTGGGAGAAGAAGATGTCGTATCCTTATAACACTGAATTTTTTGTCCGCTTCCCAAAATTCAAAGAGAGGGAAGAAAGCGAAAGGACTGTAGATCCCAGGATTGAGTTGGAAAAAAAATGTCAAGCAAAATGCGTTCGACCTGTGAATGAATACCAGAGTTGTGTAAATCGTGTGCAAGCCAAGCCTGAAATGAAGGGAAATTGTCTTGGGCAGCATGAGGAAATGTATATATGTATCGATCATTGTGTTGCAAAGGATTTATTCAACTACCTTGTATAGCACATGTGGAGGATTTTAACTTTTGCTTCTTCTTTTTTTTTTTTTTTTTTTTTTTTCTCGAAAAATTGAGAGTAATTTAATTTTCCCTCCACTTTTTTATAGTATTCTTTGAATTTTTTTTTTTTTTTTTTTCCAACATATTTTTCATTTTTTTTTATTGATTTATTTTGTATTTTCTCTTTTGTTGCATATTTGCACACAAATGAATTTTCAAAACAGTGTAAAATTAAAAAACTTAAGTAAAATTTAGGGGAAAATGAATATGTGGTATATATATGCTCGTTTGTATAAATATACCACCTACACATGTAACGATGAAAGTGTACATATTTCTGCATGTACACATTATACAAATCTATAGAAACAAAAATTAGAAATTTAAAATATACACAATTGAAATTAAACAGATCCTTGAACTGAAGAAAAATAAAACGTACAAAAGTGTACGAAAAAAAAAAAAAAAATGGTACATAAAAAAAATACTGACTGTGTGTGTATATATTAGCATCCATAGGTGCAAAAAAAAAAAAAAAAAAAAAAAAAAAATACGAACGGATTTAAAAAATCGATTATAACACTAATCGGGGGTCATATAAATATCTAATCAATAAAAATGTGGAATTACAAAATGGATGTAGTCTTAACAAACGAAACTGTCGTGTCCATCGGATTCACGCTACAGTACATTCGCGATGGGGTGTTGTAAAGAGTATCACTGAAGCTATAGTCAACATAATCTATAATGCACTCTTGAATGTTCTGTTCCTTATTGTAGGAATGTAGAAGGAGAGACAATTTATCTTTGCTTATTATATTCTTTTCATCACCTGTTTGGGATGCCTGAGACTCGTTTTTTTTTATTTTTACAGATATACCCAAACTCTGGTAAGGGTTATTAATCACGTTATTTTTTGGATTTTTTGAACTTTTGGATTTTAAAGTTTTGTTTAAATTTTTGGAAGAAATGGATTTATTTATTTTTTGAAATTTGGAGCTACTACTACTTCCTTTTTTATCAAATACGTTATTTTTACTGCTTTCATTTAGATATATGTTTTTTATAAAATTGTAAAAATATTTTTCATATTTTGGTTTGATAATAATTTCTTTCTCTTCCGATTCCAGAATGGTATTTATCAAATTAAAAATTATTTTTTCATTTAAATTATTGTTAAAAATTCTATATAACCACACTGCTTTGTTAAACACTTCTTCACACTTCTCAAATAGAAGAAATAATTTTTTATTAAAAATTATTTTATATCTATTTTTATATATTCTCTTAATGTCCTCTGAAAAGTCCGTACCATCGTAGGAAGTTTTCTTTTTCTTTTTTTCCGTATCAACTGAATAATTTTTAAAATAATTCTCCTCTTTGTTAATGTTAAAGCTACTGTTTTTGTAGCCTGCCTTCTCTTCACTGAAACAAAAATCAACATTATCGCTACTGTTTCTTTCTGAATCGTTCGCATTTTCCTGTGTCTTTATGTTATTCGAAATCGTGTTGTTTAATGCAATGGTTGTAACTTGGATGGGGCTAATTTGGTTCAAATCATTACCACCATTAAGTCCTTCTTCTCCTACATTAATCTTACCACCATCCGGGTTCTCCTCCTGTTCCCCCATATTATTACCTTTCCTGGAAATCAAGTTTACATTTCCATCACTATTATTCCTATGATCCATTAGAAAATCACTATTGTGCGTATTTTCTGCAGGTGATGTGGGGTCTCTAACCTCTCCGTTCAATTTGGAGAGATGGGAAACAACATCACTACCATTATTATCTTCATCTTTAATGATCAAATTAGAAGGTTTCTTCGGTGTGTTATCATCAAAATCGTTCTTGTATCTTTCTCTGCCCTTGATTAATTCTGATGAATTACTTTTGTTTATGATGTGTTTCAAAAATGTCTTATCATTGCTATCGTTCCTGGTGTGGTTATTGTTGCTGTTATTTTTGATACTGCTTCTACAATCTTCTCCTACTCCTCCTTCTCCATCATCAGTATTGTTATCCTTTTTACTTTTTTTTTTTTTTTTTTTTTTTTTTTTCCTGTGAATATGTTTTATAATGCTAAACATTTTGGAAAGAATCTCCTGAATCTTGCGAATATAAATCAACTTGGAATTCATTATGGAATTTATATATGATATAAAAAATACCTTAAATGCACAATCTAGTAAATCTATAATGTTCAAATTTAGCAAATTGTCCAAATTTAATTCTCCCACGAAAAAAGTGTTTAATGGACATTTTATCTTTTTTATATAGCTATAGTTATTTTTTACATAATCAAACATTCGCTTTAGATAATCGTCCTTTTCCTCGTCCATACCAACACAGGAATTACCATCAATAGTGCTGATGGAAATAGTAGAACCCTTTTTGTAATACTTATCTTCTATTTCTTTGCATTTCTCCTTTATATATCCCAAGTCAACATTGACAAAATAGCTATCTTTTATGCACCTGTAGTAGTGTTTCAACACATTTTGAGAAGTGTAAATAAAGTTCCCTATATTATTTCTATACCATTTTATAAAATCATTATAATTATAAATATCTTTATTATTATTATTTTTCAAAAGTTCATGAATTAACGTTATCATATCATCTTGATCATTCACATCTTTCGTTCCTCCATTATTTTTAGTTATAAATAATTCCATGTTGTTTAATGGATATGGAAAAAAATTTGAAATCATCAAATTGTTCTTTTCTCCTATTGGGATTCCACTTCCACTCTGTCTTTGCGTCTTCCCAAAAAAAACGTTTCCTCCATCAGCTATACTACTATTACCACTAGTGTTGATATTCACATTACTAGTCTGGTTTATATTCACGTTACTTGTAGGATAATTGTTTTCATTACAACTTGCACTACCGCTCGTATGGATACTAGTAGGTGGAACAACCTCGGATGTACCATATTGACAACTACGTGGAATAGAGTCCAAACTACCTTTACTGTAATCTGCTTCCAAATTGGATGAGCTGTTTTCATTTTTACTTCCTAAAAACCTCTTGTTTGAAAAACTACTGCTATCATTCATTTCACATGAATAGAAGACATTTTCATCTGATGTATTTTTTCTAAAAAATGTAGAAATACTATTGCTCTTACTTTGAGAAGCAGTTCCAAGGGGTTCGTTCTCATTTATATTGGAAAGACTATCATAATTTGAATTGTCCTTTAATAATGAATTATCATCACTGTCGTTACAAAAAAAACTTAATGTTTTTTTTTGCTTCAAATGATCTTTCATTTCATTAATTTTAAACTGTTGAGTTGATATATTCAAAGCTTTTATATATTGAGAAAGGATAGAACAACTGTAGGAATATATATTTAATGGACCATACGACAGGTATAAATAATCACTAAATATGTATTCGTTATTTTCATATTTATTTCTTATATTATCAAAAAACTGATTCCATATATAATAAAATGTTTTTATATTACTCGCATGACTAATCAAATAAAAAAATAAAATCGTTATTTTTTCTTCATGATGACATAAAAAATATTTTTCTTTAATTTTTAAAAAGTCTGTAACAATTTCTTCTAGCTTTATCTCTGCACCTTTTTCTTCGTTCCTTTGAGTACTTTTTTCATTATTTCGATATTTTTGTCTTTTCTTTATTACATTTTTCTCTCTTACACGGATGTACTCCTTTCCATTCTTTCCTTTCTTTTCCAAAAAGGAATGATTTATCCTATCAGAAAAGTTATCTCCCTTTTTCAAAACAAAGTACACTTCTTTTGTCTTGTTCTGGTATAGATTGTTGTATCCACTATTGGTGGTTTGTGGGAATAATTCTCCATCAACTTTTCTGATAAAGAGGCTATTTCCAGGGTTATTTCCTCGACCGTTACCAACACTGTATTTAATACTGTTTTCGACACCGGTTTCTACACTGTTTGCAATCCCTTTGGTAGCACCGATATACATGGGTGCATTATCAGCATCATAAAAACATTCATCGTAACTACTTCTCCTTGAGAATAAGGATGAATGGGAAACCCGTCTAGGGTGGAATTTGTTTCTATGCATTTTCTTTCCTCGAGGCCACTCATAAATCCTCTTTTTGTTACTGCTAAACATGTTGTTTAGAACTTTATCAATGTAATATCTTGTTGAATCTTCTTCTATGTTAAAACAACTATAGGTTCCTATATCTCCATCCCTCAACCATTCCTTATTTTTTAGTGATATATACTCCATTAGATAATGTTGAACCAAGGGCATCATCCCGTTGCTATAACATTTGTTATTGTTATTTCTTTTTTTTTTTAACTCCAATAATTCATTGTAATATAGCCTCAAAATGTTTTTTAGTAAGTAACTATTTTTCCCTTTATATTTATCATTGTTAATGAATCTAATTTTCCAAACGTTCATAATTTTTTTTTTTTTTTTTTTTTTTTCTTGTTCACTGTTCTTTAAGTTGTTACCCATTGTGTTCAGGTTGTGAGTCGTGTTATTCTGATTAGTAGTAATATTTTTCTGTGAGATTTTCCCTAATATTTTGTGTTCCATATTGCTTATAAAATTTAACACATAAATAGACACAAAGGGATTGTTGTTCTCATTCTTGGAAAAATTTTTTTGATTTCTCAAATTTTTGTACAATCGATTTATTTCTTCAAACGTAGATTTTCTTTTGGATTTTCCATTTTCTTCATTTGATTCATAATTACTGCTGTACGTAATGGTTGGACGTGGATAAAATAACAGAGAGGAATCAGAATAATCTGGGCGAAAATTTTCATTTTCTTCCGCTGAATTACCATACCCTGCATCATCTGATAATATATCTAATAATTTAATTTTTTTATAATCATTTAAATAGTAATAACTTGGTTTATTAAAAACATCATTCTTTACATTGAAGAGATAATTGCGTATGGTTATGCCGTTTTCCATTCCTCCACACTTTTCCATAACCCATTTCAAACAGTTATTGTTCTCACTACAATCGTTTCTGTTATTATAAATATTATTCTTATCTTTAACAAAACAACAGAGAAATATTCTTCTCCCATAAAATTTTTTCTTTTTAATACAGTTATGAATATTATTTAAATAAATGTATTGGAAAACATTTTTATTGTAGCAATTTTTTTTATATCTGTTTGTGAAAACATATATTTTCTTATTTTTATAAATTTCCTTTTTTCTTTTTTTTCTCTTCCTCGCTGTCATTTTTAATATGTCATATTTTTTATTTTTTAAATTCATACTTCTCAGCATATGGCAACAGTGTGGTTTGTCAATCAAATATATATTTTTTATATGCATATTTATCTTATATATATTTTTCCCTTTTAAATTGGACAAATAAATGAATAGGGAAAATAATGATACCAGTTGATCATAAGAAAAACATTTAAAATAGTTAAAAAATTTAAATGAGTTGTAATTCACTTCGAATCCCGTTCCTTTGTAAAGTGAAATGTAATTTCCATTGTCCAGCCTCCCATTATTCCTTTCGTTTATTATATCTCTTGATGAAGTACTTCCTAGAAAAGATGTTGCTAGTGGGGAACTTCCAGAATCGATTCCATTTCTATTATCATCTCGAAAATCCTCCACATTATTCTTCCTGTGAATTCTAATGTACGGGTTTACACATTGGAAGTACGTGTAATCGCTTGTGTAAAAATGTCCATGGTATATGTAACAATTCTTATCCATTACAACAAAGGTGGGAAGGGATATTTCCAACTCACTTAGTGCTTGCTTTAGTGCGTTCAAAATTAAATTACTTATGGAATGATTCTCTATAACAATGTACTGTTCCTCCTCGGGGTTACTCCTGTCTATGATTTCCAGTTCCACATATTCGTTCACTAGTGAGGACGGGGAAGGGGAGGTTATGTCAGAACAATGGGATGAAAATGAAACGATTGCGGATGAGCTTGCACAAAAAACAAATAAGTGAATAAATTAAGCGAATCATTGCATGTCGTGATATACACAAGGCCAGCTAGCTGTGCTATTGTGTACACAAATTGGTCAGGTAAAATGACAGTAAAAAAAAAAAAAAAAAAAAATATATATATATATATATATTACCAAAAAAAAATCGCTGTATGGGAAACGTCCTAGCGGGGAAGAGAACAATCTCGGGACAATTTAAATTTCCATGGAGACAATAAAACGAATTGACAATTGTCACATTTTTATTATAAGCATAAGAATTATCATTAAAGTTAAAAGGGATAACATTTTGGCATTTATTATGGGGGTAATATATATAATTTAATTTTATACAATATTCTTTTTTTGTTGCAACCTTTTTTAAAAAATTACATGTATCATCAACTGCTATAAATAAAGAAAGTGGAGATAATGGTTTGCTCCCTTTCTCAATATTTATGAAGGCATATTTCTCTTCATATTTTCTCTTCGTCTCTATAATATTCAATTTTTTTAAGCTTACTAGGATATCTTTTGTAAAAATTTCAAAGTCACTCAGTCTTGTGAAATCTGTGTAATCATCCTTATAAATGGTTTCCAGTTTGTTCCTTTCTATATAATTCATTTTCCCCTAATTTTGTCACGCTGCGTTTGGGATTATATGGTGATGCATGCGTTTGTGCCTCCGTTCGTGTCTGTGCCTATTTGTGTGTGTGTGCATATCCCTTTTTGAGAAAGTTCTTTGCTTTGTTTAGTTTTATTTTTTTTTCCTTGATACATATTTTTAACCTTTATTTACCTTTTGCGTTTCACAAACATATAAAAAGGCTCAATGTCATTCAATTTGGCCAAAGCGTGAAACTCAGGATGAAATGCATGACATATGACGTGGGTACATTTGCCTTTCATACTTTTTGGTGAGCCAAAGCTGATTGGTGTGCGTGTACACTTTGCCATACGGGGAGGGAAAAAAAGAAAAAATCATACTCATAATTAAAATCAGAATTGAAGCGCAGAAAAAATCAAGCAAACGATAAAAATAAAGATAAGGCAAAGGTGAAGCAAAGATGAGCGCATATAAAGCTAGGAACCAATAAGGGAAAAACAGAGCTAAATTGACGAAAAAATGGAGGAATAACAAAGGTAAATCGACGAAAAAATGGAGTAAAAACAAGGCTAAATTGACAAAAAAAATGAAGGCAAAATAATGATAAAATAAAAATAGGATAAAAACAAGCACACGTAAGGCAAAGCAAAATAGAAAATAAATTTGCAAACAAAAGAGAAATTCAAAGACTAAACGAGTGGGGGTAGGAGAATGGCGTAACATTAAGCGTACAGCACATGCATAAAATATAGTTTTTTATATCCATAGGATAATCATGGGGAGCCTGTGAGTTAAGGAAACAAAATGAACACGCAACTAATAATATAGTGTCACGCATCAATGAATAGGAAATTTGCAATACATTTGGTGAACCCACTATAACAAGGTTAAAAAAAATGCTGGCCAAGAATTGCGAAATTTTTAACACAGTTAAATAACGGAGTCATCTATTTTATTTGTGTATCACTTATATATTTACATATTTGCATACTTACATATTTGCATAATTGCATACTTACATATTTGCATAATTGCATACTTACATATTTGCATAATTGCATACTTACATATTTGCATAATTGCATACTTACATATTTGCATAATTGCATACTTACATATTTGCATAATTGCATATTTACATATTTTCATACATGCGTATTCACATACTTGCATATTTGCATACTTTCGTGTTTATTTCATTTTTTGTACTCTTAACATCTGAAATAATTTTTTTTTTTTTTTTTTTTTGTTCCATTTTTGATTCATATTAGCGACATATTCACGGAATAAGCTTAATAAATAATTATTTTACCTTTCAAATGAATGTAACTTGAAAAGACGAATAAAATTTTCTTCAATTTTTTTCAATTTATTCCTTGTGACTAGTGAGAAAATTTTTTTTTTTTTTTTTAAATTGTCACCTTGTATGAACTTTACGTATACCTTTGTGTACCTCTACAAATACATTTTTAATCTTAGCCCTTCCCCCTCCCCCAGAGTTACCTATTCACAGACATTAAGCATATTGGAAAATGGGTAGTGAGAGGAGGAGGGATCCTTTTTTTAAAAAGTATTACAACCTAATTGAAAACTATGAAATCGAAGCAGTGGTAACATCCGGATAAACGCAAACATTTCATAGCATATTTTTTTAAACAATTTTACGGGGTTCTGAAAATGTGCTAGAAGAAAAGTAGCTCATTTTCTGCATCTTGTTACATATCCTTTGAGGATTCATGGCCCTATTAACAATGGTTCGTATGTGTATATGTGGAATATGTGTTGTAAGGAATTATTGCCAGGTCAATGTGGTAGAGAAAAAATGGCTACCCAAAATTGCCCTCTCCAAACCGATAAAATAATGAAAAGAAAAATCACATGTTTTATAGAATTGACATAAAAAAATTAACTTCACATTTTGAGCATATATGGATATTTGTTTATGTCTATACAATTTTACAAGGGAGTAAAGTATTTTATATATTCAAAGCATTCGAGATAAAAAAAAAAAAAAAAAAAAAACAGCTCTTAAAAAAAATAAAAAAAAATATGAGACGCAAAATTTACAATCATGCAAATCTTACATTTTTTACACATTTTCTCGTTGCAAGGTTGTTTCTGGGGAATATTACATCGTGTGAATCGCAGAACAGGAGCACACAACTAAACATTTCCAGCCCCAAGGGGATGTAATTAAAAGTTGAAAAAAGAAAAAAAAAGAAAAAAAATGAAAAAAAATGAAAAAAAAAGAAAAAAAATGAAAAAAAATGAAAAAAAATGAAAAAAAATGAAAAAAAATGAAAACTCCGTATTGGGGGACCGTACCCCTTCACTTTTTATTTAACCTGTCCAATTGTTTTTTTTTCTTATTTTCTTATTTGTTCATTTCTCTACTCGTTTATTCACGTGTTTATTCACGTGTTTATTCACGTGTTTACCCATTTGTTTGCCCATTTGTTTACTCATTACTTTTACGCATTTTTTTTTTTTTTTCCTGCATCCATTTGCTCAGTCTCTATTCTCAAATTACTTGCTCGTCACGCGCACGCACGCAAAAGTATATGTATATGTGCATATATATATAGACGTGTTTTCCAAGTGCGAAGGACTAAAAAGGGGAAGATAGGTTTTAGATTAACTTGAAAAATTGTGGGGGCACATATGCAAATGTTCTGAAAACAACTCCCTACAAATGTTGCTGTTGCATTTAGGACATATAAACTTGGAATTCTCCTTCAACTTGAGCATTAAATTTGATCTTAAATAATTGTCATTTTTAGACATGCCAATATAGTTTGTGTGCAAAAAGTTTAATTCCTGTTCGTTAAAATTCATCTTACAAGGGGAGAAAATGCCGGGACAGACAGAAATATGCACATGTACATAAAAGTTTATATTTTTTATTTCTCTTTTTTTTTTGCCAAAAATATTTTCCAAACCCTCCACTACACAAAATGCACAAACAGGGTAGGGAGAGAGGGAAATTATCAAATGGAAGAATCTTTAAAAAATTAATAAATTTTTTTTTTTTTTTAAAAAGGGGGGATATGACAATATATAGTAAATAACATAGGGGTGGGGGTGAAGGAAAATAAAAAAAAAAAAAAAAAAAAAAGGAGTTGGTAAAAAAGGGTGCCCACAGAGCTCTGATTATTTGATACGCTTAAAAGTTGCAGTTATTGAGGAATCCATATCATGAGGATGATATAGATATTCCCAATTTTTGCAGGATAGACATTCCAGATTTTCTCCTAATTTCACAGGATAGTCATTCCAAATTTTATTTAATATCGCAGGATAGTAATTCCAAATTTTATTTAATATCGCAGGATAGTAATTCCAAATTTTATTTAATATCGCAGGATAGTAATTCCAAATTTTATTTAATATCGCAGGATAGTAATTCCAAATTTTATTTAATCTCGCTGAATGGACGTATTTTTTCTTGCTTATGTGTATGTGAATGTTTGAATTAGTTTTCAACTTTAATAAAAAAAAAAAAAAATAAATAAATAAAAAAGGTAAAATATCTGAGTAAAAAAACTTACACACAAATATGGCCTAAATAGCTGTCTAAACAACTGCATAAGTAAATGCATTATAATATTAACATGGAAAAAAATGAATAAACGAAGAGAATAGATGTTAGCCATATTTTGCTCCTTTTTACAAATTTAAAAGAAGGATATTACACCTCATGAGTTTGAATTCATATGCATGAAGAGGGAGAGAGAGAGAGAGAGAGAGGGAGAGAAAAAAAAAAAAAAAAAAAAAAAAAAAAAGACCTATAAAATGGCATGTGTGAGATAAGTAAATTAACTTAGTATAATAGTCTTACCCAAATGAAACATATTTACAACGCAAACAGATCAGAGAGGTGAGAGGTAAGAGGTAAGAGAAAAGGAATTAAACTCTTGTTACACCTTTGATGACATATAACCAAAAATGAGTTACATAAAAGATATATTTTGCTCAACCAATAAGTATCGAACCATATTTTACACATTTGAGATGAATTAATCTATTAATTTTGAATTTTATTCGTACCAAAAGAATATCTTATAAGGAAATATCACCAAACCGAGCATATATTTTCTCCTTAAAATGTAGAATTTATGTAACTCATACATATGTATGTTGATGAATACATTAAGAGAACAAAAAATAATCAGGAGAGCTCTCTTCCCTTTCCCCTGACTTTTTTTTTTTTTTTTTTTTTCCCATAAAAATGAACATCATTTTTAACTATTTGTTAAAAAGGATTTAATGAAGAAAAGGACTTGTTTCACTTCTTAAAGTTTTAAAAAAAAAAAGATCCTTTTGTTTTTTAAGTGTTTAATTGTTGTGCGTATTGGTTTAGGGTTTAATTTGGTTTGTCGAAGTTTTTTTTTTTTTTTTTTTTTTTAAGTGAATATTAATAAAAAAAAAAAAAAAAGATCTGAAAAGGAGTTACACAGGTCTACAATTTTGTAAGCAGGTACTTTTGTTGATATGCATACGTACGCATGCGTGTGTCTATTTCAACATGCACATTTATGTGTGTAATTATTTTCTAAAACGAATGAGAGTGAAGAAAAGTGTCATATTAATTATGTGTGGGGAGAGAGAGAAAGAAAAAAAAAAAAAAAAAAAAAAAAATATATAAATATGAAAAGCTTGAAACGTCTGAATGACCGAAAGAAATTGTCAGCCTTTCCACCAGCTTCTTGAATTACCTTGTGTCATCTGTTCAAAATAAAATTTTTACCATTTCCTCTTTTTGCCACATTCTTTTGGAAAAAAAAAAAAAACCTTTACCTTCATGTCACATGTTTTTTTTTTTTCTCTGTCTATCACTGTAGTAGCCTTCAAGGCGATGGGTCCAGTATATCACGGTGCACTTTTATTTGCTCATGCATAAATTCTTATGTACGTATGTATATATATATATATGTATATATCTGTATATGTATGTGTGTGTATGTACTCATGTATGTATTTTTATATGCTTACACGTATTATGTCCCTGTTACACAAAATTGCAAAAATTGAGGGAAAAAAAAAAAAAAAGGTAGGAAACGGAAGGATCGTAAATTTATTCAAGTGGTTCATTCTTAAAAATTGAAAATTCTACCTCTTCGAAATTCTCTTTCTGAATATGGGCTCTAATTTTTTGGACTGCATTAATTTATGCATCCATGATATCAATAGGGACACACAAAGCCGTTAACTTTTGTTGTTTCGAATTTTGCCATTTTTCACCTTTCATAATTTGTTAATTTGTTAATTTGCTAATTCGCTACTTCACTTCTTTGTTTGGTTGCTAATTTGTTCTCAAAAAAGGGTACACAAAAGAAAAAAAAAAAAAAAAAAGAATAATCTATTTTTTTTTTTTTTTTTTCCCTTCAAGTTTTTACATAATTTTCTTCAATACCTTTTCTCCATCCACTTTTTTCAATTAAAACTTGCTTTTTTTGTGTGTGACTGAGTAGTAGGGATAGGGACTACAAAAAATGTTTGACCTAGTTTACCATTTCTAAGTTCTCCTCTTTTATGACCTCATCTCGATGTTCTGACATGTGTGTTGAGGGAAAGTATTTACAACAAGAAATGTGGGTAAGTAAGTTATATGGTGAGGATTTAGTATTTCTTCGTTAATTTGAGCTTAAATCAGCTGGATTTGCCAATTTTATGATAGCTAAATCTGTGCACAGAGAATTCTATATATTTAATTGCTTCATTAATACATATCTCGACACGCACCATTTTATACATATTTTATCTTCTTCTTCTTTCTTCTTCTTTTTTTTTTTTTTTTTATTTTTTCTTCCCTTCTTCCTTTCTGCTTCTTTTTTCTAAACTCCCCTCAAGGAATTGATAAGGATTTTCATATAATATGGGAGTACCTTTTTTTTGCCCAATCGAATTTTCTTCCCTTTTTTTTTTTTTTTTTTTTTTGTTTTTTCTACCTCATTAATGGTATATTCATTAAACCCGATTTTGCATAACCACATTATCCATTTTCCACTGAACTTGATGTAACCTAGGAATTTTTAAAAAAAAAGGGGTTCATTAATGTTAGTCCAACATTGGAGAGTAGTGCACAAAATATACCTATACATACACAAGTTCATGCTTCCCTTTTCCAAGTCGTCCAAGAGAGTTTTTCTATTTTACATGCAGAAAAATAAGCAAGAATGTGCACATAGAACGTAATTAAGCATAACTACACAATTTTGTTTTATTTACACCAAAAAAATTGCTGTGATAAAGAGGGGGGGGGTGAGGGAAGGACCTACAACAGTTGGATGCAAAATAGTTGGATGCAAAATAGTTGGATGCAAAATAGTTGGATGCAAAATAGTTGGATGCAAAATAGTTGGATGCAAACGAGTTGGATGCAAACGAGTTGGATGCAAACGAGTTGGATGCAAACGAGTTGGATGCAAAATAGTTGGGAAAGACACTGCATCAACCCTGTTACCTGTATTCCCTCGTGCCACTTCTCCTTCAGTGTGACAAATTGGACGTATGAGTGAGACACAAATACCGAAGAAAGCATATCACACTCACTGATATTTGTCTTGTCCCATCCCTGTGCACATTCAGCGTAACCCCATAAGGAACACCACTGTTGAAGCTCGAGAGTTTTTTTCCTAATTTTTCTTAAAACGTGTGATATTCCTTTTACTCAAAGTGAGAACTTGGGATAGCCCAAAATATCTCTACTTTCTTCAAAATAATTCGAGAAATCTTAATCATAAATGAAGGACCAATTGAATATGATGGAGGGATGTGTGAAAGGTGATAATAATAATGAGGAGAATAACGAGAATAATAATAATAATAATGAGAACAATAATGAGAACAATAATGAGAACAATAATGAGAACAATAATGAGAACAATAATGAGAACAATAATGAGAACAATAATGAGAACAATAATGAGAACAATAATGAGAACAATAATGAGGAGAGTAAAGATAGTTGCTATGACTGCAAATTGAAATTCCTAATTGAAGGTAAAATGATGGAAACAAAAAATGTGGTGGATTTTATAAAGCCATTGAAAGATGATATTAAAGCTTTGGATTTTTTACTTTTCGATATGTTAAAAGATAATTTACCACATAATCTTTTCGAAATATTATGTAGAATTCATGATTTGTCAGAAAAATATAGTGAAAATCCAACAGATGAAAATTTTGGAATGTTAAAAAATTGTATATACAAGCTGGATGATTCATATTTAGGAACCATTGTAAATGCTTTTGGTCATATGTGTATTTTATCCAATTTTGCTGAGTGGGCTCATAGAGGAAGAAGACGAAAAGCTTTTGACAAATCCTTCACTCCAAATAATAAAATATATGGTTCTGTTGATGAAACATTGAAAGGAACATTCCACATGTTGATAAACAATGGATTTGACATTAATGAAATATATGAACAACTATGCAATCAGACAATAGATTTTGTACTGACGACTCATCCTACACAAGCTATCCGAACATCCCTTTTGAAAAATTACATTCAATTGGCTGAATTACTATTAAAGCTAGATAATACAGATAAAGAATTATATAAAAAAAAATTATTGTATGATAATTTAAAAACATATTTATTAGCATCATGGAAAACAGATGTTATTAGAAGAATTAAACCAACTCCAATAGATGAAGCAATTTCTCTAGTTGATATTGTAGAAAATTGTATTTTTTATCGAATTCCTAATATTATAAGATATATAGATAATGTATTTTTTGAATATAACATGCCTCCAATTAAGTTGTCCTCAAAAATTTGTTTGTTCTCTTCATGGGCTGGAGGGGATAGAGATGGAAATCCATTTGTTCTTCCAGAAACTACTAGATATGTATGTTACATGAACAAAATAAGAGGATGTGAATTATTTATTCCTATGATTGAAAAATTGATAAGAGATTTAACTCTTCACCATTGTACTCAACACTTTAGAAGTTACGTTAAATTACTAGAAGATGAAGTATCACATTACATTTTTGACAAAGACAGAAAATATTTATCTCAGAAATTTCATTGGTTCTCTCCATTTTCGAAATCAAATAAAAATGAAATATATCGAAGAGCATTACTAGTTGTATGGGCAAAATTAAAAAGTGTTATACATGTATACAAAGCTTTGATTTCATGTCAACCAGTAGATGAAGACTTTGAAAAATTAATGTTTAACAATTCAGATGAATTTGAAGAAATTTTAATGGAATGTTATAAAAGCTTATCCGAGTCTGGAAATTCTCTCATTGCTGAGGGGTACCTAAAGGATGTTATTAGAAATGTGAAAATCTTTGGTCTACATTTAATGAAACTAGATATTAGACAAGAGTCTGAAAAACACATCCAAGCAATGGATTATATATGTAAAAAATTACAAATTAAAAAATATTCCCTCTTGTGTGAAGAAGAAAAAATTGATTTTTTAACCAATATTCTACAATCAAGTAGACCATTAATACCGAATAATATAGAACAAGAAGAAGATGTTCCAAACGACTTTTTAAATGTTACTAAAACATTTGATGTGTGTTCTCAAATTGAGGAAAATGCATTAGGTGCATACATCGTGTCAATGTGTAATCATGCTTCTGACATTTTACTTGTTGAAGTATTCCAGAAAGAGTTAAAAAAAAATGCACAGAGAAAAACACAGAGAGTTGTTCCATTATTAGAAACTATTCAATCTTTGCGAATGTCATGTACCATTTTAGAAAATCTAATTAAAAACCCTTGGTATAAAACTCATTTAAGTACTCATTTTGATAATAAACAAGAAATTATGATTGGATATTCAGATTCAGGGAAAGATGGTGGTAGGTTCACATCTGCATGGGAATTATTTAAAGCACAAGAAAAACTAGTACATATAGGAAAACAATATTCTGTAGAAGTTCGTTTTTTTCATGGTAGAGGCGGTAGTGTTAGTAGAGGTGGAGGCCCACAACATCTAGCCATTTTGTCACAACCAATTGATACTATAAAAAATTACCTAAGAGTAACCATACAAGGAGAAGTTATAGCACAAGATTTTGGACTAAAAGGTATGATGTTAAGATCGATAGAAACATATATGAGCGCCCTTTTGAAATGTTCCATATTACAAAATACAGTTTTGATAAAGGAAGAATGGAGACAACTAATGGATGAAATTAGCGAATTAACAACAAAAGAATACAGACAAGTTGTTTATGAAACTAAAGATTTTGTGAAATATTTCAGATGTGCAACACCACAGGTAGAAATAGGGAAACTGAATTTGGGTTCAAGGCCATCAAAGAGAAAACAAGGAAATGTAGAATCGCTAAGAGCAATCCCTTGGGTTTTCTCATGGACACAAAATCGAATGCATCTACCTGTATGGCTAGGTATTGAGCAAATTTATGATTACCTCATAAGAAATAATAAATTAAAACTCATGCAAGATATGTACAAAAATTGGCCATTCTGTACTAGCTTCTTCAACCTAATTAGTATGGTTATGGCAAAAGCTAGCTTACAAATAGCAGAAGAATATGATATCCTAGTCCCAGACGAATTAAAACACATTGGAAAAATTCTAAGAGAGAAATTAAAAAAAGCCATGGAATTGACATTTCTAGTTACAAATGAAAAAAACTTTTGCGATAACGATCAGCTAACCAAAAGGTCTATTGAGAGTAGAACCAAATGGGTAGCTGTTTGTAACTTGATTCAGATACAAGCACTTAAGCGGCTGAGGGAGCATGAGCAGCAGATGGAGGCACAACAAGGGTTGGAAGAAGAGATGGAAGCACAACAAAGGTTGGAAGAAGAGATGGAAGCACAACACGGGTTGGAAGAAGAGATGGAAGCAGGAGGGAATGTGGAGAAACTTAATAAGGATAAGCACTGTACGAGCCATGATACAATATCAAGTAAAAATTATCATCCTAGTAATGATTTCAACGGAGTTATCGAAAATAGTGAAAGTCTGCAGGGAAAGATGAAAGAAAAACACTTTAATTTAATTAAAAGATCTGAAATGAATTCTATGGATAATAATTACGAGAGTGGTATAAACCAAAACAGGAACTTGCGTATTCATTCTTACTTGAGTAGAAAAAAAAGCAAATTAATAAAAAATCCAAAGTTCCATCCTTTACTAGAATCACACTCTTCTGATTATATACAACATGAGGTTGAGAAAAGCTTTTTTTTTGAAGACCTAAGAAGAATGCAACTTTCGTATGAAAGGTTATCATCCAAGGCACACGATTCGACCTATGACGAGATAACAAAGACGTACATGGATTATACCTCCTTGAATGATGCATTGATAGTATCTATCAAAGCAATAGCGGCAGGAATGCAGAACACTGGTTAGAATGGAGAAGGATTTTGAATTCATGTCTCCTCAGATCGGCATGTTGAAGTTACCACTAGAAGTTCAAGCAAACCTGAGCAGCATTAACCACCTCCCATACTTAAACAGTATTACACATATGTGCATAAATCCACATTTATACGCAATTATAGTATTCTCATTTAGTCGTAGATAAGCTTGGAAAAAAAACATAAAATTTTAAAAAAAATATATTTTTTTTCTTTTTCTTCACACCATTGATGTGTGTCACAAAAAGTAACTTGTAAAGACATTTACATGGATACTGTTGTTATCCAGGTTTTTGTTTTGAACCCAAATGGTGCCGCTCAACTGTAGCAAATAAATACATTAATATTTGAGTGCACACATGTTCGTGTATATGTTAGCTATACATGACGGAAAAAAGGGCGTAGCTCTTCCTTTTCATTTCTTCTTTCTTCTTATTTCTTCTTCTCATTTCTTCTATTTTTTTTTTTTTTTTTCCCCAGTAATAATTATATGGGACGCTCCCGTTTTTTTTTTTTAAAAATCAACAGCTTGATAGAGGTCATGCTGACGAAGCGACTTCACATCGACACCGAACTTAAACATCAATAAGAGATGTAAATAATTCTTTAAAATGTTTAGCAGCTTTTTTTGTTTCTTTACATACGAATAGAAATTCTTGTCAAAAAAAAAAAAAAAAAAAGGGTCGTTCTGGTGGATCTATAAGTATATATATATATATGTATATATATATATATATATATATATATGTAATAAGAGTGTACATTTTATTATGCTCCCACCTCTCCTAACTTCCATAAGGTATCTTACCTGAATCGCATGGTGTATCCCTATTTTGCATATGTTTAAATCCTCTTGTTTAAAAACAGTTTCAAAATGATATGGCGTTGAAATAATGAATCAAGAGAAGGATGAAAAATTCTTCAACGAAAAGCTACAAGAAGAGCTTCAAAGACTTAGGGAATATCCGATAATTCAGGGTATATTAGCACCCCATTTTAATACAGAAAAAAAGGCAAAAAGGAAAATAAAAAATAAAGTAGGATATTTATACAAACTAATTGAATCTCACTGTGTAAATAAAATAATTTGTGATTTTCTTTTTCACAAAAAATGTGGAAAAAGATATATAAAAGTTTACCCTACTATTCCTTTCTTTTCTGTAAAAAAAAAAGTTGAAATTAAAAAAAAAAGTAAAGAACTCGTTGTGACGTTGACAGATAATATTCCATTTAAAATATCATTCCTTTTAATAAATCGAGACAAAGATTTTTTTATCTTTTTAAAAATTACCCATTATGTGAAGAAGGAATCATTAAACAAGTTAGGAAATTCTTCACTCTCCCCCTTCCTAATCTTTGCGTATGATGAATATGTAAGAAGTTTATTACATGGTCATAACCAATATGAGGAAAAATGGAACCATGAAATATGTACACCTGGGATAAGCAAAAAATGTGTGTGTCCAAATGGGGGAATTTCATCTCTCCCTGAATTGGTCAAACTGGATGAGGAAAAGGGTTCCTTAGTATGTAGTATCAGAGGAGATTATCATAAGGAAAGTGAGAACAAATGTGAAGCATTCTCCAGGAGAGGTGCAACAATTTTAAAAAAAAAAAAAAGTATAAAGAAAGGGGATGCAAAAAAATTCGTTGACCATCATCTGCTGTTAATTAACTACAGAAATTGCAATAAGGTAACATACACCACCTTTTTGGATCAATTAGCCATTGCTATATTTAAACATTTCTCACTTGTAGAAAATTCAAACATATTTCGTGAGATTTCTACAAACTCGAATGTTAAAGGAGATCAGCACACCAATCATAATCATGATGGTGAAGAAAAAATTGCCCCTCCTTTGGAAACGTCAAATAGGAGAAGTAGTAAACCCAGAGGAGAGAAAAATGTAAATCAAATTTCTCCATTGCATAAAAAGAGTAGTGGAAGTACTCCACAGAATGATAGAACAAACAAAACATTTCAATCGAAAATGGGTTCCCTCTCAGTAGACAAGAATGGTAATAAGCATTGTGCGAAAACAGCAAGGAAGTTAAAAACTAATATTTTTTTAAAAGTGCGAAAAAAAAATTATAAAATTTGTTCCTCCCATTCGTCTTTTTTGTCGAGCCAAACTGGTCAAATTGGTCAAACTGGTATAACTGACCAAATTGACCAAACTGGTCAAAGCGAGAATAAAGCAAATTCCTTTTTCTCTTTAAGTGAGGCACAAGGTGTGCAACAAATTCCCCATTTGCTAGCGGAACAAAATTGTCGAATTTATATTTACACCAACAAAATAGAAAAGGAAAAAGAAATTTTTTTAACCTTTCATAGTAGGACTAAGTGCTTTTTTGTTTTTATATCTCCTTTTTTGGCATACATAAATGCGAGAAACAGCGAAATTATATGTCTTCACCATATGGGGTGTGGTAAAAATTCGTATAATACCTTCAAAGAGCAGACTATGGAAAACACTTGGATGAAAGCAATGTACCATGAGATAACTCACTTTTTAGAGAAACTGTCTCATTCAATTCATGCCATTTATGAAAAAAACAAAAAGTGTATCAAAAAGCTTCAAAAATATCTCACCAATAGAACATTAAAGGGAAACATCAATTATCTCAGTATGAACAAACATGTACAAACTGAGGAAGCTAGAGGGAGAAAAAAAAAAATATATATATACACCTACACATTTCACACCATAGAGGATAATTTTTTTATGGAAAGGGGAAAAGACTATCCAGAAGGGTGTTTAAAAGGACCTTCAAAAGACCACATACTGACGAAATCGAAATTGTTTCAAAAAGTTAAAAAAATTTTAACAGAATGTAAGAGTTTTAATCAAAATGTGAGATTCAATTTTGTGGAGAAAAAATTGGAAAAAGTATGCTTAAATATGACAGATTTGTTAACATGGTATACGCAATTTCGATTGACCACACGTTGGAACAAAAGAAATGGATATATTTGTGTATACTTCTTCAAAATGGATATATCATTAGATAATAGCAAAAAAGATGAATGTAAAAATGATAGTTTAGTTAATCATCAAACTGGCCATTATTATGAGTCTACAAATCTGCACAATACCAACAAGAACGTAATGTTAAATATCTCCAATCAGAATAAGATGCAATTAATTTGTACCTTTCATGTTGCATCCCCTAGGAATAAAATGTTTAAAATAACAAGAAAATTGTGTGTATTTTTATTCACCCTTTCACATAAATATGAAAAGTTTCCAAATTTAGATCTCCTATACATGTTAAGACATGTTCACCATGCTGTTAGAAAATTTCCATATCTTTACATTTGGTACGCAGAGGGTGTAGTACCCAAACGATTCTTCTCGAATTATGTGTCAGACATGTGTCACGATCATAGGTTGAGGCCACATGCTAGATCATATTTCTCTATGTATTATCAGAATTTATTTTCCCTTCCAAGTGCCTCTAGGTCGGTTATGTTGAAGTTCTTAAAAAGAAAAAGGAAAAAAATGCTCAGGAAATTTTTATTTAAGGGGAAAGAATTTTCTTTCCTTCAAAAAATGCACAAGATACTGTTATATTTTTACCTTTACATTCTAAGAAAATTGTTCAAAAAGTTGTTCAACTGCAAGTGTGCCATTGGTTGTGTTAGACGAGGAAAAGGAATAAATAATAAGGATAAAAAAGAGGTGCATAAAAAAGGCATATTCAGAGAAGGATTGTTACGAAACCAATTCGACGAATTTATTAAAAGAATTAAGATGGAAAAAAAAAAAAAAAAAATTTATTCCCATTTTCGAAATTGCGTGAGCACTTTCCTCAGTCCCCATGAAAAGGATTCTTGTTCTGGTGAAGAAGTAAGTGGAAAGTTGGATACTGTCAAAGAAGAGGATAGCAACGGAAAGCAGAATAAAAATTTTTTTGTTTTGAAACCTGTTTTTATGGATAGGAATTACTGGTTGAGTGAAAGAATAACATCTAAATGGGAGAGAACCCAAAGCAAAGCCAAATATGAGAAGGTCAGTGATTCTTATGCTTACCTCTATAACAGCAACAATCATAGCAACAATTGTGCAAGGACACATAACGACTCTTCTATGAAGGAAAGGGATGTATACACATTTACAGCAGAGAAGACGTATGCCAGTTTGTTCAGTATGAAAAATATGAAAAAATTGGTTCATAAAGTGGGACCACTATTAATCGACAAACTGGAGGAAAAATTTTACGAGAGTGGAAACTTCCTTTTAAATGTAAATACGCATAAAAAGGAATTGCATGGAATAGTAATCCAATTTGAGGAGGAGATAAAAGACATTGTATATTCTATGCGAGAAGCATCGATGACATCAGAAATAATAACACACTGCTCTGAACCAGATGGTACAAATTTACAAAAAATAGATGATAACTCATCACCAAGTCTTAGTGATGAAAATGCTAATAAATTGCTATATCATATATGCAAAAAAAAAAAAAACGTTTATAAAAACTTATCCATTTTTAACATTCCCATTGAATGTGTGAAGAAGGAAAAATTACATCACATTAGGTGGGAAAAAATGAATATTAAAATAGTGAGAGATTTCTTTAGATATGAGAAATGTTCATTTGAGGGATTATTTCAAAAGGGCAAAAGAGGTGGTAGTATTAGTAACATCAATAGTGCACACACAATTAGGTTGAACTATTTGGTCTTTTTTGTAAATGGACACACAACTTTCTGTGTGAATATTTTTTCGAATACGTATAAAAAATGGAATAACTCAAGAGATGCGATTTCACGAGGAAAGGTTTATTTTTTGAATGTATATAAAAACGATTTAATGAAAAATATGTTTATAGAAAGATTTCTTAATTTTTTGGAGGATCTTTTTTCATATGTAGAGGAAATTATTCCCGTTATAAAAAAAAAAAAATGTAAGGTTGATGGGAAAAATAACAGCACTCTTTTGTTTAATGTGTGCAAAATATTTTGCTATGAATTAAAGCAAAGAAAATATGAGTTAAGGAAAATTTACAATCTGCAAAAGGAGGCGCAATTTTATTTATTCCTTTTCACCTTGCCAAGTCAGGCAATTCTTTTTTCTTATTCCATCGATAAGTATGAAAAGGGGGAGAAACAAAATGGCCGTTTATGTAACCCGTTTTTTGTCAAAATTTTGGCGCAGAATAAACATTACGATGTTTTTATAGAAAGAGTAAATTGCAACACACGAGGAGGAGGAGCAGGGGAAAACGTGTAAAAACGGAGGGAGCTAGGGAGGGAAGCAGGTTAGACGGTTTATAGAAGACATGGAAAATTATTTTGGAAAAAAAAATTCTGACCATGTCATAACATTTAAAATAAAAAAAAAAAAAAAAAAAAAAAAAAAAAACACCTACTGCTATTGCTATTGCTACTATCATTACCGTTCATTTTATTTTATTTTTTTTTTGGCCAAATAAGGGGAACACATGCCACAATCTCTTGGGACCCCGTTTTTGCTGCGTTCGTTTGTAGGCTTTTAAAAGAGAATTACTTAACGTGAATGAATTTTATTGAAGTTTTCTCCTTAAGGAGCTACTAGTATTATCTTTTGTTTTGTACTCCTCGCATGCATACATATTGTTAATGTAGCGTTTGTGATTTTTACCTTAACGTGCATAATCTTTATCATTTCTAATTTGTGCTGTGTGGGATATACCCTTCGTCCCGTCATAGCAAAAATAAATAAATAAATAAATAAAATAAAAGGAAAAGAAAAAAGGGAGAAACGTTGAAATGGATAAAAAATAACGTCTATATTTTTATACAAATGCAGTAGTGTACATCCCCCCATTTGTTTTCATAAATTCATGATTATAGGATAGTGAACAATTCTTGCAGTTCTTCCAAGCTCTTGCAATTTTTCCAAAATTTTGCATTTTTTTTTTTTTTGTCATTTGTTCAGAATTTTTAATAGTGGTCAATTTTTTGTTCTAATTCATGTGTAATTGGAAAAAAAAAAAAAAAGAAAAGAAAAAGACAAATTTTAACCTTTTTGTTCATTTCCTGACATTTTGTTTGTTATTTTGGTGTGATATAATACACATAACATTTAATTTTTTTTTTTTTTTTTTTTTTTACAAAAACAAGTGTATGTACAAAAGATTTTCTACATATTGCATGTTTACATGTCCTTAAAGTTATCCCTAAGTGCATTTGCCTACCATGAAACATTAACACATTAGAAACAGAATAAAGTAGCTAAATTTTCAATGGAGAAAATTTAACGAACATTCGGACAAACTTGGAAAACAAGAGATAGCACAAAATTAAAAACCGAAACACGGTTAGGAATGCAAACACTCTTGCAGAACATCCCACAAATATGTATAAAGGCTTCTAGTGTCAGAAGTTTTAAAAAAAAAAAAAAAAAAAAAAAAATACGTGACCAAGAAAAGTATAGCTCAACTGTGAACCGTTAGGGAGAAAAGGGGGTGTACAATACTACAGTTAAGGTATTACCAAGTTGGTTCGTCTTTGAGGGAGAAAACTGATCATTCTCTCTTTCTCACACTGCTGCTTTCTCACACTGCTTCACCCCTTTGACCTGACCAATTTGTAGCACCCGCTATCATCGTCAAGCAGCACTGAATCCGGTGAGCCTCCAAAATGGAGAGCAAAAAGGAAGAGGCAGATTGTGCATACGACAAAATAAAGTATGAATTTTCGGATGTGAAATATACTGTGGATCATGGGAAACTTGAAATTTTACATGGGATCAAGGGTATTTTACTACCGAAAACTATAACAGTAATAATGGGACCAAGTGGTAGTGGGAAAACAACTTTGCTAAATATATTATCCATGAAAGTAACAGATGGTGTAGAAGGAAATTTTTTAATTAACGATACATACAGAACGAAACATATAAAAAGTTACATGGGGTATGTTTTACAAGATGATTATTTTTTTTCACGGTTAACTGTATATGAAACTATTGAATTTACAGCAAAATTGAAATTAGACATAAGAGATAAAAAAAAATTAAGTCAATTGGTTCATTCAGTTTTGGATATAATGAGTCTAACCCATGTTAAGGATACAATAGTTGGAGATGCATTTATAAGAGGGATAAGTGGAGGTCAAAGAAAAAGATTATCAATTGCAAATGAAATTCTGTCAAATCCACCTTTGCTTCTAATGGATGAACCAACAAGTGGATTAGATTCATCATCTGCCTTATCATTAGTTGAATGTATTCAAAGAATAGCGAAAATATCAAACACTACAATCATTTCTTCTTTACATCAACCTAGTAGTCAAGTATTTGCAAAGTTTGATAGACTTATAGCAATAACAAATGGGTATATTATTTATCATGGAAAAACAGCAAATTTGAACAAGTATTTAAAAAAGGTTGGATTCATATGTCCTTGTGGATGGAATGTTGCTGATTATTTAATGGACGTTTTATGCAACAATAAATTTGAAGTCATTTTACTAGAAAATTATAATAAATACCTTAAATACAATAATGAATTAGGGTATTATATGGATATTGATTCTATTGACAATAAGGTAATTCATGATGATTATGATACAATGGTGGATAAACAAATTAATGAAAATAACGAACAATTACAAAGTAGTGAAAAATATGTGAATGAGAAAAAAAAATTAACAAATATATCTATTCAAGAAATAAGCAATACAAGAGAACAAGACTTGGAAAAATTAAAAGCGGTTGAAGTGTTAATATCTTTGCAAGAAAAAAAAACTCCATATTTTAGACAAAGTATCTTTTTATTAATAAGAGGATTAAAAAAAATTATAATGGATGAAATAACCATAGTTAAAGTAATTGATCTGGTAGTTATATTAACATTATTTGGCTTTCTGTGGTCAAAAACGTTTAAAAATGACACGGAAGATGGAATCATTGATACAATTGGTGCAATTTTTTTTATATTATCTTATTGGACATTTTACCCTGCATACCTATCTTTATATTCCTTTCCTTCAGAAAGAGAAGTAATAGCAAAGGAAAGAAACATGAAAACATTTCAAATCAGTAATTATTTCTTTTCAAAAGTTTTTGCAGAATTTATTTTTTTTTTCGTATTAATATCATTTTGGGTTCTAGTCACACATCTTATCCTTTATGGAACCCTTAAATTTGAGGTATACATAAGTTACTGGTTTGTAACTTTGTTAAATGCATTGATTAGTAGTTCCTTGGGATATTTTATATCAACAATTTTCGACAATTTCAGCAAAGCTATTAGTTTTTTATCTGTTGTTTTATTAACTATGACACTTACCAATGGGTTTTATGTAGAAATTTCCAAATTACAAATACCTTTCAGATATTTACAATGGTTATCCTATCAAACATATTCTGCATCAGTTCTTGCAAAAATCAAATTTGATAATGCTATTATTAAATGTTCCTCTGAAAATATGTCTTTCACTTGTCTAGATCAAGGGGTCTTTCCTGGCAGCGTAATAATAGAGAAGAGATTTGCTAAACTTCACATTTCTCGATCCATTTTCATTCTCGTCAGTTTCTACATTATTATCAAGGCAGCAACGTACATATCTCTCAGGTGGTCTCACGCATTGAAGATGAAGTAAGCTCAAGGAAGGGTTTATGTTTAGAGTGTAAGTCGTCATTAGATCTGTATGAAGGTGTGCCAGGACTATGTCAAATCCAAGCTACGTGCATGCGCATAAACATATGTATATATATATATATATATATATATGTATACACAAATAAGTTGGCATACATCACATACCAATTATCCCCTTCCAGCCTGCATGTCTTATGCTCTGTTTCATCATTTTGACACGAGCATGGGTATGAACTCCCTAAATAGAAATCATATGAGCATATAGTATATATGAACATAAAAAAAAGTGCGATATTATTTTTTTTCTATTTTTAAACAAATCGTAATTTTTTTTTTTTTTTTTTTTTTCCCCACATCTCCGTTTCACAACGTCTCTGTTTCTCCACTTCTCCACTTCTCCACTTCGCTACACCTTTACCTTTTCATCCTCCACAATAGTGAAAGAAACACCCCCTTCACATCACCACACACATTTTAAACTTTTCTTTTGAATGAGTGGGAATTTCTTCTCGTCCGATATGCAAGGGAATCCTACCGAACGAATCTTTTTGCTTAATTAAAGTGCTCCTATTAACTCAAAGAATGAACTCAGATAAACTGAATCACAAGGGCTTCTGTGAGAAGACACTTCTCTGTATGCAGCCTTAAGGGAAAAAAAAAAAAAAAAAAAAAAAAAAAAACATGGCACACACACGTACGTAAATTCATGAACATCCCCCTTTGCTTTAATTAAATTGCTCATTTTATCGTCCTTTTTTGAAAAGAGACCGCTGAGATGAGGGGCTTTCGTCCCGTAAGGGAAGATGAACGGCATTTTAGCGTGTTTCCCCCAAATCAATCAATCAATTAAACACACAGACACATACACACGCACATAGACGGGAGGGTGCACATATGTAAACATATTCTTTTTCACATGCACACGTTTCCTAGAGGTGCGCATCTTGACACCATGACTCAGGATAAAATCCCAACCTTAAAATATCTTTCTACAATATTGTCTTTTTTCCATTTTTGCAAGGACAGGTGAAAAGGAAGCAAGTTGTATTAATCGCAAGTTCTTTACCTTTTAGTACTTTTTTTTCTCTCTTTTTTTTTTGTTTCTTTTTTTTATTATTTATTTTTTTTTTTCCTAGGTTCACTTTTTCCCTTTATAAGTGTAAGTACTTCCATTATTCTCTATGTCTCAAATAGTTTACTTGAACGAAGAAAAAACACGGGGTAGGTATATATACCCAAATGGAAACGTATATGTCGGGGATTTTAAAAATGAGAAATTTCATGGGCAAGGTAAGAAGATGTTGTAAAAAAAAAAAAAAAAAAAAGGAAAAGAAAAAGAAATATGGGTGAGGCAAGGGGTAATAACATTATTCATATTGTTATGATGATAATTGTGCTTCTACCATGAGAATTATCTCATCATGATTCATGCCATCTCAATTGTGTGTTCATTCTCTAAGGGGGAAAAATAAGAAAAGCTCCCATTGAGCTTTTCACGTAAATATTCTTCTCCTACTTTTTCTATTTCTTTTTTTTTTTTTTTTTTTTTTTTTCCCCATTTCCACTTCGTTTCCATTTCGGTGCGCTAGGCACTTTAGCCTTTAAGGGAAAGGGGGAATATAAGGGAACTTGGGAAAAAGGAAAACTTGTCCAAGGGCAATACTACTACAGTGATGGGTTACAGTATGAAGAGGAGTGGAAATATCTAATAGACACCCCTTATTTTTATAAGGAACAAATTAACATGAACGAAATTATTTACACAGAAGAAAAGAGAAGTGCCTTTTTGGACAACATTTATGATATAGGTACAAATTTCCTTAAGTCTTATGTTCAACTGTTGTGTTTCATGAGGGTACTTGCTTTAGTTTTTCTCACGTCCGTTTGTTCGTACTTTTTTGGCTAATCACCTTGCTTGTGCACGTGGGTAGCCACATGTGCGAATAAATATGAATATTCATACGTATACGCTTTTTTTTTTTTTTTTTTTTTTTTTTTTTTCCTTTTTGCTTGTCTTATTTTGCATATGGCTAGCCACATATGGAAATAAATATGAACATTCATACGTATATACTTTTTTTTTTTTTTTTTTCACCGCTTCCCATATAAGGCGATGGGTATTGCAAAGTTGAGGACAGTATTGTCTACAATTTTGGAGATGATAAAGAAATCAGAAAGGTGAACGAGAGGGAGAAGAGCTGGATAAAAAATCACTGTGCAAAGTATTAAGAAGAGCTAAGACTGTGCGAAGGGCAGGTGCTTAAGCAAGTGTGCATGTAAATTTGCACAAACACAGATAAGTCTATATATATATATATATATATATATATATGTATATTAACACAGATCACTAAGTAAGCCCCCCCCCCCCTGCTTTATGATTTGCTTCTCATTAAAAGGAGGAGGGGATGTATAGGGAAAAGGAGAAAAAGCGTTTCCTTGTAATGTCATTATTTTTTGCAACTTCTCAAATGGTATACATGATTTCGAATATTTAAAAATTTTTTTTGCACTTTCTTCTTCCCATTCTCTCGCTCTGTTTGCTATCTCTTTAACCTGCTTGTGGCTATGTTCACACGTCGACGTCTTTACACGTGCTCATATTTTTTTTTTTTTTTTGTGAGGAACTCTTGTCCAAGTATATACAAATATTTTTCCCTGTATAAATGTAGCATTTCCATTTTCATTGTGTTGTCTTTATTTTCGTGTTATTAATCAAGTGTATACAATTACATAACTTACTATGAAAGGCACTTAGGTCAATGGTTACATGTAAAAGTCTGTGTACATATCTCTCCAACGTTTAATCAACTGAAAACTTCGCACTTGGAATGATTCCACACAAGTTCCACTAACATATATGGCTAGTCATACATAAGCAATCACGTATGACACAAACATTAGCAATAGCCTCATGTGATGCACCATATCCATTGGATGCCTTTCACAGCACATTCAAACCATTTTCACGGCACTTTCAGACCATTTTCACGGCACTTTCAGACCATTTTCACGGCACTTTCAGACCATTTTCACAGCACATTCACACCATTTTCACAGCACTTTCACGCCATTTTAACAGCACTTTCACGCCATTTTCACAGCAATTTCACACCATTTTAACAGCACTTTCACACCATTTTAACAGTGGGGACCTTCCAAACCTTTTTACACAACGATGCATTATCTGGTACACGAACAAGGGTGACGTGACTAGTGTGTCTCTTGTTTTCCCTCCTACCATATCCTCTGTGCTACTACCCGTTCTTCTCTCTCTATAGCTTGTACCAGATAAAATGATTGATTACTACTATTGCTACACAAAAAAAAAAAGTAACATTAGAGAAAAGTGCAATTTCACAAAATCGAAGAGCCAAATAATTGGAAGGATAGAACAAAATGAAGAGTTAAAAAAAAGTTATATGTATAAAGAGAATATATACTATAATGATGATAATATAAAAAAGTTCAGTGAACATTATGTAAATATCGAAAGTGTAAAATTAGAAAATAAATTTTTCTATCATAATGAAGGGGGATGGACAAAAGATGTAGACATTAGTGAACAGCAGAATAAAGTAAAATATATTAAAAGATTAGATAAGGATATAAATATGATTAACAGTTTAAAAATTTTGATGAATGAAACTACAAAAATTTTGAATAAAAATAATAGCATAAAAATTTATGAAGAATATTTTCAAAATGATTTACAAAATGAAGAAAATTTTAAAATAAAGTCCTTGTTAATTATTAAAGATAAAGTAAGAAAATATCCAAGATATGTTACATCTATTAAATGGTCTACTGACAATACATACAAATTAGCTATCTCTTACTGTGTCAATTATTATCAAAAAATATTAAATAATTCTCCAAAAAATTGTTTACTTTACAATTTAAACCAAATTAATAACCCTTACCAAATCTTGTATTCAAAAACTTTTATCAAATGTTTACGATTTAATCATAAAAATTCAGATTTGCTCCTTGCTGGTTCCTATGACGGTACTGTAAATCTGTGGGATTTACGCAAAAAAAATAACTTGTGTGAATCTTCTCCTAATCATGCTAGTCATAAAAACATTGTGCATGATGTCATTTGGCTACAAACAAAAACAAATAATCACTGCTTGTCAGTGTCGAATGATGGGTTGTGTTTACTATGGGATATTCGAAATTTTTCTGAACATATAGAATCTTTTCATTTGCATAAAGATAGTGGAGAAGTTTGCCAATTGGTTGAAACATCTAACTTAGATGTAGATATGTTGAAAAATTCCAATGGAAGTGTGAATATAGCTAATTTGGGGAATAGTGCCAAGCACAAAAAAACTGATCATCAGCTAGCCCCCAGAGGAGAGGGAAATTCAACAGCCAGTTTTAGTCCATCTCCAGAAATTATAACAAATGAAACAAGTAGTGATTTGTCTCCATATTCCTCCAATCCATGCTACAGTGCAAACTGTCTCGAATGGAATTTAGAAGCAGGCCCATCTAAGATCTTAGTTGGGACAGAAGAAGGGTATGTCTTATCTGTATCGAAGAGACAAGGAAAGAATTTGGAGTTGCTTCAAAAATATGGTGCATCAAATGAAAAACATTTATCCAGTATTACAAGCATAAAGAGAATCCCCATAAATTTGAAGTATTTTCTATCAACAGATAAATGGGGTTTTAATATATGGTCTGAAGATATTAAATTTCCTATAATTTCTAATTATTACAATGAGTGTGTGATTAACAAAGGGTTATGGATATATGATTCTTCTTTCTTTATGTTAGTAAGAAAAGATGGATACATAGATTTTTGGAATCTACTTTATAATTTTAATGAACCTATTATTAAACATAAAATATGCAATTGTTCAATCACAGAAATAGATGCACATGTAAATAATAAATATGTATCCATTGGAAATGAACAAGGAGATATTCACATATTAAAATTGGGAAACAGTTTTTGTAAAAATACTAGTGAAGAAAAAAATGCCTTAGACGAGCTATTTGAGCGTGAATCTAAGAGGGAAAAAAATCTAGAATACATTCGAAAGCAACTTAATTGTTCTAAGAAGAAAAGGGAATGTCTGAATGTTCAGGATGTACAAATAATGGATGACGTGGTTCACAAAACGGAGCAAGAGTATCAGTCTTTACTTTGATTTCCATTCTGGTACATCACTGCGGGGTTTATTTTTGTCTGTGCGTTTTGTGCACGTGGGGGGCAAACTTGAACAGGAAAAAGGAGACGAAAATAAGAGGCGAAAAAAAGAGACGAAAAAAAGAGACGAAAATAAGAGGCGAAAATAAGAGGCGAAAAAAAGAGACGAAAATAAGAGGCGAAAAAAAGAGACGAAAATAAGAGGCGAAAATAAGAGGCGAAAAAAAGAGACGAAAATAAGAGGCGAAAAAAAGAGACGAAAATAAGAGGCGAAAATAAGAGGCGAAAAAAAGAGACGAAAATAATAAGAAAAAAAAACAACACACACACACATACCCCTCTTTTTATTATTTCCAATGTACATAAGGGAAGAGGAGCTTTTCTCAAGTGAGCTTATTCATATGTGGATTAATCTTCACTCAAATTGACAAATTGTTAATAGATTAGGTTTTTCCCCTAAATGATTCTTCTTCACACGTAGCAACTCTCACCCGTTGTACACAAGAAATGTATGCATTGTATATATATACATGTTCATATTTTGCACTCTTCCTCAATTTTGCTAAAAGAATAGAACATTAACATTTTCAGCAGTAATTATAAAAACGAACTTCAAAAAAAGAAAAAAAAAAGTTATGAAATAAAAGTTGTTCTTTTCCCCTCCTCCATTCCATCATCATGATGATCATCATCATATCCAGCTTCTTTTCGAAACAGATGCATACGTGTACTGATCTAGGTACATACATGCATGCATGTTTGAGTGTGTGTGTGTGTGTGTGTATATACTGTTCATACAATATTGGATGTTTCCCCAATTGGGGCTATATGCACAATGCATAAAAAATATTTATAAATATAAAGAAATATTTGAACATATGCTCAATCATTTGTTTTTGCATATATGAATCTTCGCCTTCCCACAAATTAAGGAAAAAAAAAAAAAAAAAAAAAAAAAAATGCCCCTGAATAGTATCCCACATAAGTATACTTTTTCTCCGAACGGGTAAAAAAACGTGGAACGATGCAAAAAAAAACAAAAAAACAAAAAAAAAAAAAACAGTTATGAATGAGTATCTAAGTGGGTGGGTGGGGGAAAAGCCTCATTTTTTCAGCTTCAAAACAGTGCACCAAAAAGAAAAAAAAAAAAAAAAAATTAAAAGAAAAAATAAAAGCGATAACGAGAACGAAAAAACAAAGAAGAAAGAAGAAAAAAAAAAAAAAACAACAAACAAATAAATAAATAAATAAATGAAGATTACACAGGCACGAATTAATCAGAAATATAGTTAGATCGCCATTACATACAGAGGCGTAGAAATAAAAAAATGCTAATCATTTGACTATAGAAATGGAAAAAGAAAATATTTTTGCCTAGCTTCTTCATCCCATCCTCTTCTTCTTCATTTCTCCCTCTTCTTCTTCTTCTTCTTCTTCATCTCTTCCCCTTGTTCTTCTCCTTTTCCATTATTCGTGAAAAATTGATAAGAGAATGGGAAGAACATATATCTTTATGGGTTAGCCTTTTTTGTAGAATTGTTCGCAAGTATTTTTTTTTTTTTTTTTTTTTTTTTTTTTGTTTTCCACCTCTTTGAAGAGTATCGAGACAAAGTAACTTTCGTTTCGGTTTCACTCCATGTGTGTATGTATGTAGGAATGTGTGCATGCATGTGTATGGTGCATATTTTTACGTGCTAACCAGAGAGAGAAATTGAAAAACTAAGCTTTCTTTGAAATTCAACCCATTCAAAGCCTCACTACACTTGTGCAGAGTGCACATTGTAACCTAAAGGTTTAAAGGTCTACCACTTTACAGTTGTATTAAAGCATACAAAACTGACGAAGCAACCCAAAGAACAATCGACAGATGGCTAACAAGTACAACAAAGTGAACCAGAACAAGTTCGAGATGAGGGAAGGGGTATATCACGAGAAGGGTGGGAACAAAGGAAATTGGGAGAAAGAAATGGTGAGGTTTAACGAAGAAGAGGTACATAAATTTTTTAGTACATGGAAAGTGTTCAGCAAGGAAAAAATAAATGATGTAGGTGAAAGAAAGAACTTTTTCATTTTCGACAAAGAGAAAGATTTAGACAATGGGAATAGTGAATATTTTAATTCGTACAATTATATACATATACATGAAGATATGATAAAAGATGAAGTGCGAACAAGAACATATTATGATGCAATTAGAAAAAATGAACATTTAATAAAAGACAAAATTGTGTTGGATGTAGGATGTGGAACAGGTATTCTTTCCTTTTTCGCTGCCATGTCAGGTGCAAAACATGTATACAGTATTGAAAAAAGTAATATTATATATACAGCATTAAAAATCAGAGATGAAAATAATTTACAAGACAAAGTAACTTTTCTTAAAGGTTTGGCAGAAGAAATTGAATTACCTGTTGATAAGGTGGATATAATAATTTCTGAATGGATGGGATATTGCTTATTGTATGAAAACATGCTTGATACTGTTTTATATTGCAGGGATAAGTGGCTAAAGGAAGGTGGGCTACTTTTTCCAGACAAAGCATATATGTACATTGCTGGCATTGAAGACAGTTTATATAGGGAAGAAAAATTTGATTTTTGGAAAAATTGTTATGAATTAAATTATTCTTCAGTTTTACCAATACTTAAGGAAGAAGTAGTTATTGATTATGTTGATAAAAATTTCATTGTTACTGATACTTGTTGTATTTTAAAATTGGATTTAAACACATGTACAAAGGAAGATTTATCTTTTGCTTCTCCATTTCGTTTAAAAATGACAAAGAAAGATTATCTACACGCACTCGTCATATGGTTTGATGTTTCCTTTTCTGCTTGTCATACAGAAATTAGCTTCACCACAGGACCTTACGGTGGACATACACATTGGAAACAGATTGTATTGTACACAGATCATGTTCTCACTGTTGAAAAACATGAAGTTATGTGGGGGATGTTTGCGCTCAGAAAAAATGCCAAGAATATGAGACATATCGACATGAAGCTGCACTACATCTTTGACGGTGTGCATACTCGTGCTAGGTCAACCCAGTTTTTCAACATTAGCTGATCGGGAGGAAAGCCGACGAAGTACCTGTTGTGATAGTTGCTGTGACAGAGATTATCGCAAGGTTTATGTTGTATCCGTTGAACGATCGCATTTTTATTGTAAACATATTTGAACTTAATTACATGACTCGTTCATAATTTATACCTTTGGGGCTAAAATTTTGCCTTGTCAGTTCATAACATTTTTGCGTTTTTTTATAGCTAGACAGGGTTTGGGGGCACGGAAAAAAAAAAAAAAAAAAAAAAAAATAGCTAGCTAACTAGCGAGCTGTTCATGCAATTTTTTTACCAATATATAATTTTTGTTTTTTTTATATTATTTTATTTGTATTTTATTAGCTCATTATTCGCACGGTATTAGTTCATTATTCGCATTTTCTATTTTCCTTTATTTTTCACTATTTTTTTTTTTTTTTTTTTTTTTTTTATGTATGCGCCTCTTTTTCCCTTCACCCAGCTGGGGAAATATGCCCAACATGCTATTCATCCAATCTCTCATAGCACATCCCATTGGGTAGTTTTTGTTTTCCCCTTTTGAATTTTTTTTTTTTTTCTTTTTTTTTTTTTTTACGATTCCCATGCTGAGAATTCGTCCTTTACTATGTTACGTCTTTACGTTTTTTCTGTTGATAAAGTGGAAAGTGCGCGATCTTGCAATGGTGTGAATGTAGGAAAAAGGATCAGCTGGATCAAACGGGTAAAACAGGTGAAACTGGTGAAACGATCCAAGCTCAGCTGCATATTTGAATGCAGACGTGGTAAACCAGTAAAGCAAAAACGTGGAAAGGGAAATGTAAGCTTACAACAGAGGTATTCTTATCACGCAACGCCATAATACAGTGCCAATCACATATCTTGGTCTGCACCATCATGTCTTATACATACATTGATTGCTAAAGATCGTTTCATAAATTATGAATTAAAACTGTTAAGGTATCATCAATATATGCACACAATGGGAGGAGGTGTTGGGGGTGGGGAAAGAAAAAGAAAACTACGTATTTTATTGTTATTTTTCGTGGGTGAAAGCACTACTTTTAAAAAGTACACTTTATTAGCATATATAGAAACTTCTCGGTTAAGCTTAATGTGCAAATGAGAGACAAAACTCAAAATAAAATATGCAAAACTGATAAAGCCATGGAATGTAGCATATAACATGTTGTACCATTCCTCTGATGTGTTTATTTTTATAGAGTGACACACTGCTGTGGGTGGTGGTGGGGTTATGAAGGAAAATAATGTGATGAAGGTGAACACGTGGATAACGAGAAAAAAAAAAAAAAAAAAAAAGAATGAATATATCAAAAAGTTCACACATAAAGTGGTTATTTCGTCAAATAGCTCACTTAAAAAAAAAAAAAAAAAAAAAATTGAAAGGTGATTGGGCCCCAAAGGTAACAAAAAGTATGCCCATAAAGATGGTTTTTTTATAAAATTCCAATTAATTTATGCGTTCTTTTACTTCGTGGTTTTTTCCCCTCCATTTTACTGCTCCATTTTGCTGCTCCATTTTGCTGCTCCATTTTTTTTTTGTAGTTTCCCCCCTTGGTATGTTCTGAGAGCTACATTTTATTTTTCCTGTAACCGGTTGTGATACTACACACGGGATTTGTTATGCTGCATTTTGACTTACATCCCTCTTCGTTTTTCACGCACAGCGCACGGGAAAAACTGTTATATGTACATAAATATTTAAATGTACATTCAAATGTGTGAAGTGACATGCATGATGGTAATATGTATGAAGCAATATCTCAGGCATATAGCAAAACGCACGTTTTTTTTTTTTTTTTCGCCACGGTGCAAGAGGATGAAAATCTCCACATTTTTAACAATCTCTTTCCCCATTTGTCAACTAAAGGAAGAGGCGACTGTTCGTATAAACCCTCTAGATGTCATTCACATATACGTGCAGATATCACGTACATATATATCACGTGAATATAACGTACATATATATACACGCACACTTATATACCACGTTAGCGTAAACAAAAACTATAAATTACCACTACCCCATGAATTATTTTTTATTTTATTTTTTTTTTTTCCTTTAAAAAAAAATTGTGTGGTTCAGCAGTTCATCACTTTAACAATACGTTTATCGCATAAATTAGTATATATTGCTACTTTATGATAGAGAAATTACTCGAATGTATGTATTATACATATACGTATGTATGTATATATGTATGTTTTTTTTTTTTTTTTTTCCTTTTTTTAAATTAAAAAAATCGTTTTATATACACCGTATTAGTGGTATATATATATATATATATATACTTGTTTAGCCTTGTTGTTCATATAGTTTTTTTCTCCGTTCGTTTTTTTTCGCCATTCCTTTTTTTTTTTTTTTTTTTTTTTTTTTTCTCCACCCTTTTGGCTTTGCATCCTGCTTAGTTTTATTACCACTGGTTTGGTCTTCCCACCATTCGAACATTATTATGTAATTATTTTTTTCCCGTGTCGCTTTTCCTATATTCTGTAACTAATTTACCATTTATAAGCACGTCGATTTTTCCAAGCCACGTGCATGTATATATATTCATCCTTAATCATATATCTACACCACATTGTCACCCGGATACATATATATTTGCAGTTGAAATATACACACAGCAATAAGTATATATTAGGAACGTTTTAAGAGCCCCTACAAAATGGACAAAATATCACCAGAAATTTTAGCCGCTAGGGCAAAACTGAAGGAAAAGATGGGTGGGAATTTGAGACAAATTGGAGGTAAGGGAAGTGCAAGAAGAAAAATTAAAAAGGTACATAAGAATTCCATGTCCAATGAAAAGAAAATAAATTTAATTTTAAAAAAAATAGGAGCTTCTTACTTTGGTGATGTCGATGAGATTTGTATATACAAAGCAGGAGATACATATATGGAATTTAAGAAACCTAAATTATCTGCTTCTCTACAGTCTAATACATATGTTGTTACAGGAAAATTTACAGAACAGAAAATTGATATTAATAAAATATTTGAAGGACTTAAAGGAAATAAAAATGTAGATATGAATCTTCTTGAAAAGATAAAAAATGATCCAAATATAAAAAATTTACTTAACAAAGAAAATAATGCAGCTGCGAAGAAGGAAGAAGTAGAAGAACAGACAGCTGATGCACCAGATTTGGTGGAAAACTTTGAAGAAATTTCGAAGGAAGATAAGTGACGTAAACATTTTGTATAAAGCTTTTCAATCACTACCACTGCCGGAAGGGTCATACCAAAAGTACATTTTCCACCTACAAGCAAGAAAAAAGCCCGTTGGTGTATTTTTATTATTCTTATGATAGCTTACTGTTTCTGTTATTACCGCTATGATACTGCTTCACCACTTTTTTTTTTTTTTTTTAACAATTATTTCCTACCAATTACTACTGCTATTATTTAAAGTTATAATTTTTTTTTAAAATTTCATATGTATATAAAACTTTTTCCATGTTTGAAGGACTGCAAACAAACCATATACAAAAAATAGTATATATGTATATACATACATGTATGCCATCAGCAACCTCCCACCCGAAAGATGTTTCGGTATAACTGCTTATGCAGATGTATTTATTTTACGTTTGCGTGCACGTGTCCTATCAAAAAAAAAAAAAAAAAAAACTTCAACAAGAACGGGAAAAAAAAAAAAAAAAAATAGTAAAACAAAGTAGAGCAAAATAGAGCAAACTAAAACGAAATAAAACAAAATAAAACAAAATAAAACGAAATAAAACAAAATAAAACAAAATAAAACAAAATAAAACAAAATAAAACAAAACAAAAGGTATATTTCTCTTCTGCAGTAAATACACTCGTGCTTTCAATTTTTTAATTGGGTAAATTCAAGGTAAAAGGGGGAGGGGAGGGGGGGGGGGGTAAAGGTTTTAGGGCCTAGAACGAAAAAATATATACCTTGTGTAACATCATATGAGATAGTGTAGAAAGTTTTCTTCCAATGAACAGCACACATACCGTGTGTGAAAAAAAAAAAAAAAAGAAAAAAACTATTAATTCAACTCAAAACACATTACCGGTAGACCCCCTATCATGTGTAGACTGCTTCTGCAAGCAGACGCACGTGGATAAGGGCATTAAATTTCGCGTAAAATAACAGTTCCAATGTTATTTAAATCAATGGCAAATTTAATTCACAAAAAGGGAAACGGGAAAAAATAAAAAAGAATTACACATCACACGCACATATATATATATATATATATATGCAGTTCATGCATGCGAACACTTCGGCCTTTTCTCGAGTCTCTTTTTTCGTGTTTTCTGTTTAATTCCACGTTACATTTCTAACTGATGAACTTTCAGGAAAATGTACATTTCATTGCGCAAGCTTTTTTTTTTTTTTTTTAAAAAAAGAAAGCAAAAAAAAAAAAAAAAAAAAGGGATTGTAACAATATGGTGAGAGTAAAAGAGAAGGGGATTAATATGGGTGATGTGGAACATTTCGAAAGGGTTTTTTTTCCTTATGAATGAGTTAAATGAAATTTTCTAAAGCTGTGCTTCATCATGTGAAACCATGCTTATTTGTTATTTCGGGGAAATGGACAGGCACATACGATATTTTTTTCCTGTCATATTATCGATATCGGCATAACATGCATGTGCATATAATTTATGTATTAGTATATTTTTGCGTTCATATATTTTTGCGTTCATATATTTTTGCGTTCACATAGTTTTGCGTTCATACATTTATGTATTAAAACATTTTTGTGTTAATAAAACTATGGGTCAACATGCTTATGTGTCAACATGTTTATATGTGCGTGCTTATATTTAGGCGAAATTTTGCGTTTCACATGAACATGGACAAGTGGACAGGTGAAAAGGGATGTGTGGTACGGTTCTTCCCCCCCCATTATATATCCTCAAAAATAAAATAAAACAAAACGTGTGTTTTATGATTGTTCATACAGAATGTTGCTATTATAGGAAAGACATAAAATGTATGACGGCAAAAAAAAAAAAAAAAAAAAAAAAAACACGCACCATATAAGTTTTAATTTCGTATCGTTCTTTTTTTGATATATTAAAAAAGGGAAAAAAATATATGATTTTATTTTTTTTCAATTATAACAAAGAGGTATATATAAAATGCTGAATTGAGAAGAATAGGCTATTTTCTTTTTTCATTCTACAAAATGGTGTTATATATATATATATATATATATAAATTACAGGACGTTTTAAAATGAAGCAAAAGTCACCATGTGACCGAAGGATCAAATGATGTTATTGTTCATACTCCCCTGTCATTGTACGCTTCGAGATGTACTCGTTATTGTTTCGCTTCTTGTGTGCTATTCTATATTCGATTTTTTACGCATACGGGGAAGGGGTTGTAAAAATAATAATCAAGAGTTCTCGAATTGGCTCCGCTTGGCCTGGCCTTAACACCTTCCTTTTTGTTTACATATATTTTATGCATACACTTGTAGATCACATTAAAACAACGTATGTAGCAGAATGTAGCAGAATGTAGCAGAATGTATAAGAATGTAACAGAATGTAACAGAATGTAGCAGAATGTAGCAAAATGTAGCCCATAATACCTCGTTGTGTATTTTCAATTCATGCCCCAATTCAAAATGCAAAAAAAAAAAAAAAAAAAGTGTTGTGCTAACATGAGGAAAACTGTGAATATATATGGAGCTGTTTCTTATTTAGTGTATATATATTTTTTTTTTCTCAGTAAATGATTATTCTTCCTTTCCCCTTTTTTTTTTCTACTTGTTCCTTTTTGGGGGATATTGCGAATATATATATATATTATATTTTCATACGAAGGGGAAGTGGCACTTAAACTGCACTTCTGGAATGTATAATTTTTTTTATGTTAAGTGCACAATTTTTTTTTTTGCATATTTTTCCTGAGGAAAAGAGAAACCCCTTTTTCCACTCAAACACCGATAAGGGGCCTTTCTGCTCTCCTGATAAAATTCAGAAAAAAAAAAAAAAAAAAAAATTAAGTAGCGAAAGAAGCGAATTTTAGTTTTGTTTTGTTTGCGCCTTTACCGGTATGTACGCATGTATGTGTGTTTTTTTTTTTTTTTTTTTTTTTTTTTTTTTTTTTTTTGCTATAAATTAGCTTCTCCTCTCACCTCCAACATTTTTCTTTACCCCACGTTGCTGACGTCAACATTCGCATCCAAATTGAGGAGCAGATTGGGAGGGGAGATTAACGGAACCCTCAACATGAAAGTGCTTAAGGGAAAATAAAATTCACACGAAAGATATCTTAAGCCATTCATAGGAAAAAAACATGCTATGAACTTGCAAACGTTATGCATTTTTTACATTGTGATAGATACACTTATGTTATGTTATGTGTGACGTGCACCGATGTTATTCTATCTTTATATGTTCGCGTAGGAGGTATATACATGCATACATAAATATATATATACATGAATATATGTATATATATAATAGCCCATCCTTTGAAATACTTTTTCGTATCGCAGCTTTTTTTTTCTAGTTCATTTTTTACTATACACCTTAACATTGTTGACTTTTTTTTTTTTTTTTTTTTTTTTTTTTTCGCACTTTTGCTCTTTCACCCTTTTTGAAGTTTTAAAAAAAAAATAGTAAACCTCGCTGGGAAGATGAATAAAAATTAATGTATGCAACTGGGAAGAAAAAGTTGCTTTTTATGGGAAGGCAAATAATAAAGTTACTTCCACAGCTCATGTATTCAGATATTTTTCCGTACATGGTTTTTGCATACATATACAAGAAAAGAAACACTAAACTAAGGTAAATACATAAACGAAGGAAAAGGAAAAGGAAAAAGAAAACAGTTTTGGGCGCTTGTTTGTTTTTTCTTTTTTGTTTTTTGTTTGTTTTTTTTTTTTTTTTTTACATTCTCAAACGTTTTACCATTTTTTGAAGTTTTTGTATTTTTGTTTTCTTGTTTAAAGAAAATGGGAGGAAAATCAAAAGGAAAAAGGTCAGGAACAAGATATAAGTTTTCCAAGAAATTTCGAAAGCATGGAGAATGCACAGCAAACAAATTTTTAGAAAATATAAATTATGGAGATTATGTAGATATTGTTTGTGATTCCACACAACAGAAAGGTATGCCATTTAACTTTTATCATGGTAGAACTGGAAAAGTATTTCATATTACAAAACGAGGTGTGGGGGTTTTAGTTAATAAAAGAGTCAAGCATCGAATAATTCAAAAGAAAGTTTGTGTACGAATAGAACATGTCAGAAAATCAAGATGTAATGAGGATTTTAAATTAAGAAAAAAAAAAAATGAACAATTAATTAAGGAAGCAAAATTAAAAAATGAACGAATATCAATTAAAAGAAAACCCGAAGGTCCCAAGCCAGCTGCTATGGTCAAAGTACCCCCATCCAAAATTATTACTATCGAACCTCTCCCCTTTTATGAAGAATATTAAAAAGATGGAAGAACCCCTGACTTTGTTTCCTACAAAGGAAGATATGAGACCCGAGTATAAATGAGTCTCGAAATGGTGCTTATGGCAAACTGATGTGATAGGACTCGCGGGGAGGGGAAAAAAAGATAATTAAACAAAAAAACAAACGAATAAGTGATCAAAAAAACAATCAAATAAGTGATCAAAAAAACAATAAAATAAGTGATCAAAAAAACAAACAAATAAGTGAACAAAAAAACAAACGAATAAGTGAACAAAAAAACAAACGAATAAGTGAACAAAAAAACAAACAAATAAGTGAACAAAAAAACAAACAAATAAGTGAACAAAAAAACAAACGAATAAGTGAACAAAAAAACAAACAAATAAGTGAACAAAAAAACAAACGAATAAGTGAACGAACAAACAAATACGTAAAAAAAATCACATGTGTGTTTAGAGATGTGAACGAGCGGGGGAGGACTCTTTTTATTAATACTTATGAAATCTATACGAAGAAATGTTGCATATTTAGTTACCATAATCTTATAGTTGCATATATAGCTTGGTTCTGTTTTCAAAAGAATAAAGAAAGTTTACTAAGTTGTCATACTCTACTTTTTAATATCCTCCTTTATGTTTCTCCCTCGTACGCGCGTCCTTTTTTTTCCCATTTTTTCATCTTTCCATTTTACCATTCTTCCATTTTACCATTCATCCATTTTACCATTCTTCCATTTTACCATTCATCCATTTTACCATTCTTCCATTTTACCATTCTTCCATTTTACCATTCTTCCATTTTACCATTCTTCCATTTTACCATTCTTCCATTTTACCATTCTTCCATTTTACCATTCTTCCATTTTACCATTCTTCCATTTTACCATTCTTCCATTTTACCATTCTTCCATTTTACCATTCTTCCATTTTACCATTCTTCCATTTTACCATTCTTCCATTTTACGTTTTTTTTTTTTTTCTTTCAATTCTACCAACTTTTTGTGCATATTTTTATCAGAACAGTAAAGCAAAGAAGTAAACAATTTTAAATAAAAAGTTATTTAACTGTTACAAATATTTACCGTTATATATGAGATAAATTTACGTTCTTTTTATAAATGAGAACACACACACAACTGATGGGTGGAAAAAAACAGCGCTCCTCAACATGTGAGTATATAATCCCCTCCTCATAATAATCCTATCAACAAATGTTTTTGCATTTTTCCACTTTTATCCCCAATGAATATTTCGCTTTGTTTAAATTGTCTCAATCGATAACATAGAATATTTAATTAGAGATATTACATACATTCGCTGTATTCACATGTGTAGGAAGGGAAAAGTTTGGATATTGCTTTCTCAATAAAAAAAATAAGCATAAGCAAAAGGGGAGAGGAAATATATATATATATGTATTATCTCTGTGCATTTTGCGTACATGCATAAATTCTGTACCATGTCAAATATGCCCCCTCCTTCCCCCCTTAACATTAAGCAAAGGGGGGGGTATGAGTGGCGAGGGATGGAAAAATTCATACAGACATTATATAGTGAAATTGTTTTCAAAAAGAGGATGAATAGTTTTTTTTTTTTTTTTTTTTTCCCTCCCCATCTGTACCATTTAATATGGGACTCGTTATTTTATATTTTTATTAATTTCGTATTTACTTTCTTGTTTACACTTATGTTATAAGTCGTAGTTGTATGTGTGTGTGTGTTTTTTTTTTTTTTTTTGTTAATTATTATTATTTTTTTTTTTTTTTTACCTAACATATATTTCTGTCACACTTGGTCATATTTTGAGTCATATATATTTACCAATTTTTAGCCCTTTTGTCATTCTTGTTTTTCCATTTCAAAGTAAATCTGTATTTACGAACGTATAATAGCGGTTCAAAGAATATCCCTATGTACCAAATGAGCATAAGGGAGTTTTCTCTCGCTCACATTTGGCATATTATTATTAAAGGTCTCTCTGGTTCAGAACTTGTAAAAAGGTAAATACATACATACATACATATATATATATATGTTGTTGGGAAAATATCATGTCTCTTACCATTACCCAGTTTTTATGCTTGAAAGGGTCCTTTCCGGTTCTACTTATTTTTTGGGGGAAAAGTTGTTTGTTGTTTTCGCACTTCGTTTGTTCATTTTTTTTTTTTTTTTTTTTTTTTTTTTTTTTCAGTGCGTCGAGGCCATTTTTACCTGACCAAGTCAGAATATTTTTCGAAGAATTATTGCTTTTTTTTTTTTTTTTTTTTTTTTTTTTCTCCCTGTTCCAAATTTCTCTGAACCGCTCTCTCTCTTTTATTCCTTTTTTTGTGTCATCGCACGCATTTCTTATTCTATAAGATAACCGTCCAACAAAGGTCTCTACGACAATATAATGTTTTTCATCCTTGCGTAATCAAATGCTGAATAAAAATGGGAGAAACTAGCGAAAAAGGGAACAAAATAGACGAAGCTGACGACTATAAGGGGAGCAAAAAAGGCGAAAACAATCTCCAAGTCAATGACTCATTGTACGATGAATTATTTTCTCTTATTACCATGGACAATGACATTGTAAAAAAGGAAAGTTTTAAAATATTATTAAGTCTGATAGAAGAGAAAAGTTTAGTTAATTACATCAAAAAGAACAACCAGAAATGCATGAAGGTTTTTATTTCTGCGTTAAGTTACAAGTTCGAACTGTTAGCTCTCCAATGTCTTCTGAATTTATCTGCTCAAATACCAATGGGTAAGTAGAGGGATATATAATAACCCATCACCCTCTCCCCACACCCAATGAGTGTTAGGAGAAAATTTTATTTTTCACCATTTCTGGGGACATTTGTAAATAAAAGAGATTACAAAATCATCCTTGTGGAAAACAAAACCATTCATAGATAATCCATTCTTCATACACACTGTTTAACTTTTGCAGAACTAATAGAGAGAAACATTATCGAAGTAATATTTGATATTATAAGAGAAGAAGAACAAGATAAGGAGAAAGATACAAATCTAATTGAGATATACATCATGATATTAGCAAATTTATCGAGAGAAAAAACAGGGATATACAAAATTTTGGATTTAACAGGAAATAACGAAGATGAAGAAAGAAATGAAGAAGAGTTGGCTGTTAGTTATTACTTAAACAAATTATTACATTTTTTTTTTCTACCAATTAAAGCATCACTTAGTAGAAATCTAGATGATAAGTATTTGTTCATCTCGCACATTTTAATCAATGTAACATCAATAAAAGAATGTGCTCCATTTTTTAAAAGCATACCTCTATTGAATAAACTAAGTAATCAAATTCTTGTGGTTGAAAGATTTAAAGCTATACTACCTTGCATAATTAACCTATGTCAAAATGAGACATTATATGAATTTGTTTTCCATGAGGATTGCAACATGATGCCTTTCTTACTCTCCTACGTATATACAAATGACAGTTATGCTTTAAGTAACAGTTTAATTTATATTCCCCCAGTAGTTAACGACAAGGAGGACAAAGACGCCATCCATCATCTTATCGTGCAAAAAGCGACAATATTAATTAGTTGTACAAGGATAAAGAGCAGGATTATAATTCTTTTATGGAATCTCTACAAGAGAAAAAAAGCTAGGTAAATTCTTTTTTCCTCCACAACCACATCTATTTTTTCCACTACCACCGTTGTCTCCTCTTTGTGCCCCTAGTATAAATTTCTATCATATGCACGCACGCACACACACACACACACACCTACTAATGCAGAGAAAAGCTCTTGAATTATGGAATTTCGAATATTCTGAAGAATTGGAGATCGTGCGAAAGGAATGGAGATATTTTGTAAGTTTTATTCTGCGTGCACATACGAATTGTATTTTTTTTGTTTTTTTTTTTTTTCCCCTTGCATTTCTGTACTGATGTATATTTTACATCTTCCTCATTCGTATTCGCATTCTCATTCTCATCTTCATCATCTTGGACATTCTCCTCCGAATTCCACCCTTTTTTGAAACTTTTTACAGAAGGGACCTGGATACCTTGGCTCATAAATTTGAAGGAAAGATCAAAGATGATAATTTGATAGGAGTGTAAATAATGTCATTATGGAAGATCACATTTCAAGCATACGAGAGAGGTTATATATAGAAGTAAACTTTTTTTTTTTTTTTTTTTTTCTGTTTCATCCTCGTTATTTTACACTATTTCCTCTCCATCGAATCGTTACATAAACATGTTAATAACATCTCGCATGTGTACACACAGGAGATGCTTAGTATCAGAGAGGAATAAAGAACACACTGATTGATTAAAAAAAAGAAAGAAAAAAGTGGAACTGAAAAATGAACGAAAAAATGTGCTAAAAAATGGAACTGAAAAATGTGCTAAAAAATGTGCTAAAAAATGTGCTAAAAAATGTGCAAAAAAATGTGCAAAAAAATGTGCTAAAAATTGAACGAAAAAATATAATAGAACAAAGAAGTAATAAGATGCGAACCCATAACTGGTTCAAGGTGTGAATCACGTTGACACATCAACTGGTTCACAGATCAACACAACAGAGAAATAGCAAACCAAGAATTAAGAAAAGATATCCGTCACCAAATCGTTCAGATAATTAATGTGATTATCGAATGCATACTGCATGTACACATCTATTTCGTGTGAAAACAATTCTGCCTTCACCTTCTCATCAAGAATAATGGATATATTATCCTTTTCCATTTTGTACTTGTTATTATTCCACATGAATTTATTCTCTCCTGTTGGACATTCTTTAAGTTGCATATCATTACATGTTGTAATAATGCCCTTATAATTTTCCCCTTTTTCGACGAAATTTTTTTTTTTAAATTTATCAACATCTTCACAAATAGATAAAATGCTTTTTGTAATATACTTTTCTCCCTCTTCAAGATTATTTACCACGGCTTTATCTTCCTCTAGGGGAATATTACTACTACTACTACTACCACAAAATTTATTTTCCTTTGCTTCTTTTAATTCAACCCGTTTAATTATTTCTTCTCTCACTTTTCCATCCTTTGTTTCGCTCATTCTTTCCATGCAGCTAAACACTGCGATCGATTCTGGTCTTTCAACTTCTTCCCCATCGACCTTTTCTCTTTGTCCAGGGTTCTTCCATTTGATCTGCTCGAGGGTGGAACCATCATTATTGCAAGATGCTCCTTCAGCGACGCTGCTTGTGGCATTGGTACGGTCGTCCATGTCTTTCACCTCTTTCACTCCTTCCACTTCGTCTGCTTCGTCCACTTTTTCCACGTCTTCCACGTCTTCCACTCCTTCCACTACTTCCACTCCTTCCACCTCTTCCACTCCTTCCACCTCTTCCACTCCTCCCACTTGATCGCCATCACGCCCTATTGCCCGTAAAAAAGTTCTCTTAAACTGAGTGGACGATATGGACAAGGCAAACACATCTTCGTTATCCGAGGTCATACATCCTGTGCTAACAGGATATGTTTTTTCCTTTTGACTATTGCATAATGGAGATGATATAAAATGGTCTGGCATATCTTTTGTTAAATTAAAATCATCTGAAAGGAAACTTTTGTAATTCAGCAGATTCGGGGCATCTCCCATGTAAATTTTCTGGGACAAGGATAATTTTTGGCTAGCTGCATCTATTTTAGTAAATGAGTTCGCTTCTTCCTCATTGCAAAGCTCGCTGAGCACGGGATCAGCTAGCGATTCGTCCATTGAATAATTTAAGCTATCACAAAGCATAAAATTGTCCTCTAAATCTTCCATCTGGAGTTTCTTCTCCTCCATCTCTTTCTTCTCCTTTATCTCCTTCTTCTGCTCCTTCTGCTCCTTCTGCTCCTTCTCCTTCTTCTGCTCCTTCTGCTCCTTCTGCTCCTTCTGCTCCTTCTGCTCCTTCTGCTCCTTCTGCTCCTTCTGCTCCTTCTGCTCCTTCTGCTTCTTCTGCTTCCTCTCCTTCTTCTCCTTCTTCTCCCTCTTCCTATTCGATCCACCATTTTTTCTTCCGTTCCTCTCTTCAAGTCTCGTTCCTCCACATAGTTCTTCCGTCAAGTGCTGCTCTCGATGCTCCTCGGGCGAGTCTTCCTCAGAGTAAAAACCAAGCCTCTTCTTTATATTCATAATAATTTCCTTGACATTGTGTTGTGTTAATTTGTTGCTTAGAGGAGATGAAGAATTTATTGTAGTTAGTTCTGTTTTCTCTTCCTTCTCTGCCTTCTCGCTTTGACCTTTGGTTTTTCCCCCTTGTGTCAAGTCCTCATGTCTACCAGCGGAAGAGTGCATATTCTTACACAAACTTTTGTTTAATATTTTGTTATAATCAATAAGTTTCATTTTTTTGTTATGATTTGTACATAAATCTTTTAGCGACTCGAACAGATGCAATTCTTTGGGGTTATCCAGTGATTCCATTTTTTGTCTCTCGTGGGAAGAGGCCATTATGAGATCCTCTTTGTACTGGTTTGGAATATTTTCCACATCTGATGAAAATTCTACAAGATTAACATCAAGACTATCTTTGAGATGGATGTCATTCACACCTTTGTGTGTGTCCAGATCATCACAATTCAAATTGAAAGATGAAAAAAGAGATCCTTCAAAAATGTTATTCCCTTCTTCTTTTATGTGTCTGGAAAAATTCGCATCCCTGTCGTCGTCACAATTAACACCATTAGTAGGGTCGCTACTCTTCTCATCATTCGAATCACTATCTGATTCTTCATCGCTGGTCGAAATAGATGGATTCAATTTGTCTGTGTCGATGAATTTATCCACGTTTCTATTTTTCGACATGTTTCTGACTAATGGGACGTTCGATTTTTTTTTTTTTTTTTTTTTTTTTTTTTCTTTCTTTCTTTCTTTGCTTAGGTAATATTTTATATATTCACTCTGAGCTTCTGTTCCTATGTTTTGCATAAACTTTGTTTTTTCATATTCATCTTTATTTATTTTAAGTCTCTCTTTAATATTCCGTGCTGCGTCTTTCCCCATTGTGTGCACGTAGTTATGGTAGTTCCTATCATTTTTTACACTGCAAATTTTTTTTTTACAATTTTTTGGCTCTTCATTTAAACAATATTTGTTTAATTTATAGTTAAAAATATTTCCTTCCCGAGCTTTCTCGCCTTTCTTTTTTTTATCTTTTCTCTTCCTTTTCCCTTCATCACTGTCACGGACATTACTGTCTTCATCACTCTCCTTATCATCATCTAAATAAACATTCTCAAAACTGTCTTCATATTGAGGGATACATTGGTCATAATTACTAAAGTGTTCATTTTTTTCTTTTTTTCCAAAATTGTTACAGTTAATTAGTTCCACTTTGTTAAATTTGAATGGAATGTTTTTTATGATATCATTATTAATGTCGCTGTGCATTTCAATCAAGTTCAGTTGGCAAGTGAATATCTGTCAATGTCATTGGTGGTGAGGGGGTGGGGCAGAAAGTGATCCCTGCAAGTTTTCACCTCCTGTCGGAATAAAAAAATGAAAGAAGTGGTGAAGTGGTGAAATAGCGAAATGGCGAAATGGCGAAATAGCGAAATGGCGAAATGGCGAAATAGCGAAATGGCGAAATGGCGAAATGGCGAAATGGCGAAATGGCGAAATGGCGAAATGGCGAAAAAAATGCTACTCAAAGTAACAGTCTTGCTTGTTGGCAGTTTATATTTCTTCTTTTTTTTTTTTTCACATGTTTGTTCCCATAAACCCCTTTTTACACTTAACATGATATGCTTAAAATATTTGAGTAATTTATAAGCAATAAACATAATTGCAAGGATATGCTTAAACACCTAAAAGGAATGAAGACACTAGTGAGGATTTTCCATTAGTATTGTTTTACATACTATTTGCTCCCTGTAGACTTTTTTCTTTTTTTTTTTTTTTTTTTTTTTTTTTACACACGTTAAATTCTTTTTAAAAAGGGGCAATTAAAAAAAAAAAAAAAAAAAATTCTAAGTGAGCATGTATGCCAACAGGTACCAACTATGTTATTTATATATTCATATGTGTGCATGGTTTATACAATTTGATGTGTAAAAAAAAAAAAAAAAAAAAAAAAAAGCTTCTAGATTTAGGAATATATGTTTTTTTTAAAAAAAAAAAAAATTCTCATTTAAAAAAAAAAAAAAAAAAAAAAAAAAAAAAAAAAGAAAAGAGATGGATAAGTGGTGGTTGGAGGAGGTAAACGAAAAAATAGTTAAGCGTGGATGTCCAAATGTAAGCATAAAAAAAAGAAAAAAAAAGTGGGTACATACATGTGTATACATATGTGCACATACATGTGCATAGATACAGACGTGTGTATATTCACACATGCAATATACATATTACATCAAAAAATATACGTTAGTGGTCAATTCTAGTAACTGAAAAATCCCTTTTTGTGGTTATCGGAATTTGAAAAGAAGAAAAAAAAAAAAAAAAAAAAAAGTAAAATAGGAAATCATGGTACTAAACAATAGTTACTAACTAAACTTTCTTTCTCTGCTTGAGCGTGGGGTGCTTAACCACCTCTTTCATTTCTTCTGTCTGTTCCTTGCTTGATGATTTAAGTTCTTCCATTCCATGTGCCTGTTCCTTGCTTGATGATTTAAGTTCTTCCATTCCTTGTGCCTGTACATAGTCAGGTGATTCTTTCTTAATGTACACCTTTTCATATAAACCGTAGTTCCCATTCGAGCTCTTCTGGTTCCTCTTTAAGTTCTCTACCTTTTCGTTTATAATTATAAATATGATAACTTCAAGGATGAGAGTGACATATGAAAATAAAATTCCACATATTAGCCGCTATGAATGACAGGGAGGTGAAGGTGGGAGACCAATATGAAGCACATGGGTATGGAAAACAATTTGAAAATAAGAAGCGTGTACATGATTTGTCCGCATGCACAACACGTAAGAATTTCTGTGGGAAGAGTTCCACAGTAGTGCTACAGTAAAACTCCTAAAGTAGAAGTTAGAGAAGCAAGTATCTCACCGTGGTGAATTTGGTGAATCCTAATATGAGGCTCCCATAGTACCCACACAAGAAGGTTAAGAATATTCCAATAATTAAATTTATACCATACCTGCAAAAAAAAAAAAAAAAAAAAAAAAAAGAACCACATGAGGGAAAAAATAAGACATATATATATGTGCAAACAATTGACCTATACAATGACATGAACCAAATTGTTTTTTCAAACATGATGGAAACATAACAATTGTTGTGTAACCCGAGTAACCATTGTAACCCTTTTAAAATTTTTCTTTTTTTTCTTTTTTTTCTTTTTTTTCTTTTTTTTCTTTTTTTTCTTTTTTTTCTTTTTTTTCTTTTTTTCCTTTTTTTTTTTTTTTTCTTACGGATAGGTCTTCTTATAATTTGAAAAAAAGTCATTTATGTTGTTTGTATTGCCAACCAATTTTTTATATGCCTTTTCTTCCTTGAGTAAATTTTTAAAAGATTTGCTATTTTTGTTTATATTTTCATATATGCCTCTGTCTGGAAGGTATAGAAAAAAAGAGGTGTGCCTGTATGTGTGTGTGTGTAAATGTTTCAGCAGTTTGTTAAGGCCGGTGAGGTATGAAGTTATATGTGAGCTGTGCGTCCCCATTTGAACGGATTCGTAGGCCTTTTTGTTGCTATTTTTTTTTTTTTTTTTTTTTTTTTTTTTTTTTTTTGCTTATTAAATTATTACATGTTATGGATGAACTGTGCATAATATTATGAACGTTTATTTTTTCCAAATTGTTATGCGTACAATATAAATTGTAGAAAAACATCAGAACATTCAGAAGATCAATGTTTATGCTTTTCTCATTTAAAAGTATATCCATATTTTTAGATTTTTGAAAAATCATGTTAGCAGTTTTTTCATTTATTTTACTGGCATAAAACTCCCTGTTCTGGGAACACCATTTTATAATATGTTCTCTCTTTTTTGAGAATGTCCTGATGAAGTTTTTTATTTCTTCTGTTATTTCGATGTTTATGATTCTCTTCACATAGACCTCGTCGGTCAGGGCCCTGTTTCGCTCGTCACTCGGCTGGTCACTTGGCTGGTCATTTGGCTGGTCACTCGGCTGGTCACTTGGCTGGTCACTTGGCTGGTCACTTGGCTGGTCACTTGGCTGTCCATTTGGCTGTCCATTTAAGTGCCCCTTTGGATGCCCATTTGGATCCCCCTTTGGATCCCCCTTTGAGTGTTCTTTTCCCTCACTCTGTTGCATGTCCAGTTTATCATCCACAGAAGAACTAAAATCCGTTTTAGGCCACGCTGATGACAAGTTTGGAAATGTCTCTTCACCTGAGTGAACTCCTTGATTGTCCCTTAAAGGGCAAGGAGTATTGTTATCTTTCTTTTCCTTCACAGAAGAGGCCATGCTTGAACCATTATGTACTTTTTCCATGTTGCGTGCTCTCACAATGGCAGTGTTCTTTTCCTGTGGCCCAAGATCTATATTGTTGACATAAGAATTATTTGCTTCTTCAAGTAAGTTGTTCATCATTTTATTTTCTTACTTATTTTGAAAATGGCACTTTTTTTCTTTAAAAAAAAAAAAAAGTTCAAATAAAAAATTCGTATCATCATTTCGTGTATTTTTTTTTTAATTCTTTTCCTTAATTTGTTGTTTTTTCCTCCCCCCAACCGCACTGTTTTAAAATATAATCTTGTTCCTTTATTAACTTTTATTAATCTTTTTTTTTTTTTTTTTTTTAAAAAAAAAACATATATGCCTAAATCTAGAGGCTTTTTTTTTTTTTTTTTTTTTTTTTTTGTATTTTTTTCTTTTGCGCACTAAATCTTTTTTGTTTTTCTTTATTTTCAATTTTTTTTTTTTGTTTTTTTTTTTTTTTTTTCCCCCCCTTCCGTAGCACGTCTTTACTCTTGCATGTCATAAGATGTGCACATGTAACACTCAAGCGAACAAGTGCAATGTGCCACTTAATTTTCATCTCTATTATTCTTGCAACCTTTACATATTTTCTTGTCTTTACTATGTACATTAAATGGACATACACACCTTTGTGAAAACTTTTGCATTTTATTTTGTTTATCAGGGAGGGAAGAAGCCAGGTGTACCTTTTTTTTTTTTTTTTTTTTTTTTTTATTGCTTTAGGAAACGTCGTGTGTATTTCTGAGGACCCATGATAACTGCCTTAAAAAGTGGAAAATGTAAAAGTGGGGAAAAAAAAATTCAGAAGGGGCTTCTTCCTTTTGCAAATAAAAAAACACCTTGAACTTTTACACATTCTTTTACAATCATAACAGTTTTAGCAAAATGAAGTTAAGCGAAACGATGAAATAGTGCCCCCCCCCCCCCCATGGAGGGGGAATTTACTTATTTCATTTTCGCTCTACTGCCTCATTTTCGCTCTACTGCCTCATTTTCGCTCTACTGCCTCATTTTCGCTCTACTGCCTCATTTTCGCTCTACTGCCTCATTTTCGCTCTATTGCCTCTTTTTGCCTGTTTTCCTACCCATTGGCAGTCTTCATATAATTTCCAATTTGTTCAATTCATAATCCCCCTTTTGTACTTCTAACACTTGCAAACTTTTCGCCTTTTCTTATTTTCATCACATCCCCATTCGCACTCCCATTTGCATCTCCATTCCCATCTTTGCATTACTGTTCATATTTTATCCCATTTTTCTTAAGTTGAAAACTAAACTACAGTCATGCAAATTACAAACGCTGGCAGAACAAAACAATTGCTTAAAAACAGTAAAAATGTTTTACGATTTTGTCGCATAGATGAAACAGAACAATGTTGGGTTTTATTCATACACCACCACCCCCTTTTAAGAAAAAATGTGCAAGTCTATAATTGTTATATACAAAAGGGAGCCGTTGGGGGAGGGAAAAGTTTAAACTTATCCCCCTTCAACTATGTTGTATTTTCACGCAAATGGAAGAAAAAAAAACGAGAAAAAAAACCACAAAATTAATTCATCATATGGATGAAAATAAAAAAAAAAAATCCCAAATTGATCAATACACTTATTTTTTAACAGTTCAGGTAAAATAATCCTATGTCTGTAGTATTTCTGTCTGTATGTTCATATGCATAGAACTATTTTTTAATGCTAAGCTATATTGTGGCTAGCTTTTTTCTTCATTCATATTTATGTATAGGAAAAAAAAAAAAAAAAAAAAAAAGGACATTGTTAAAACGGATAGCTGTGACAGTTGAAGGGGTCTCCCTCCCCCCCTAAAACTGGAACACAGAAGGGGCATTTCATGTCTTGCTGAGCGGCATGATGGAATTAAAATTAATCCTATTAAACATTGTTCATTTTTGCTAAATTCGATTGAACTTGATTTAATGCATCCTTATGTAGTGTAATATATATATATATATATATATATATATTTTTTTTAATTTTTTTCTTTTTATATGTATTGCCTTCTTCTGATCCATCGATAGGGTTTTATAGTTCCCATTTTAACCGCTCTAATTTTTTTTTGGCAAAAAGATGAACAATAAATTAAAAGAAAACACATCTCCACTCTGTGAATGAAAAATGTTGTTACTTCAGTTTTATGCTAGACACTACCTCTACATTTTTTGCAAATTCATATATAGGTGATCCGAAAGGATATAGAGGGGGAAATATCCAACTCGCAAATGACATGAGAGCCCAATCTTGTGTTCTGTCTGTAAAAACAAAGTGGAATGGTTCGTAAAGAAAAAAAAAAATATTCACATATATGCACATACATGTGTACATATATTATGTGCGAATAGTTGACACTCTAAGGATAGGGAAAGGACATCGTGCTGTATATGCCACACGCGTGATGGTGTTGGGATGAATTAGACCTCAGGACTTGTTCAATATGGTTCTCAACTTGCTCGCAATGTTTTGCTTTAGTTCTGGGTGGGTAAAATAGTAAGCGGCATATTCATAAACATCATCTGGCTTCTCTTTTAACAAATCGCATAAAAATATTTGAATAAGATATTTCAGAATTTTGTTCTTTTTTAAATAAATTTCATTTTGTATAACTTTATTTATTTTAAAATTTTTAACTTGTGTTTTTTGTTCTTCTGACAAATCAAATAAAGTGATTTTTTCCTTTTCTTCTCTTTCTTCGTCTATTTCCTTTTCGAATGCGATATCTTCACATTTGTCTGTTGTGAAGAAGTTGTGATAAAGTTGTGAAGAAGTTTTGAAGAAGTTGTGAAGAAGTTTTGAAGAAGTTGTGAAGAAGTTTTGAAGAAGTTGTGAAAAAGTTCGATATGATCCACAATAAAATGTGATGAAGCTGTTCCTCAGGATATGCCGTTCAGTCATGTCCTACTCATTCTTTACATTCTTGTCTCTTTTTCAAGTTGGATCATCACGGCTATCACATTAGCTAAGTTATGGTAACCTCACCATCAATAGGGCGCTTGTTCAGATTGTTGGTTAAAAAGTGGGAAGGCTGTATTTTTTGGAAATCGAGAGATGACAGCGCAAATTTTGCATTGAGGGATGTGGGGAAATTTAACAGTTTTTCTTGTATCTCATTTTTTAATCCTTCATCTAGGGGTTCCCTTTGATCAGTTTGTGAGTCACGAAATTTATTTATTTTAGGATCATCTAAACGGAACATTTTGGATATAAACTTGTTGGGATATATGTAGAAACAGAAAACGCATGACTGTTCAGAAGGAAAGAAAAAAAAAAAAAAAAAAAATTAACAATTAGCAAAATAGCAAATTGCAAACTAGAAAGTAGCAAACTAGAAAGTAGCAAAATAATGTAGACACTACTGTGCGCACGCTTGTGTGATCACTCCATTTTGACATTATTCACTATGGTTTCCAAATGGGGATAAAATTTTCAGGGGAAACTTATTCAAAAGAATTTTTTATTTGCACAGAGATGAGGTTAAAATTTGTGTATGCCAATACCGTGTGTGCAATAAAAAAAAAAAAAAAAAAAAAAAAATTATGAACAGGGCAAGGTGAAAAATGTCTACTTTTTTAGAGAAACATATTTTGTACTTATAATATCTCTGAAGAAGGAAAACCTTTTTTTTTTTTTACTACCCACCCATTATATATATATATATATATATATCCCTATCCTGCAAAACAATCGAAACAATTTTGTAGCTCTTTTTAAAAATAACAACAAAATGTAAGGATGTCACAAGGGTCCTTTTTTTTTGCCTTTGCGTGTTTCTAAGGTTGATTGCCAAAATGGATATATATATATTACTTTTATTTATATATCGTTCACCAATGCGGGACAAATATCAACATGTTGGGAGTTTAAAACGAATTATGGAATAACGGAAACAAAGTGTACACACTGCGTGTGTTTGCGTGTATTGGTTTGTGCATGTATGGGTTATATGCATACATGTACAATTTGTAAGCGCTCCTTTCTGAATTCGCTTTTGTACATATAATTCATCAAAGGGGTTTATATCCACCTCTGAACGAAAGGTGCTGACGCAAATCACAATAATTTCGAAAGAATGAAAAATATGACAAAAAAAAAAAAAAAAAAAAAAAAAAAGGCTAAAAGGGAAAGACAAGGCGCGCAGGAGGCAGCAATCGTTCGAAGTACACGAAAAAAAAAAAAAAAAAAAAAAAAAAAAAATACATCACATAATAGAACCAAATAGGATACAGCGGATCCGAATGGAATAACAACACTACTCTTCAAACGCTCCTCCTACCAGGGTTGTTGTGCCACAAAAGAATCCATCGTTCTTTTTATTCTTTTACCACGTCAAAATAAATCGGTGCAAAAATTGCTCCACAAAAAAAGTTAAGAAGCGGAAAAAAAAAGGGAGTAGACTCTGAAAAATATTAAAAAAAAAAAATTTAATCAGTGTAAATATTCTCAAGATGTTTAAATCAACCAGGAATGATGGGTAGTACACCACCACCAGTGGAAAGTACATCAGAATCGTGCTTCCTTTTTCCTCTTGCAAATCGACGAGTGTGATTTGCATTAAGTGGAAGGGTGCTGGTCATCATGTAACCACTTGCATCGGATGTTGAAACAAATGTAGACGTTTTAAAGTACTGAAGGAACTTTTTCAACAAACTGGAGATGATCCACTCATCAAGTTGGTCGAAGAAGGAAATCAAAATGTGGATGTGCATGTAAGTATGCTGCAAAATGGACTGTAAGACATCTTCAGTTATTTTAAAAATAGAACATAGAATGGAATGTTTTGTTCCCTTCAAATGTAAGAAAAGTAATATGGATAAATACAATTTGTTGTATTTTTTCTGAACAAGGTCATCTGAAAAAAACCTTTTCTTCTTCTTATGAAATGAAATATTTTGATTCTTTAAATTTAACATATTTATAATATCACTATCAAATTTTAAAATTTGAAAAATTATATGTTTTGTATAATTATCTGAACATATCATAGTAATTAAATTTTTTAAAAATGGAAGATAATAAGTAAATGATGCTATATTCAAATTGTGTGAGGAACAAATGTAGCATAAATGAAAACTGTTATCATAAAGGTGAACCCTGTCATAATTTTTTATTTCATTCAATAATTCTGTACCAAAGGATGCCGTGAAATTACTTACACATAGAGATCTGCAAAAATTTGTTACTCGGAATTTTTTCTTATTTTCCTTTTCAATTTCTATGCACTTATGTTTTATTAACACATTGATCACAGCATGAATTTCCTCTTTTTTTGCATCATAAAAAATACGCTCATTAGGGGTAAAATTCTCTTCATCTATTTCCAATGCACAACTTGGAGTTTCTATCTTTTTTTCTTCTACATGGATTCGTGCTGAAATTGGAGTTTCATAGGAACACAGCCATTCGGTGTCGCACATATTACATGGGCTTTCTCCCTCTATCAGATGTGGAAGAGATTGCTGTGCAGGTGTGGTTGAAAAGGACTGAGACATCGTGAATGCTTGAGAGGAAAAGATATGACCATCAAGAACCTCCACATAGTGTAGGGAAAAGGAAAGCATAGCAATTACATCTCGAATGGAAGCAGATTCACCCACTAGACAAAGAAATTCTATTAAATATTTTTCCATTTCATCCAGAGAAGATTTCCCATTCATTGTACTTGTTATATTGGTAAAATTTTCCTGAAACATTTGAATCATTTTTTTTTCATGTTTCTTTTCAATAAGAAGAAAAGAGTCTCCTGTGGTGTGTCTTGCTGCTCTTCCAATCATTTGCTTATACTGAGTTACGCTTAAAAAGTTTTGTGCAATAAATGGAGATGATATTAGAACCCTATCCACTAACAGATTCAGGCCTACGGATAATGTAGATGTGCATGTTAACAAAAATAAGGTCTTTTCCTTATACGCTACTTCTAACAATCTTTTTATCGAATTCGTGATGTCACTATAGTAGTAACATATTCCATTGCTTATAAGTTGATTCATATTATTGTGTGAATAACTATCAAGAAGACGTATTCTATCGTTTAATTTTTGCCTTCTCAATTGTACCTCCTCAGGTGTGTCTTCCATGGAGTAGGTGGTCTTGAAATATTGATTAATCAAGTTGACATAAAATTCGCAATTTTTTTTGGTGGAACAGAATATTAAAGTATTCAAATTATTCATTCGACTGTGTTGTGAAAAACATAGAAGAGAATGAACAAGACTGTTATTTATCGATGGATTTTTTTTTTTTCTCAAAAAATTAGTAATATTATCCTTTGCATTCTTCTCATGCATGATATTCGTTTCTTCCATCATGTTGCATCCTTTAAGGTTGTTCACTTTGGGGAACCCTTCTACTCCGTTTCGTCCGTCTCCTCCGTTTCGTCCGTCTCCTCCGTTTCGTCCTTCTCCTCCCCCTTCACCGTGTTTATTTCTTCCCCATAAGAGGTAAAAATCGTTCACATTGCACAAATATGAAAAGGGAAATCCATCTCCTCTCTCTTTCCTATAAACACCACAATTGCATATATAATGTTCTTTTATTTCTTGTGGTCTTTTATAAGAAGAAACATACAACTTAGCGTTCATCCATTTTTTCAATCTGGTCAGATTGTTTAGTGTACCACTCATGCATATTATTTTTATTTTCGCTCCATTTTTGTTCAGGTACAAAATTTTTGAAATAATATTCTCGATGTAAATTCCCCTCCCTTTTTCACTTATCAGATGCAGTTCATCAATTACGACAATGAAATTATGCAGTTGGTTATTACCCGATATATAATTTGACATCCTAACGGTTTGACCATTATTGCATTGCATTCTTCGTTTCCCTAAAGGGATAAAGCCATTTTGGAATTCCATCATTTCCCCATGTGGGTCTAATTTTTTCCTGTTTAAATGATTATTCATTTTTTCATATGTCCACAGAATTATGTTACACTCAGAAAATTCGATTCCCACCTTTATTTTGGTACCTTTGCATATTTTTTTAAAATATGTCATTTTTTCATTTATTAACGAATTTAGAGGAAACAAAAAAAAAATTTTGTCCGTTTTTTCTATTTCTTCAAAGGCAAAAATTTCAGCTACTAACGTTTTACCACCAGATGTCGGTGCAACGAACAGGAAATTTTCTCCTTCTTCCCATCTGACCCTTTTCAGTTCCCTTATACATTCTACTTGCCACGGGTATAACTCATTTATATTTTCCTTCTTGTAATTTTCCAAAATGGACTTTTCTATCTCGTACTTGCTCAGCTGATTGGAATTTCGATCTGAGCCCTGTTCCCAAACGGGTCCCCCAGCGTCATTCCTCCCAGCATCATACTTCTCAACCTCGTGCCTCGCAACATCGTGCTTCTCAATATTTGGATTTCTCACAGAGTTCTTACATTCCGAGTGCTCATTTCCATTGTGTGCATTCTGTTCTACCTTCGTCAGTTTCTTGTCATGACTTTTTTCGTACTTTTTTTGTTTGTCAAGTAAATTTTCAAGGTGTGAAATCCAATTCACATTCATTTAGTGTAGATATGCAAGCGCGTGGGTGAGTCAGTGCGTTGCTACGTTTTTTCGATGCTACGTTTTTTCGATGCTACGTTTTTTCGTTGCTACGTTTTTTCGATGCTACGTTTTTCAATGCTACGTTTCTGCGTTTCTGCTGTCTGTGTAAACCAGGGCAAATATGAGTACTGGATATGCACATATCCTGAAGAACTGAGCCAGCATATCCACATTTGTTCCTGTTAAACGTTCTGATGAGCGCAACACGATTCCCCCACATACAATATGTGTACTAAAATTATGCTCAAACTTAGTATAACGTTTTTCCCCCTCTCCCCCCAAAAGTTGTGAAGTTTCAATTGTGCTGTTTTCAAAAAAAATATTTATTCAGTCATGATGTGTATTTGTACTACACCATTGCAAGATTTATGTAAAAGCTCTCTTTTTTTTTTTTTTTTTTTTTTTTTTTTTTTTTTTTTTTTTTTTTTTTTTTTTTTTTTTTTTTTTTTTTTTTTTGCTGAAGTTGCTAATTTTTAATTATTCTTTTTTCGTTCTCGCAAATAACATGTTCAAGGAAAAAGCAGTTATTTTTTATTTTATTTTTTTTTTTTTGCATTGCATTTTTCCCAATTATTATTTGTCATTTCACACTTTATAAATTACGCCATTTCATTCTATGATTTCACCATTTTGCTACTTTGTTAATTATTTTTCTATTTATTTTATTATTATCTCCCTACGGTTTATTTTATTTTATTTTATTCTATTTCATTCTATTTATTTTATTTTTTTTTTTTTTTTTGGCGGGGGTGTGCCGACTGACTGACCTATTTCATATTCTCCTAAACAAGAAAAAACAGAATAACACAGAAATACTGCAACAGTGTGAACATGTTACATTTGCAACCATTTTTTGTTCACTTCACTTGTGATGATATCACTTAGATACCAAAAAAAAAAAAAAAAAAAAAAAAAAAAAATAGGAGAAATAAATAATCTACCTTTTAAAGAACTTTAACAATATTCCATGAGTATCCAAATTCATAATGTTCTGAACAAGACATAATTTTTTTTTTTTTTTTTTTTTTTTTTTTAACTAGCTTTTTTATCTAGCTAAATTTTAAAAAAGAGGAAAAAAAAAAAAAAAAATAAAAACCACACGAGTTGTGCAAGTATGGACGAAGCACAAAATGAAAATTCGAATGAGAAAGGTTATACTTAAAAAAAAAATAAAGGCACATAATAGCGTGCACATAATCGTATGCACATAATAGCATGCACATAATAGCATGCACATAAGCATACATGTGTATACGTTCAGGCAAAGAGGCACCACTTTAGCACTCCCCCCGCGTCCCCAATTTTGATAACATGTGCTTGTCTGTTTTGTCTGCTACCTCGACGTGAACTTAAGACATCAGAATCTTTTCACACCAGCACCTCTAGACACCTTAAATTTCAAATGACCAGTTTTTTCCCAGTGAAATGTTCCTCGCCCTGACACTAAATAAGTAGGCGACAAAAGGGGAGGAGAAACAAATAAATACACAAAATGGATGCACAGTATAAAGGGCATATAGCGAATATAGCGAATAAAGCAAGAATGGGACATAATGGGTAGCAAACAAATCGGAAGAACCAAAAATAACTGAAGAGTTTAACGTGCAGCTCCAACACTCCCCTGTGTGGAGAAAACACCACATCATATATTTGGTTGTGTGAACGAAGCTGTTGCATTATGTATATGTAACGAATACTTATCCTACCTTACACCAACTCCCTTCGAATGCATGCAAAATCTTTTACGTCTCTTATTAATCCTACTTTTATTATGAAATGTTTATATGGTGTAGCTATAAATGTCTTTCCTTGTTTTGCGTTTTTTTTTTTTTTTTTTTTTTCTTCTTCTTTCCCTTACACACTTCCATCACACATATGCATACTACCTGTCATAGAAATGCAAATATTCTTAAATGAAATAGAAGACCTAGTTAACGAAGAACAAGTGGATTACAATTTTGCCGAGAAGGAAGAATTTATGAACAATACGTGCAGAAAATTAATTGAAAAAAAAGAAAAAACAAAAGGGAACAGTTTCTCAATTCAACAAAAAATCAACTTATTTCTTGGCGAAGTAAATTTTATTAATCACGTATTTGATGAATATTCTAACGAGAATGAACGAAAAAAAAAAATTGCTGACAGTTACAAGCAACAACAAAGTGAAAATTCAGTAAAAGTGGAAGAAGAAGAGCTTTTCACCAAAGAACAGAATGAAATTTTGAAGGATTTAATTTTTTTGGAATTAGGCTTGAATGAGTCCTCTCCAAATGCAAATGATGTAAGGTGAAAAAGATAGGAAAAATGAAAACAGTTCCATTGAGGAGTGCTGTGCGATGGTCGTACAAACATGTGCTTCTCCCACTGCAAGTGATTTTCTACGCATATGGAGGTGTACATATATATACATATGTGTATACATATATATTTATACATATTTTAATGCATATGTGATATCTTTCCCTCATTTCAATTTATTGCACCCTCTGTACTCTCCCAATTCATTGTTCATATTTCATTCCTTTGTCTTACATCCCAAAACCTCCCTTTTCTCTTAATTCAAATTTTACTCCATAAACCCTGTGTCGAACAAAAAACCTGTATAGGCGAAAAAATTTCTGCTAAATATTTGTGAGAATTTGGAGAAAATTGAGAACAAGGAATTTATACTAACCACGAAGAAGGCCCTGGACATACGAATTGTAATTTGAAAAATTAAGAAAAATTGAGAAAAAAAGAAAAGATCATACCATATCAGATAAGATCATATCATACCATATCAAATCAAATAAGGGGAAACACATACATGTCCCTTGACTCATTACACGTTGCTGAATATTCACATTTGTGCAAAATAGAAAATTTGGAGACTATTTTAACAACCCCACACAATAACCTTTCCATTTTTATACTGTTCAGGATGATTTTCGAAAAAATGAAATAAGTGAAAATTATTTCTCAAAAGCTATACACGAAATATACGTGGACACAGTGGTAATGTGGAATATGCTACGTTTGTTATTTTGTGTGTGTCCTATTTCCAATTTGTGCGTGCGATGTGCGCTATTTTGTGTTTTTCTCCATTTCCCATTTTCGACCTGTGATGTGTTAATTTTTTGTATTTTTTTTTTTTTTTTTTCCTGTCCCATTCCCATGTTACTCCATTTTGTAGAACCAGTTAGTACACGAAGTAGAAAAGAAAGAAAATATGTTGAAGCAAGACACAATGGAAGATTCTGTAAATATTGCTATGGAAGAAATTCCTAAAACGGATTTAATATTGGAACCTTCAGTTGAGGGAATGGAAATGGCAAATCAAGTTGTCAAACAATGTGAAACATATAACAATCCCACGCCCTTACCAGAAAAGGATAAGACGGGAGGGGAGGTAGTTGTTTTCGGGGGAAATGTTGCCCATAGGAAGAATAAGAAGGATCAGCAAGTGGTACATTCTAATTATTTCCATAAGAAAAAGGTACGTTTATATGTACATATAAGATGCACGTATGTATGAGAGGAAATCTATGGGGAATCACACATCGTCCCCATGCTTGTTTTAATTCCATTCGCCTATGATTCCCCCTTCCACTTAGATGAAGCTAGTGCAGCGTTGGCAGAAGGTAGCTCAAGAATCCAAGTTGATGAATGACTCAGATGCGAGCGTTTAAATATATTTCACTTTTGCTTTGCTTCATTTTGATAAGCATACTGCTTCACCCTGATTCATTCTGCTTAACCCTGCTTCACTTTGCTTCGTTTTTTTTTTTTTTTTTTTTTCTTTTAAAATAAACCTTATTTGGCCAGAGTGAACCCCACAAATGGATATATCTCTTAGCATTATTGTATATGTTTTGCAGTCTCTGTTGTTATACTCATATGCGTGTGTGATGCTGATCTTTGCAAAGTGACATATATACCACCACCACCCCTCCCCTCAGGTAGGAGGAGGAGGAGAGAGGGAGAGAGAGATGTTACTGTGCACATCCTCTACACACATGTATAAAACTAAACAATTGGTATATAACACGAGATCTCATGTGTTGAATATCCTCCATTTGCATTTCAACCCCCTTCTCTCTCTCACCTTCTCTTTTCTACGACAGCATTTTATACCCTTATCTCCTTACCATTTCGTTCATACATTTCACGAATTTTTACCTTGTCTTGCCATTTTATACCCAATTTTTTTTTGTGCTTTTATAACTTTTTGCACATGGGGAGAGGAAGCCCATCTGTACCTTCGCGTGCTACAAACTTATCTGAAATTATGTTAATCTTTTTGAAACTAAGATTTATCCGCTTTCCTCGATGTTCACACAATGGGTTTGTGAGTTCGCCTTCGCACAGTCGAAGCACTTTTTTCACCTTATTATTTTATATATATATATATATATATATATATATATATATATATATTTATTTATTTATTTTATTTTTTATTTTTTTTTTTCACCGATTGGTCGTAAACCTATGAAGATTACCCAATTTAGTCGTTATATTGCAATTCGGCTGAGTGTAAAGTATTCCTTTTTTTTTTTTTTTTTTTTCTTTTTAATATACATATGTACATATTTGAAAACTAGTTAATCCGCATTAACAACATTCCAATTCCTACAAATTCAGCTTCTTATCAATGAATCTTAAGTTATGTTCCTGTGTGTGTAATGATATTCTGCATGTGAAACACACAAAGCACATAAAAAAGTGCACGCTACAAAACACCCCACATGGGTAGAGATGATGGGAACAGTCCTAAGGTGTATATCATTTTTCATACATATAAAAACTGAAGATCTTGTTTGATTTTAATCATTCGTTCTTATTTTTACATTATTTTTTGTGCCTTAATTAGAAACAGAAAAGGTTACTCTTGTAATAAAAGAAAAGAGAGGGGGTAGGAGGAGGAGGAGGAAGAATGTACAAAATGCATTCTCTAAAGATCGTGCCGATTATGAATCTGTTCAGGTGCAAAAGAGGATTTAAGCATTCGAAGAAAATTGAACAATTGAAATTTATCTATTTTGTTAAAGGATTCAAAAGCAGTTCTGATAAATTCCAAGGGGAAGAAATAAATAATGCAGAATTGAAGGAAGACGAAGAAGAAGGAGAAAAGAAGAAATACTTCAGCAATCATAGATACGTGGACTTCTATCGAGATGAATCAATGAATGTTGGAATTATAACTTTTAAAAACATAAATAAGAAAAAAAATATCTTTAACGATTTTTTAGAAGAATTAAAAAATGTTATAGAACACATCACCAACATCATATCGAATCAGGAGAGCAGTGGGTTCTATATAAAAGACTTTGAGAGGAAAGACAATTACTTAATTCGAAATATAAAAAATAGGATCCCATACTATGATAACAAGTTAAAGGTACTCATAATAAGTGGTGAATCTAGTGGGAGTAACCGCGAGAGTGTTAGGAGCTGCTTTCTGCACGGCATGGATTACAACTCTTTTCTGAAAAATGATGAACAAAACAATGCACATATTGCAAACACATTTCGCTATCTATGCAACACAATTCAATCGTTACCTCTTATAACAATTAGCAACATTAATGGGGAATGTTATAACAGTGGGATTGACATAATTTTATCGACTGATTTCAAAATTTCCAGTGAAGAAAGCAGATTTGGATTTAACAAAACACATATCGGATTGTATCCATATGGAGGATGTACACAAAAGTTATTTAGGTACATTCCCTTAAACTATGCAAAACATTTATTACTTACTGGAGAAACAATAAGTTCAGAGGATGCAGTAAAAATTAATTTAATAGACATATGCATGAAGTGTAATGAAGAATATTTTATTAATAATTCTAATACCCATTTTGATAATAATTTAACGAAAAAAGAAAAATTTGAAATTATAAAAAAAAATATTTTAAATTACTTTCAAGACATTTTCACATATACATTATTTAAACACAAAGTAAATGAAGACAGTTTTATTTTCTCTCTTTTTTTTGCATTTCAGTTTTTATTTATCCCAACCAATATTTTACAAAATATTAAATTCAGCATCATTGAGGGCATGTCTCTCACTGACCCCAATTTGTATTTGGATCACGACAGGAATATCTTTGAGAGGAACATCAACGCTCCCCAGCGTGCTGAGGTTTTGGATTACATAAAGAGGACAACCAGGTGAGGAGGGTGGCAAAAGTGTGGAAGAAGCGTGGCAAAAGTATGGAAGAAGTGTGAACAAAATGGATGACAAAGCATGGACAAAGCGAATGACAGGTGTTGAAGATGCAAATGTAGATAAATTTTTCAAATCAGAGAGAGTCATGGGTAACTTCTTCTATTGTATGTCTTTATGCAATGTGGTGGCAAATATGATATACCCAAGGGAAAAAGGAAGAAAAAAAAAAAAAAAAAAAAAAAAAAAAGCACATTTTTAAGGTGTATATTATATAAGATGTGCTATTATTCATAAGTTGTCTCCCCTTTAGAAAATGAGCGTGTCTCCAAAAATGTTAAAAAAAAAAAAAAAGATGCGTGTTATTGTAAAAAATTGAATACTCATTTACAATTTTTCCTTTTTTTTTTTTAATTTTTATTACCTAGACTGATTATGATCTTTTTCATTATTTTGAACAAGATCCTGCCCGCTAGGTTTATATACGCACATTTTAAGTACACGAATGATAATGTTGTTTTTTTTTTTTTTTCTTTTTTGGTATTTCCCCTCCCATATATATATCAATAATAGATTTGTAAATATGGTGAGAAAAAAAAAAAAAAAAAAAAAAAGATCACTTGTATTTTGTCTTTTTTGTGTAGTCTGTTTCCTTTCTCTCCTTTTTCTGCCGTTTTTTTTTTCTCTCTTTCTTTACATGATTATTTCAAATATCACGGCACAGCGCAGCATAGATAGACATATATTCACACTTTCAAACCATCCAATGAGTGCTCGCCCTATTCTCCAGTCGCTTCTCATCAGAACTTAGCAGGTCCCCATTTGTATATACCCCATGAAACATGTATATTATTAATTTAACATTTTTTACTTACAAATAACTCGTAAATAAAAAGAAAAATATACATGGGATTTTTGAATATACATTTTTATATACCCTTAAAAAAAATATGGTTATGATATTAACCTACGGGGGAAGGGAAGTGGAAGTTATGCAGATTTTCTATCGAGACACATGTGTACCCGCTTCCTTCAGCTTCTTCCACTTCTCTCCTTCCTTTATAAGGGATGTATATATATATATATATATACATATATCCATGTCATATGTGCAATTTCGTCACGAGTGATAAACTCAATTGTGAAGACACACCAAGCAACCTCCCTCTGAGGGCTTGTGTTTTGCTGTAGTATTTTGGTTTGTTAAGTAATTCTCTAGTTATCATCACAAAGGGGCGCTCATTTTGTGACACCCTTGCGTTGTTATTTTGTAATGCCATAATTTTGCTGTTTTGTAATTTCATAATTTTGCTGCGTTCTTTTTTTTTTTTTTTTTTTTTTTTTTTTTTTTTTCAGTCACAAAACTGTATTTTCTCATCTCAATGTTATTTCAGTAACACAGACCAAGTTATTGATGTCATCATAAAAAAAAAAAAAAAAAAAAAAAAAAAGCAAAAAAGAAAAAAAGAAAAATTTGAAGCAGAAATTGAAATAATTCGTTTGAGGAAAATGTAAGGAAACACAGGGAGAGGGGCTTCTAGGTTATGTGCAGGCTTGCAGTGTGCACAAAGAAATTGAGAGAAACAAAGTGAGAATGAGGTGAAGGTATATATATTTCTGGAAAACACAGATGGTCTCAGCATAGATAGACATACAACACTGGATCGAGCGAGAGAGATGAGGGGAGACGTTTTCTTAGAAAGTCCACTCTCCCACACTTCTACTACAATGTAATTTTTTACACATGGCATTTATGGAAAATGGAAGAATCTCTCTTTGTGTGATTTAAAAACGAAAAATCCGTGTTTCATGTCAACGAATTTCAAGCTGGAAAATCAAAACTTTTTTTTTTATTATTGCAAGAAATTATTTCTACTATATTATATATAAATAATATTCACAATAGTAGAACTCAAAAAAAATCTTGCGCACAGAGATGGGGGTTACGGTTATTGGGGAGCGGGGTGAAGTAAAATAAATACATGTCACAGACTCTCACAGCAGAGAGATAGTATATGATGCATAAACGGCACACCAAGAGGAAAAGTACACACACACATACATGCATACATATATGTATATATTAATTAGGGAAAAAAAATATATTGCAAAATTTGGGCATAAAAAAAAAAAAAAAAAAAAAAAAAAACATATGAATATCACTTTTCACATTGAAAAAAACGTATGCAATAAGATAGGGAAAATAATGAAACAAAAATATATAATTCCAACCCCTCCTCCTTTTCTCATAATGAATGTGTTTTTTTTTTTTTTTTTTTTATTTTCACAATATAAAGAAAAACATAACAAAATGTTTTTATTTTCCCTCTTCCATCTCGTAAAATGTTTTAACGCGCTTACGAGAATTGGAAGAACTGGAAAAGACGTTGGATTTTTTTTTTTTTTTTTTTTTTTTCATTCCAAGTGGTCATAAAAAAGTACTAATAAAAAAAAAAAAATTGATACTTTATTTCAATCATTTTGTAAAAATGTAAAAAAAAAAAAAAAAAAAAAAAAAGAAAAGAATCAAATCAGTGCATCCCTATCATCATTATTTTATAATACTTCAGACCCGAAAGGCTTTGATATAATTGAAAGGATTCTTATCATCATTTTATCTTCATTTCTTTTCTTCTTCTTTTCAGCTTTTTCCATTTTTTTTTTTTTTTTTTTTTTTTTTTACTCGTTTTTAAAAAATGAAAATGTATCATTCGTTTATGAAATATACACTTATAAACAGTTGGATATTTTTTTTTTTTTTTTTTCTCCTGTTTTGTGAATTCAAAATTGGGCATGGCATATATAGCACAAAAATATAGAACGCAAAAATGTAAATAAAGTAGCATATTGGTATATGCCCAAAGTAGTAGATAAAAAAATAAATAAAAATACTATGCAGGTTGGTTGGTTGGCAGTTTAGGTAATTAATATTGAGATATGGAAACATTGGGAAGATACATATATATTGTGTGTGTGCAAGTAAATACGCATTTCTAAAAATGTAAACGAAAAAAAAAAAAAAAATCCTCACCATAATATATGTTTAACATAAAAATAGAATAAAATTTCAACTCATCTTTAACCACTACTCCCTTTTTCTCTCTCTATACGTGATGTGACATATATAAATTCCGGCATATGCGACCAAGAAAGATATGGGAACGCATATTTTGACAACACAGAAAAAAAAAAAATAAGCAAATAAATGAAAACTCAAGAATCTATAACTGCAATACATGCATATGCATTCTAATAAATGTATGTATAATGTATGTGCGTTTTTTTTTTTTTTTTTTTTTTTTTTTTTTTATATTCCTCTCCCATGAGTGTATATACTAGTTTAAAGCGCTGGCAGTTGTTCATTGGTGCAAAGTATGGGGAAGCAGAAAAAAAAATGAAGTATGTTTTATTTACCTCTTAGTTGATATATCCCAACATTTACATCATCTCCTGCGGGGGAAGGGGTTTTCACTAATACAAACATCAATTTTGCAAACAAAATTAAGATATTATATATATATATTATGTATATTCATATACGTATATGCACTTTTTTCTTGGCACATTTCATGGCTCTTTTTTTTTTTTTTTTTTTTTCTCTTTCCCCGTGTTAAATTTCCATTATATATATATATATATATATATATATATATATGCTTGTTTAAATAAACAGAGCTAAGTTTTTGAACGGTTAATTTGTACCTGTCGGTTCCACGTGCTTACATCAAAATGAAGCTTTTTTTTTTTTTTTTTTTTCTTTTTTTTTCGTTTACATTTTCCGAATATGAGCATTACTACAAAAGTAATCTTCTTGATGTGACAGTGAAATTGTATAAAAAGTGGTAATATATAAACAAAGTTATGAGAACAGTTGTTTACACAAAAAGCTCTTATAAGAATATACATATATTATCATCTTACTTTAATACATTTAATGAATGATATAAAAAGTGGTTAAATTTTTTTTAAAAAAAAAAAAAAGAAGGTAAATATAAAAAAGGTCTTCATACGTGTGAGAAGGATTTAGGAGATAGCAGGGGGTATATATATATATATATCACACATCGATCATGTCATCTTATGATTTGAGAAACATTACTCCAGATATCAGAAATGAGGAGAGGGGAGGAATATTATTTTTACACCCAGGTAAAATTAAAAAGGCCTTTTATATATACTGAACATGCACTTTTCGAGGAAGGAATTCACCATATATATATATATATCTCATATATGTTGTTGCACACATGCCATCTGCATTTATCTACATTTGCATGCAAGTTATATCTTTGGATCACTACCATTTTTTTGCAGCCCATTTCATTTTCTTACACGTTTAGCTACTCCGTTTTTCTCTCCCAATGAGAAGTTCATCCCCCTCGTTTGCACTACATACACACACACATACACACAAAGAGTACGAGATAGAGAGATAGGAATTTATTCAGTGCAGAGACAACTGTAAAGCTGGCAAACATGAATCGTTTTCCACTCGATCCCTGCACACAAGTGTGTATATATATATATACAACACATGCACAAATCCATGTGAATGCTGATTTATTATTCTTTTTATTATGCCTTTCTGCCCCTAATGGAGATATATATACATGTACATATCTTTTTTTTTATTTTTTTTTTTTATGCTGCTTTAAATTTAGTCGTTAATTAAAAATAAAAATACATCGTAAACCGAACCGCAAAAACATGCATAGCGAGATTCGATTAAAAATATAAAATTTGTCCATAATTTGTCCATAATTTGTCCATAATTTGTCCAATTTTCCATTTTGCTTACATGCACACATACACAACCTTGTCATTGCATATGAGAAATATTGGAGAAGAAAAAAGGAATGGGGGGGGAAGGAAAGTTTATATTAATTTAAAAAAAAAAAAAAAGAAAAAAAAAGGGAACGAAATAAAAGCCCCGCTAGGGAAAGCAAAAAGCAAAGGGGACATGCATATAGCTAATGTTGGCAAAGACGAGACATTTATTAAATGTATAAGAAAAACATCTAGTCGTGTTATCGTGCTGTTGTGGAACTTATTTGGATGTTCCTCTTTCAGTTAGAATCAATTTGCCATTTATGCAACAATGCTGAAATTTTTTTATGACCATGCCATGTATACATATATATATATATATATATATATGTGCATTGTCTACATTCTTCTGTGCTGCTAGGGCTCCTCGAAAGATCGTTCTCAGATTGGCGTTCAAGTAAAAAAATTAAAAAACGGGAAATACATGTACATACACATATATATACATATATAAAGAAAAAAAAAAAAAAAAAAAAAGCAAAAATCTTCAAACTATCTTTCGTTAAATAAAAAAAAAAAAAATACATAGAAAATTAGATATTCTGTCACCATGCTCTCCCCGTTTTTAAACTAATTATTTCTTTCATAAATGGGTATATTATATATAGTATGGAGTGATCGTGCTTTAAATATATACATATTAAAAGTCTCTCCCTCCTATACACACTTTTGTGTGTGTTAAAAATACATTTCGACCATTATATATATATATATATATATATATATATATTCCATGTTATTTTTACCTGTGAATGAATAAATAAAAATAAATCCATATATAAATAAAGCAAAAAATAAAAATGTTAATAAAAAAAAAATTGGTAAAATTCGGGGAGGGGGGGTGTCCCCCCCTCTCATATTCTATTTTTGCACATTCAAATTTTATTAACAAATTAAACTAAAAAATCCATGTATAAAATATACTCACACAGCGCATTGAAAATAATTATGTTCAGATATGTCTTATTATCGTCAACATGTATATACTCAGACGGCACTTCCTGAATATTTTCATCATTATAATTATTAACAATATGCATCGTTTTTTAAGGTATGTGCAAACGTGCACGTCCATACACACATACAAACATGTACCCATACAAACATGTACCCATACAAACATGTACCCATACAAACATGTACCCATACAAACATGTACCCATACAAACATGTACCCATACAAACATACACTTATACAAAAATAATACGGTTCTTTTTTCTTGCATTAACATACATGCACAGACCGAAGCGTGCGTGTTATGTTCTGTGTATCATAAGGTATAAGACCACACACTTGCTCACTCAGCCACGCATGCACATACATACATATATATATATATATATATATATATATATATATATATATATATATATATATATATATATATATATATATATATGCATAGAGTGATATATATGGATAAATAAATGGCTAGATTCTGTTTCACCAAAATTAACAAGTAATATGAACGACTGTCATAGCATTCCATGTTATCTGAACGTGGTCAGGTAACATGAAACAAAAACTCACATTCACAGTTTCATAAACGCATAATTGTATTCATAAATACGGCCCACTAAGAAAAATTTTAACGAATTTTATCAATGGTTCCTAAAATTATGAGATTAATATAGCTGATTTCTAGCAGTCTGCACAAAATTTTTAAGTCAAATGTGTCACTGTGGCTAAACCAGCACACATTGCACTTGGCAAATACATGCATTGGGATGGAGAGAAATAAAAAAGCTACACACACATATACACTGTCTCTCTCACATGGATTATTTTACAGGTAAACTTGGTAAATATATACATACATGCATATATACTTATATATACTAATTTTTAGTGATTTTTTTTTTTTTTTTTTATATTATATTTTTTTCTATCTTTTTAAGCGATCACACTAAAAATTGCACACATATATAGCGCAACTTCTCATTTCCTCCACAAACGAAAGTGTATAAGCAGATAGAAAAAAAAGACTGAGTAGCGTGTACACATAGAACAAAAATTTTTAATCAAGATGTGCAACACCCCCGAACAGTTTTTTTTTTTTTCTCTCTCTCTCTCATTGATTCCCATTTTTGTAATTTATATAACAATTTTTAAGAGTTCTTTTTTTTTTTTTTTTTTTTTTTTTTTTTTTGTGTTTACTCATTTTTTACCTTACAACTTGGCCGAAATTTCCTTCTTTTTAGCCTCTTCAATTTTCTTCGCTTTATCTTTTAATTTTTTCAACATTAAGGATTTTGCACTCATTTTCTGACCTCCCCATTTTCTTCTAATCTCAACATTGTCATTGAAATTTTCTCTGGAGATCTTTGCAAAATAATCTAACTTCTCTTGATCTTCTTTTAGAACATTTTGAACACAAATTGCTGTGGCTGTTTTTTTATGTACAAGCTTACCCAAGGTAGCTTTATCTTTGACGATACAATAAGGAATGTCTTTTAATCGACACAGTGTTGGTAGAAATAAGACTAATTCGATTGGAGACACATCATTAGCTATAACAACAAGATTTGCTTTTTTTCGTTCTACTAATTTAGTTATGTGATTAATTCCATACTTGATAAATAGTGGCTTTTTATCTCTCGGCACCACTTTGTTTAATTCATCCTTTGCTTTCTTAATGAGTCTTTTTTTCTTTTCTTCTTTCGATTCTGGTTTATATGCCTTAAGGAAGTTCATCAGGTCTTGTGTCTACGGAAGGGGAAATAAAAAGAAGGCAAGCACAATAAGCAGAACAGAAAAAAAAAAAAAAAAAAAATGGGAAGAATACGAAAAATAGACATTGTTCATAAAAAAAAAAAAAAAATGGGAAGAATACGAAAAATAGACATTGTTCATAAAAAAAAAAAAAAAATGGGAAGAATACGAAAAATAGACATTGTTCATAAAAAAAAAAAAAAAAATGGGAAGAATAAGAAAAATAGACCTCGTTCATAAAAAAAAAAAAAAATGGGAAGAATACGAAAAATAGACCTCGTTCATAAAAAAAAAAAAAAAAAAATACCTGGCTTTTCGAAAGGGTGTGATTGAACTGATTGATTGATGGGGGTACTTTAAGTCTCTCCAACAAAATTTTTTTTTTTCTCTGAATTCGAATATACTTTGGCCATTTAACATACTTGGATAAATCTCTCTTGGCCCTAACACCAACTCCAATTATATTACTTTTTTTCTTCTTTTCAAAAATAAGGGGGTTACTTCGAATTCCTTTTTTTTTCTCTTTTTTTATGTCCTTCTTAACTGTTTTTTTGTTGTTGCTCAGTGGACAGGGTGCTGGTGTTTTCTTCGATGGTTTCTTTTGTTGCTTTTTATCTTTCGCCTTTAAAAAAATAGGGGTAGACAGAAAAAAAAAAAAAAATAAAAAATAAGGCACGCTGGAAAATATGTCCACGCGATAATGCATGAACAAACGGGATGTGTGGTGGTGGTAAGATCTATTTTCTGTTTTTTTTTTTTTTTTTTTTTTTTCTTATTTTTCCTATGCATAATTTGTAAAGTTAAATTTGTTTAACTTGCTCTATGAACTCATTTTGTATTCTCTCCCCTTTCTCAGCGTGCGGTAAAAAAAAAAAAAAAAAAAAAAAAAAATACTGACATCCAAAAACGCCCACAATTGAGAGAAATAAAAAAAAATGGTGAGAACACGGAAATAAATGTGCAAAAGGAGTAACGCAAATTATTCCCCTCCTCACATGGAATATTTTGTATATATATAAGTACTTACCATTTTTGTAATTAAATTTTCACACAAACTAAGAGGGAAGAAAAAATGTGTTTTTTTTTTTTTTTTTTTTTTTTTGCTTTCCTTTTCTTATTGATTTCTCCCTTTGCCTTAAATACTATTTACATAAAAAAATAACAGATAATATATATGTATGACATAAATATATATACACTATACAGCTGATATATGGGCGTATAACCATTCATTATATGTTATAACATATTTTCTATCACTCGACAAATTGTGGGTGATGAAAAAATCAACCAATTGATTTTTCTCCCTTTTATTTTTTTTTTGCTTTCCCTGTTTTTTCCTTCCCTTCTTGGTAAAGAAATATAAAACAATTTAAAATGCGAATATAAAAAGTTTTATTCGCATATATTCAAAAGTTTTATATATTTTTTTTATTTGATAAAAATGAAAATAATAATAAAAAAAAAAAAAAAAAAAAAAAAAATGTTTATGTTAAGTGTATAATTATTCCTTAAATGCAGAATGAGAAATAAAAAAAAAAAAAAAAAATTAAAAAAACAAAAAAAAGTTATTAACACAACCCCCGTGGTTCAGGCAATTTTTATTTTATGCATATGGCCTGTTTTTTTTTTTTTTTTTTTTTTTTTTTCTTATAAGCTAGCCCCACGTACGTTTAAGTGGTTTAAGAATAGTTATATATACATATATATACATATATATATATATATATATATATATATATGTATGCAATATATTACAATATTCCTGTCGAGGATAAATGTGACAAACGGAAAAAAATAAGCATACCTCTCTGTGTATGGGCTGGTATTATTGCGTTACACTAATATCATGTGTACCACATCTTGGTAGGGGTAAGAGCACCTTAAGGGTGGGGTTTCTTTTATGCTTCTTTGCTAATTGTGTCATCTCACTCATGGGAAAATTGCTCTAATTTTGAGGCATCAAATTGGGCTCACATATATATATTAGCTCGAAGTATAATATATATATATATATATATATATATATATATATATATATATACGCTGTGTCCAAGTTCATGAAGTATGCAAGAAAAATATACATATGAGTTAGATTATAGTGACGCAAGCGGTGTTGGTAGCACTATAATCCCTCCCCCCCCTCTGGCATTGGGCCATTTTTAGTCCCTTATGTTAAGCCAGTAATTCTTCCCCTCCATTTATCCGCCTATGGCATTCTTTTTTCCCACCCCTGTGGCCAAAAAAAAATTCACGAATAAATTATAAATAATAAATAATAAATAAATATATATATGTAACATATATGCATATATGCTTATGCATTACGTGCCACATATTATTGGCTCCCGTTTTCCCCTCCTAATGTACTTATATATATATATATATATATATATATATATATATATATAAACCTATATAACGTTGAGTTGCCAAAAAGCTGGGGGAAGGTAAGGAAACTTTGAAACTTTAATATGTACGTGCATACGGAGAATTGCTGCGCAAGGCAGTACGTGCATACAATTTTGCACCCTGTATGGATAGAGAATTAATTACTACAGTATTTAATATACATTATGGTATTGCATATATATATAAATATATATTTATATACATACGATGCTTAATGTGTTGACGACACGGTCCAAAGTAAAAAAAAAAAAAAAAAAAAAAAAAAAAAGAGTACCGAATGGCTAGTAAAAGCAACTAGCGAGATAAAAATGGGGGTGGATAAATAAATTTATAGCCCCTAACAAGTCATAAAAAAAAGTTCTATAGCACAATCTTCCCACCTCATCACATTTTGGAGAAAATCTATTATCCCTCTCCTCCTAATAGCAAAAAAATGAGAAAAACTTACCCACTTCTCTTAAATATACTACACTTGTAATGTAACTGTATTATGAACAAAGCTACCCCACTATAACCACACGGGCTCATGAGATCTCACATGCCCAGGAGGGAATAACTAACGTATACACATATATGTTCTTGCAATATATATATATGTATACATATACAAATACATAACATTATGCAAATTGTCCCCTTGGATCGATGTTTAGCTTAAGGGTCCCCAAACGACTTGCGTAGGCATGCAGAGGGAGGAGGGGGTCGGTACGTCCACCAGAGGGTTACATTTAAAAGAACCATATGTAAAGAAAGCACAAGTTGCACAGTATATATATATATATATATATATATATCACTTCCGAATGAACAGCAGTGTACCGATATATACATACCTATATATGTACGTATTCATGTATGTATATTTATATATCACCTATATGCATATAAGTACATGCACCATATCGCGAATTTCCAGCACTTCATTTCTCAAGGTGAATTATAAATGTTGCCAATAAAAAATTTCCGTTTTCTTAAAATAATTATCCATGCCTACCAGCTATATTTTTTATACAGAAGGCCATAATGGTATGCTTTTTTTTTTATTTTTTATCACTCAAATTGAGTAGTGAAGGAAGAAAGCATAAAAAAACCATGCCAAGCAGAAAGTAGTAGTGCAATCTAATTAGTACATGTAACTGAGCACTCATCATTTTACTTATGTATTCTTGTACCCATATATGTTGAGTATTTTCGTCGAACGTTAAAATACGCTACTTTAATTTTAAAAGGGGTTTTAAAAAAAAAAAAAAAAAAAAAATTGTCATTAAACCGTTTTAACCACTAAGCTAGTTTTTATGACAATTTTTCGGATTTTATACGTTTTAGCTATATAGAAAAAAAAAAGAAAAGAAAAGAAAAACAGTTTTTTATATTTATATACGCTTTTATGTATACACGTTTATGTATACACGTTTATGTATATACTTTTATGTATACACGTTTATGTATATACTTTTATGTATACACGTTTATGTATATACGCTTATGTATATACTTTTATGTATATACTTTTATGTACATTTTTCTTTTCTTTTTTTTATGAACAACTCTTTTAATTCACCGCTTGAGATAAAACTGTTTTAAACCTTTTACTTACAATTAAGTTTAAAAACAGATAATTCCAATTAAATCCCCAAATAAGTAAAAATAATCCAAGCTAAAAGAAAAAAATGGCATATGTCAAGGTTGTGAAGAATAAAGCCTACTTTAAAAGGTATCAAGTGAAATATAGGAGAAGAAGAGGTACGTTTATTTCCTACTTGTTCCTTTAACTTTATGAAAAGCATTTGTATGAACCGCTTTGCATGAACCGCTTTGCATGAACCGCTTTGCATGAACCGCTTTGCATGAACAAATAATTTCCATATGCTTTTGGAGGATGTATAACGTGTGTATTATACATGCATACATTTTCCTAGGAGTAACTTCCACTCATTCGTGTCCCAACCCATTCATACCCTCCGTGCTTTAGTGTACATTTTGCTTTGTTTTTCGTACCCATTTTAAAATTTCCCCTAATATAAGATTCATTCCTTTCAAATGAAAGGAATTTTTCTTCTTTTTTTTTTACTCTATTATGCCTTAAATAAATGATTATGTTCATGATACCATAAAATTATGAGAAATATTTTATTATAGGCTAAAAAAAAAAAAAAAAAAAATTGTCACTGATAAAACGAGTTACGCATTAATCACAAGTTGCTGATTCACCTGACTTTGACACATTTACATAGTCATACTATATGTATTTTTTTTTTTTTTTTTTTTTTTTTTTTTTTTTACACACCACGTTGTATGGCATAATTGGTTTTATTTTTTTCTCCGTTTTGCCTGACTTGTTCATATTTTTTTTTTTTTTTTAAATTATATACAATGTCCTATTTTTTGAACATTTTTTCTGTACACAGAAGGGAAAACCGATTATAGAGCTAGAAAAGCACTAATATTGCAAGATAAGAACAAATACAATGCACAAAAATTGCGATTTGTTGTTAGAAAAACGAACTGTCAAATAATCTGCCAAATAGCTAGTGCACACATCGAAGGAGACAAAATATTAGCAGAGGCAAAATCGAAAGAATTAATCAGATATGGAATTCCAGTTGGGTTAAAAAATTACGCAGCTGCATATGCAACTGGGTTGTTATGTGCAAGAAGATATTTGAAGTCATTAAATTTAGATACACATTTTATAGGGGTAGAAAAGATAACAGAAGATATGAATGAGAACAATGATGAAAAGGATGATGATGATGAAGAAAGAAAACCTATAAAAGCCTTTTTAGATGTTGGTATAACAAGAACCACAACAGGAAATCGAGTTTTTGCAGCATTGAAAGGTGCATGCGACGGTGGTTTGAACATACCCCATGGCACCAATAGATTTCCAGGTTCAAAAAATGAATTTAACCCTGAACAATTGAGAAAAAATATTTTAGGTATACATGTAGCAGAATATATGAAAACATTACAGGAGGAGGATATGGATAAGTACAAAGCCCATTTCAATGATTATATAAAAAATAAAATTGATCCTAATAATATTGAACAAATGTATCTTACAGCTCATGAAAAAATTAGAAAAAATCCAGAAAAAATAGAAAAAAAGAAAGATAAAGTGAAGAAGTTTGTAGCTAAACATGAGAAACCAAAGAAACTTAACGCTAAGTTGAGGAAGAGACGTGTTAAGGAAAAGGTAAAACAAGAACGATCTAGAGAGAGAGGGAGAGAGATAAAATGGAGGAGGAGATAGGGGTAGTAGAGGGTGGCCCAATCGGCACAAAGTTTATTAGACACAGATAGATTTTTTGTCTCGTTAGAAGTTTGTCCAAAGGTGGATAGAAATCCCATCCAAATAAGCCGTCTTGTCGAATGTGCTAGCCATTTTTTCCTCCCTACATAATATATACACTTAGCGATAAAAAATTTTTTAATGATGAAAAAAACAGACCTGATTTGAAAAAAATTTGAGAATGATATTTCTACTTCTGAAAAAAATTTTTACGCATTTTATCATATTGTATATGTTATATTAGCCATACGTATGATGAGTAGTCTCACATTATCCGTGCATATCACTTTGCATTTATGCATTAGATCTGTAGTGGATCCGATTTGCATGAATCATTTCACATTTGAACCATATTATGTTATATATAATTCCTACATATGAGTATTTTTTTTTTTCTCTTTCTCTCCGCAGTTGTCCAAGTACGTAGAAAAGTTGCAATGAGCTCATGTTAGAGACTAAAAAACAGGTTGATATATCCAAGCTGAGTTGTGCGCAAAGGGTAAATTTTAGTTTTTTCCACGCGTATGAATAGTACATGAATTGATTAGCCAATATATATATATATATATATATATATATATGTATATGTATTGAGAAGAGGGGAAAATTCGATGAAGCAAAAAAGGGACCGAAAAGGTATATACACATATACGTGTTATATATATTTTGCATATAAAAGCACGCACTATACATATATGCGTGTTTGGTTCATAGCACTTGTACAGAACTACAACCGCATACCATTATAATTTATATGTGTGCATTGCCATATGTATATATTATGTACGTTCATATTTTTTTTTTTTTTTTTTTTTTTTTTTTTTGGCGAAATATTACAAATCTTTTATATTCCAACGATAAAGCGCCAAGAAAAAAAACCTGTACCATTTTTATAAAAAAGTTACGATTTAAATTTTTTTTAAAAAAAAAAAAAAAAGAAAAAAAAAAGAGGCTTTTTCGATAATAATATTGTTTTGTGTGTGATGTATATATATAATTAGCAGTTCATTGTGATCGATTCACACGATTTATATATTTATTCACTCCGCACTAATAAATGTTGTAGCATAAATTTTCATTTAATGATGACAAGTAATAATTTTGGGTAATTTACGTCTGAAAATGATTGATGAAAAAATTCCAGACTAGATCTGACAAATGAAAAATATGCACACAACATTATTAGAGCGAAAAAGAAAAAGTTCAAGAAGTGGTTTGCTCATGTCTTTTCGAAATATGTAAAAGAGAACTCCTTTTTTTTTTTTTTTTTTTTTTTGAAAACCCAGGGGGAAGAAGAGGAGGTTACAAATATATTCATGCATATTATATATAATGGTCAAGTCAAGTTATCCACCATCACAACCTTGATGAGATTTCTCTAAAACGTTTAAATAAAAAAAACGGTAATGGTTATTGATTTTCGGATGAAGTAGAAACCCAATGCGTTCCTATTCTTACTCTTATTATTTTATTCTATTATATTTTATTCTATAATATTCTACAATGTTTTACTATATTATATTCAGGTATATTCAATTATATACTTGTTGTTAAGCACCATTCAGTGAATATCAATTTTGTATAATCCCAAAAGATGAGAGAAAAAATGCCCATATAGCTTTTTTTCAGTTCTAAATCAGAGAAGCATAAAATAAAAAAGTATAGAAACTGCATTCGAAAATGCGCCTAACCCTCATCTATATAATATAAAAAAGGAACAATTATTTATGAAACTACTGTGAATTAATTTTTCTTAAATAATTCCTTATTTTTGTGTATGATGAGAAAAAAAAAAAAAAATTATTTAACTTTCGTTCTTCTGTATTTCACGAAATGATGATAATTTTTATTCTGACACGATAAGGAAAAAAAATGAAAAAAAATTACACAAATAAAAATGTTGTTTCTAAAAGAGGAGAATGGTAATTAGGCCATCGTCGTCCTGTATTAACACTGAGCCTGTGCATCAATTGGATTTCTTGATAAAATGGAAATGGAGAAACAAAAAAAAAAAAAAAAAAAAAAACTGAGCAATACATATATAACAGAACCAGAACAGCATGGAGTGTGTACATAAGATGGAGGAGCTCCACCTTTTTTATCTATTTTGTATACATTTTTACAAAAAAAAAAAGAAATAAAAAAACTTGGCAAATATATGGAACAGTAAGGATAGTATACATAAAATGGAAGGGGCTCCCCATTTTTATACGTATTTACAACCTATTTTTAGTAAAAAAAAAAAAAAAAAAAAATATCATAAATTAGGGACAAAAATACAAATTTATGTTTTAGTGTGTGTATTTGTTCTATTCGTTAAATTTCTTTTTTCCAGTAAGAAATTTCAACATGATATGTTTATTTAACATCATTTCAGAGGTATATTGGTTGCACTGAATTCTGGTGTTACAAGTAAAATTTTAACTAACATATGCTGAAAGAGATATATTAAATTGTTCATATGATTAATCAACTTATGTGAAGTGTGGAGGTTAATTTTTTTTTTTTTTTTTTTTTTTTTTTTTGCTACATGTGAATTTTTTTACAAATATGTTTACACACATACGTAACTAATTAAATATGCCAAGTTTTTAATTTTAAAAAATACATTTTATTTAAATGAATACTTTTTTTTTTTTTTTTTTTTTTTTTTCTTCTTCACATGTTCATATCATCCGTACTCGCTTTTCTCTTCCACATCTTGGACATAGTGAAAACATCATTTATGTATCTCCTCATCATACTGCTCTAAGCATTGCATATGTGTTACAACTTTTTCTGAAAAATAAGCAAACCGTTTCTCAACAATTGATCCATTACAAACTTTACAAATTCTGGAAAGAGGTGCGAAAGAAAAAATTGGGTAAAAAAGGATATACATAAATGTATGGGGATAAGGGTAATCGACATCATATTGTGGTTCATAGAACAGAGACAAGTGTAGGGATCGAGAAATATACACACTGATTCGAGGAACCAGTTAATGGGAATGCTGATGCAAAAAAAAAAATAGAAGCAAACATGGAGGTGTCAAAAATAAAAAGAAACTCCCCACATGTGTGCAAAAAGTTCCTTATCGTTTTTCTCCATAAGGTTAAAAAGAATGGGTTCTATTTTTTTATCACTGCTGATGCATGGGAGTTTATACTTACATCTTATCCCTGATGAGGATTCGGTTCTCCTTCCCCTTAATAAGCTCATATGACCGATTCAAAAAATTAGACTTTAACAAGTTGTGATAAATCTGTAAATTCATGTACAGATTAATCTTCTTCTTCAAATTGAAACTGACAAAATGGATGAGTATGTCTGTAAGTTTCCACTCCTTTGGAATGATGTTAAGTATGTGAATATTTTCAAAGTCTGTATGATTTGCATATTTGTTTAGTATATACATCATGCATTGTTGGTACATTTCCTTCGTCTCCTGATCATTCTCTGATTCATTATGCTTATCCATAAGTACGATAATAAGTAGGAAAAAAAATCCGCAAGATCTACTTTTGAAACTTCTATAAACATCAAAGTAGTTCAAAATGTCCACATTTATATTTCTGTGTTTGTTGCTTAGAGCTTGTTCTATTTCTTCCTTTTTAATATCATCATTCTTAAATTGTTTTTTCTTGTTAAGACAATTTTTTTTGGAGGAAGGGCCTTCCTTTTTGTGAGTCATCATCATTGTCTTATTTTTATTCTTCTTCTTTTGAATCCGATCCTGCTTTCTCAACATCTTAGATTTTATTTTCACATTCGTTACATCGTCCTCATTATCACTGCTAGATGTAAATACAATATCAGAATCTGTAGTCATTTTTCCAAAAGAACTGATGGAATTATCAGATGTGCTGGCATCATTACAGGAATTCTCAGAACCGTTGTAATACATGTCAGTTAAATTATCAGAACTTGAATCTTCCTTTTCATGTTCAATTAGATCTAACATAAAATCAAATTCTTTCTCTTTTCGAATTCGTTCTTCATTCTGGTTATTCGATTCACTATTTATTGGTGATTTTTTTTCATCTCCCATTTTTGTTAATATACTTTTGTGCATAGTTGCATATGCATATTTATGATATTCTTTCAATATTCCATCAATAAATGCATCGTTAAGTTTTTTCTTTTTTTTCTCCATGCTCATTCTTTCCTTTTTCCTCATTTGGCTAGCTTGGCCAACTTCTCTGATTTGGCGGAGCCGTTCCTTATTTCCATCTTCGACTTCTCCCTTTTCTCCTTTTAGAAGCACGTCAGATGTGAAATGGACATTAGGTTCATCTAGATCTACATACTTACGCATCTGTTTAAATAGTTCCTCATAGGTATCCTTGTCGTTCTTGTATAAGCTTCGAAACAGTTCTTCATATTTTTCTTTACTCATTTTTTTTACAGATTCCTTCAGTAGAAAGTTATGGTAAAGACAATACTTCTCACACATGATGATGTTTTGTTGTGCTAGAATGGATAAGCTTTCACTGTACAGAGGGAGTAGAACAGAGGGATTGGAGAAGAAAAAAAAAAAAAAAAAAAAAAAAATGAATCTACCTTTATATATATATATATATATATATATATATATTTACATTTATATGGACATAAGGGTGTCGTGATTTATACTGACAAGAGAAACATGTTTGCCATAAGGGCCATCTTTTGATGCCTCCATATAACAAGAAGAAATAAACTTACTAATGCTTGTCCATACGTCCATAAAACAACGCTTTTACAAGAGTAAATTGCGAATGAGGAATAATCCGAATCAGGTATGGAATATCTAGGGGATAACTAGCACGCAAAAATTGTAAAATTTTTTTTTGCCTGACTTGTTCAGGCTTTTCCACGTCGTTCAGGTAAAACTGAACTAAAGTTGTATTAACATTTTTATTAAATTTGTCATATTTCAAATAAATGAGGACATATTTCTGCATGTAATTTTTTATATTTATATGAAATTTCTGCTTTTGCATATTTTTAAAAATGTCTAAAATTTCCTCTGGTTTTAATAGAAAATTTTTATTTATAATAAAATCGAAAAATGCATTTTCATTAAATTGAATAAGGAAAGGAAAAGAATTTTCAAAAAGTTTTTTTATTTCACTTTTTTCTATGTTAATCATATGTACATTACCATTTAGGACGATTAAAATGTTGTATATTTCTTTTAACAATGAATGAAAAGGGGTTCCTTTTTCAGCATTTTTGGAAAATTTCTGTTTTTTGAAAAATTCCATCCAACATTTATTTTCAACCCTCAATTTCTCTGACTCTAAAAAATGAGTACACTTTTCTGTATTTTCTTCATCAATGGTTATTTTTTTTACACTGTCCTTTTCGGAAAAATTTTCCTGAGAATTTGTCTCTTCTACCTGATCATTCAGCTTTGCATTGTAAAAATGCAAAAACATAGAACACATCTCGATGGCCCTTTCAAAACGCTTCATTCGTATATATATCAACATAGTCTCTACAAATTTTAAATGTTTTTTTAAAAATTTGATACATTCATCCACATTGATATGTAAATTCCTAGTTTCAGAAATAAAGTGGAAAAAATTTGGCCACTGATTTATGACCATTATTTTTATTAACAAATTGTCTATAATGTCAAGGATATTTTTCATCGTTCTTATTCTATTTACACCATTTTCGTACGTATTCGTGTCGCTACCTTCTGATAATACATTCCCTATTTCTGTTATTTGATTATATTCTTCATATAAGCCCATGACCATTCCGTTTTCTTCATGAATAAATTCATTTCTTTTCATAAGCAAATATTTAATTAAACAATTATTTGCAATGTATTGAAGTTTTTTTTTCTCTTTTTCCTTCTCTTTCATACAGTACATACTGTCAGCTGCATACTTTCCTATCTCCTTATTCTGTAAAGTTCGTTTATCACTCCACTCTGAGCTGTACTTCATCTCAATCAGATCTTTCACACTGCATCTGGGTGGCAAGAATGATCTAAACGCTTTACTTATCATTTCCTGTGATTCATTTGTGTTCTCTTCTTGGGGGAATTCTTTTTTCTGAGAACTCCTATGCGACTTTACGTATAACTCTTCTTCGTTTTTTTCCTCCTCCTTCTGATTTTGCTTCTGATCCTGATTCTGGTTCAGATTCTGGTTCAGATTCTGCTTCCGATCCTGCTTCTTCTTGTTGTTGTTCTTCTCCTCCTCCTCCTCTTCATGCAAAAGGTACTCTTCCCAAAAGGTCAAAAGAAATCGCAGGTTTACGGGAACCCTTTCGAAATGCATGAACGATAAGGCAAATTGGGCATTCGTAAACAGATGGTACGCACATGCTTTGTTATAATCATTAAGTGTGGTGTCTCTCTCTGCTTCATTTTCAAAAATATAATTTTCAATCAGCAGGAACCCTTTTTCTATTTTGTTTTGTTGAATGCATTTCGGTAGATATTCAAATAGCTCCTGGCATCTAATAAGCTTTACACATTTCTTGTTGAAGAAACAGATGTAATTTTTTAATAAATGATTTTCACCTGACTTGTTCATATATTTTGCACCCTCCATTTTTGCCATCCATTCGGATTGCCACACTTTCATCTCTGGATGCTGTAGAATTTCTGTTGTCTCATTCACGTCACGTCCATGTGGAACTGGATTAGAAAAATTGGTTTCAGAGAATATGCCCTGGGAAGTGTATCCATTTGTCGAAGTATCCTGTGTGAAACCTCCATTAGGACAATCTCCACTTGTGTAATCTCCTCCCTTTGCACAATCATCAGCAGAATGTCCCTCGTTATCTGCACTTTCCTTATCCAGAAGAAAAATGGGCAAAAGAAAAGAACTGCTGACATCACTGTAGTTAACTATTAGATCTACGTAATCATTCATGGATATTGATTGCACATGCTGTTGATTATTAACATTGTAAATGTTTACAACTGCCTTTGCATTCATAGAACACAAAAAGAATCTAAATGAAAGGAGGTGTACAACCTTATCTACAAGAGTAATGGTATTTTTTCTGGATGGCATAGAAGTTTCAACATCATAAAAAACTCCAATATTCAAATCACATACAATAAAAATTTCATTTAAATTAATCAGCGTTACATGTTTGTATGTCTGTTCATATTCATGACTATAAAGAAGAATTTTTTCATTTTTATTTAATCGATATAGATAGTAGTTCTTCTGAATTGTAAGAAAAAGTGAATCATTTATCCATAAAAATGATGTTATATATTCTGCAAATGCAATTTCTTTTCCCATTTTATATTTTCCATTTTCTAAATAATAAAATAAAATTTTTTTTTTTTTCATACTGTACACTAATAAATCAGATTTATTTTTCTCATTCATCGTGCATATATTAGCATCTTTACATATTAAACTTAAATTCTCCAGTAAATAATTCTTACAACAATATACTCCATCATTTACTTGAACTATCATTAAGGATTCATTCTCTAACAAAATTATTTTTTCCACTTTTTGATTCTTCTTCACTGTGTACTCCTCCACCTTTCTTATTTCCAAATTCACCTCATTACTACTGACACGCCCTCTTTCACTACCAATGCCAATGCCACCTACTTCTTTCCCTTCTTTACCAATATGATATTTTAATACTCGTCCATCTGTAGTACCAAAATATAATTCATTGTTCAGTGCACATGCATAATTCACATCTTCGTTCAGTTCTACCTCCAAGTGATCCTCCCTAAAAAGATCCATTTTACGCAAGTAGTGATATGACTAATTTTCTCTTCTCCACAATTCGAGGGGAAGGGAACAACTGAACGAGTGAACACATGAGAGAAGGGAACGTGGGAAGAATGTCGCTTAAGCCAACCATTCACGTGGCAACGAAAAAAAAATTAACAGCCTAGAAGCAGCAAAGCTGGAAAGCTGGAAAGCTGGAAAGCGGTAAAATGATAATACAAAAAAATAAAATAAAATAATAAAAAAAAAAAAAAAAAATGGCTAAAATAAAAGAAAAGAAAAAAAAAAAAAATGGCTAAAAAAAACGGGGAAAAAAAAAAAAAATCTAAATATTAGGGTGCAAAAAAAATGTATTCTCATATTCATGCTTTCGAAATGTCAAGAGAGGAAAACCCCACAACGATATGTTCCAAAAATTGCGAATAAAAATTGAGAGGATCTCCAAGAATGTGAAGAACAAATTTTAAGTAAAAAAAAAAAAAAAAAAAAAAAATATACAGGAACTTGTAAAATGATATTTTATTTTTTTTTTTTTTATTATTTTTTAAAAACTCCACCCCAGGTGATAGATGCCTTTCAAAATTTCTACACGATCCGTGCCGAGGAAGAAGCGTGGAGACGTGGACATCAAAGGTAGCATCGGCACTGAATTGGAACTGAATCGGCACTGAATCGGCACTGAATTGACACTGCATGGGTGCAGAGTCATGGCCATTCCCGTCTAGTCCTCCTGTGTATAGGTCGAATTAAACATATTGCACATTCATATATCAGCCATTTGAGAACAATATATAAAAACCGAGGGGGAAAGAATAAAATGGCACCCAAGATTCTACAGTTTATTTTGCTTTACACAAAAAATTTCAAAGTAAAATTATAATTTCAAAAAAGGTATAATTGGGAAGAGAGTCATGCACATTGCAACACACAAAAGAATAGAGACGCAAAAATAATGTAACGGGTATGCCATACCTATATCTCCACCACCATACATACGTACATACACACACACACACACACACACACACACCAACATAACCCTAATTTGACATCATCTGCTTGTTTTATTTTTTTCAGATGGTGATAAATGCACCCCTTTATTATTTTCTTATTCGTTTGTAGTGAAAGTTCTCGTGGATTCACATCGAATGGTAACGAGTTATGCAACCTCACAAGGGGTCCCACATATATATATACACACATACATATGTATAAATATATATATATATATATATATATATATATATATATATATATATATATGCATATGTAGCCCCATTTGTGTATACATTTCCACATAGAGATAAAGTAGACAAACAGCACGTATACAACTACGTGTGCATGAAATCTTACTAAACTGCAATTCATATCCATTTACATTTTACAATTTTTTCATTGTTTTTTTTTTTTCGTAGACATGACATGGCACATCACAATTCGAAATAGACTATGTGTTGAGGTAACTTCAACAAAATTGTGTGCTGTATCTGCCTCTAGTTATTTCTTCTCCCTCGTTTTGCTACTCCTTTTGTTTATTCTTTTTTTTTTTTTTTTTTTTTTTATGTTTAATTTGTTGTTAATTATTCTTAGCTATTTTTAACCATTTTTAGTTACTTTTAATGATTAACTATTTTTTTACCATTTTTTGCAATTTTTAAAACAACTTTTTGCAATTTTTAAAACAACTTTTTGCAATTTTTAAAACAACTTTTTGCAATTTTTGGTTTTTTTTTTTTTTTTTTACTTTTCCACATTTGCAATAAATATAACTTTCTTCTCGTTCATTCAACATAAAGCAACCTTTTTCATTTTTTATATACCCTACACTTTTGAAAAGAGGAAAAAAAAAAAAAAGAAAAAAAAAATGAAGAGTCGTAATTCTCAGCACAAATGCAACCGCAAGAATAAATAAATGAATAAATAAAATGAAAAAATAAAATGAAAAAATTGCAAACTAGGGCGAGCATCAAATGAGCCATAAATCCCATCACAGTTGGTATATTGTGGCACCCTAAGTATGCACGGGGATACAGCATGTAGGAACAAACATCCCGTTGCTGCTATATGTTTGTATGTATATGTATATGTATGCATATATAATATGTTTACATGGTTATAACTTTGCACGTGTTTGTACATACGTGTAGCTCTTTTTCAAACTATATGCATATGCTGCCGGGCACTTGGGAGAGGTGCAAAATAAAAAAAAAAAAAAGGGCAAGTGAAAGAAAAAGATGTCGAGATAACTCAGATGACATTTACATCCCGTTTTGTTACGCGGCAAAAAAGGAGTAAAATAAAACATTTGCTTGAATTTACCATCATGTTTAATATATATTAGGTATATGTATGTAGGTATGAAGTACATATGCCTGTATCGATTTATATAAATATATATATAAATATATATATAAATATATATATATATATATATATATATATATATATATATGTATATATATTAACACCAACTGGGACACACAAAAAGGGGAACAAAATTTACGTGAATATTTATATGCTGTGCGTCACCATCACAAGGCAACGCCGCATGTATGTATTTATGTATTTATTTATATATAGGTATTTATTTATGTATTTATTTATGTATAATTTATATATAGGTATTTATTTATGTATTTATTTATGTATTTATTTATGTATTGGTGGATGGTATGCATCTGCGACAACATTGAAGTGCCACATATACAATGAATATATAACTTAAAATTGCGACACTCGAGATCAACAATTGTGGAAGAATTTTTTCCCCTCTCCCCACCCTCTATCCTAACTACATTGTTCTTCATAATTCTTATTTTTCCAAAAAAAAAAAAAAAAAAAAAAAAAAAAAAAAAATGAAGTTCTCCCCCAATATCAAAGAAAAAAAATTGTATGTCATCATATCCACATCGGATTTGTTATATGTATAAGTATATAGCAAAGTGTCAGATTTGAAAATTTTCACCTATTCACATTTTCACCATTTCACAGTTTTTTTTTTTTTTTTTTCCCCTTAGAGTTTGTTTTAAATAAAATCAACTCGCTTTTTTTTTTTTTTTTTCCTCTTTTTTTTTTTTTTTTTATTTCATTCGACAACATAAAAAAAAAGAGGAAAAGCAAAGAAGCAAAAAGTAATAAAGCAAGGCATAATAGAAAAGGAGCAAATCACAAAGGCTGGCACAAAAATATTACACAAAGTAACCTCGTCGAATTGCAATTTTTCTTAATTTTACCAATTTGCCTTATTATGTACGACAAAAAGGGTAAAGAAATGCCCTACTTGCCTATGATCATATATATATATATAAACCTACATGTACCTATCTACATTTATACATATGTTTATATGAATATACATTTATACACGCTTATGAATGCGTATACTTATACATTTATATCGACATATACACATACATACGTAGGTATATATCTATTGCACTGTTTCATACCCTCTGCACATGCATTTACATACATCCTGTATAAGTATGAGGCTTTTCACAACCCCCGTTACAAAAAAGTAAAGTGTGAGTCAATCATCTCTTTAATTTTATTTTTTTCTCCATTTTGTTTTATTCTTTCACTTCTTCAATATCTTTTCATTTTTACATTTTTCATATCCATTTATATGTACATTTTGTGAAAGGTCCCCAAAAAAAAAAAAAAAAAAAAAATTAAAAAAAAGGAGAATAAAAAAAAAAAAAAAAAAAAAAAACAAAGCATGAGAAAGGAGAAAAGATACATGAAGTAATGGAATGTATGACTAAGTAAGTTAATCGTTCACACGCAAAGATATAGAGATAGAGAGAGAAGGGATGGCCACCGTTGTGTTACTCGCGCGTGAAAAAAAGTACTGTACATGCGTATACTTTTATATGAGCACTGCTATATATATATTTATATATATATGTATATATATGTATATACCTACCTGAACACCTACTATCCCCTAAGAACCCTACACCATCTTGAAATTAATTGTGCTATTCTAGAGAAATACGCGTAGATTTTGCAATCAACTTATACACCATATTTGCATATAACTTCCACCAGCACTCGCACTTATCCACGTATAAACGAGACGAAGAAAGAGAAAAGAGCTCTAGAAGATATAGAAGCGTTTATGCATGCACGTGTGTACATATATATGTAGATAGGAAGAGAGATGTGCTAAAATTAATCATCCCTGAGGGAGTATAGGGATTCGAACATGAACAGTAGATATACATATATATATATATATATATATATATATATATATATATATATATATATATATATACATGTATATATCGCACCTCTTTGTGTATGTAAAAAACGAATAGAAAGAAAAGAAAAGGCACATGACTCTGCGCCCAGTAAATTGAAGCTATATATATATATATATATATGTACCTGCTGAGACATACAAATTGCAATTATTTATTTTTAAGAAATAGTTGTTTTTATTTTTAAAGATCACGTTGCTCACCAATTATATATGGGAGGGGTGGGTACACGTGATGGCACGACATAAATGATTCTATTGGGATTGGTTAAGTGTTTATAGAATTTTTTTTTTTTTTATTTTCCCACCATTTCTGCCATTTTGAAGTTTATCTACATTTTTCATCTGAACATTTGTACCTGCGTGTTACCTCTAAGTCGATTCAAAGTGCAAGCATAAACGTACCACACACACACAGGTCGTGGCTTTCAATCGTCGTGGATTCATCATTTCACAGTTTTGAAGCTGTAAAAGTGAAAAGTTATATTGACAATCCGCGAACCAACTATCCCGTTTATGAACACGTGGCAAAAATGAGCTACAGAAGTTCTGATATGAAACAACAAAATAAAAATAAATATAAGTTTCCCTTGTTCTTCTACAAAAATAAATATTCAAGTGCTAAGCAAAGTGCTGATCAAGGAATCAATCAGATAAATAATACTCCAGATGATTACTCCAACCAACACACAGGTGATAAGGTTTCAACAGTTTTTCAAAACAATATAAATAAAAATAATTCATCCACTTACAATAGCAATTCGAACATGCACTACAAGAGAAGAAGAAACTTTAGTGGGGTTGGAAGTGGCGTGGCAAACGAAAGGGAAAATGGAAAAGAAAACGGAAAAGAAAATGGAAAAGAAAACGGAAAAGAAAACGGAAAAGAAAATGGAAAAGAAAACGGAAAAGAAAACGGAAAAGAAAACGGAAAAGAAAACGGAAAAGAAAATGGAAAGAATAGATCCAATATGACTAGTTATAATGACAGTATGTACCATTTTGAAAAAGAGAAAAGTGTGAATGCAGAAATATCTGAAACAGGAGGAGATATCCATAACTCATATCGTGTGGAAAATGGAGATAGAAATAACAGGAGCGATAGTGTTCATAATGCAATCAGAAGTGGAATTAAAAGTACAAACATCAACAAAAACCCGAGGAATGCAAATAGAAACGCAGGAAATGTGAATAAAAATGCAGGAAGTGTGAACAACATGAGTTGGAACACGAACAACAGTGGTGGAAACACGAACAACAGTGGTGGAAACACGAACAACAGTGGTGGAAACACAAACAACAGTGGTAGGAATCTGAAAGGGAGTGTAAGTGGCTACAATCATGGGAAATTTAACAGCAGTAAAAATTCATATAACTTTCACGCAAAAAAAGAGGGAAAACAGAATTATGAGAATTATTTAAGTGGTATGCAAGACGGCGCAAACGGTGCAAACGGTGCAAGCGGGGCAAACGGGGCAGGCGGAACAAACAGCGCACACGGATCAAATGCCACCAATCATAATAACACCATGAATCACAGAAATAAGAATTACAAGAATTACAATTTAGAAAATAATAGAGATAATTACCTAAATGTGAGCAATCCAAAAAATATGAATCGATATTATGATGGTGATGATAGTGCACCCTACGTGAACATTTCAGAACAGAAGAAGATTAATTATTTCACCACTTCTGGAAATAATAACAGAAGTAGTGGTGGTACCTACCATCAAGGGGGCCGGGGTCCCAATACAAACACACACAATAATGCTGCTGATCATGTGAATGTACAGAACAACAACCAGATGCGGAGATTTGACAACAACAATTCCATTGATCACATGAAAAGAGAAGATGTAGAATCAAAGAAAAGTGCATTACAAAATACGACAATTTTGAATAACGAAAAAAATAATACTGTTCTAAATATTATGAATGGAGGGAAAAGTAATGGAGAACTGGAAAAGGTAAAAACTAGGTATGCAAAGAAAGAACATGTATATGAGGAAGAGGTAGAGAGGGGAGAAGAAGAAGAAGAAGAAGAATATGGAGAAGACGGTGGTGATGACTATGATGATGATGAAGAAGAAGAGGAATGCTGCTATGAGGAAGTATCACGACAACATAACGAACAGGAGCAGCAGCAGCAGCAGCAGGAGGAGGGAGAGAAGAGAAAGAAGAAGATTAATGATGTAAATAGTTCGTATATGAAAAATTCACAAACGGTTGCTGGTGGAAGAACAAGTAACTATAGTGACAGCTGCAACAGAAGTAGAAGGGAGATCGATACGACGAAGAATGAGGCACAAATTTTTAAACACACACTCAGTGATGATGTGAATGTTCCCGCTGGTGGAAGAGAGGAACGAACAAAAGAATTGGTAACCAGAAGGAATAGACAAAATGACGATTATGATTATGATGATGATTATGATGAAAATTATGATGAAGATTATGATGAAGATTATGATGGAGGTTATGATAACAGTGGCAAAAATGTCATTTATGACGATGGCAAAGTTAATGATGATGGCTGTGATCACATAAAATCAAGGGAGGAAAACAACCCTACAAGCAGCAGCGTGAATAATAAAAATTTAAACACATGCAATGGAAGCGCTTATAACATATCATACATGTTTATATATCAGTATTACTATGTGTTACATACAAAGAAGGAGATGATGCACAATTTTTATGCTGAGAATGCCATATTGATGGTAAGTTTTAATTATCAAAATTGGAAAAACAAGAACAGGAGTGATGACAATAATGGTGGCAATGATAACAGACGTGGAATTGGAGAGAAGACTACTCCATGTGAGATGGATACACGGTGCGAGCCGACTAACCAAATTGGAGATGCTGGGAATAATGCCAAGTTGTCTAGAGCAATGGGTTCTTCGAACCTTGAGGAAAGCACAGATGAAGAACAAAACATGGAGGCAGATAGATTTTTTAATCTTGGTCAAATTAATATTGAGGGCTGTGAACGAAGCATTAACATGATAAAAATGAAAAATAGAGAAATGATTGCAGAATATTATCACCAATTAGAAGTAAAGGAATGCACAGTTCATATAAATTCAATCGAAGTTGTAAATTTGCATGATGAAATATATATGTATATATATGGAAAAATAAAAAAAAGCAAAACTACTAATGTGTATTATTATTTTGTGCAGAATATACATCTTCACAAATACACAATGTATCAGTATTATGTAGATGTCGATTTTATACACTACTACTATCACCACATCATAGACTCAGATACAGATGCAATGATGAATCAAGAAAGTGAAAAAAAAAAAAAAATAAATATCAACGAGAACATTTCAGATTTGAAAAGAAAAGATAATATTATAAAGAAGCAGAAAAAAAGTAAGAAAATAAATACAAATCTCAATCCTACCATTGTAGACAAAACGGAATGTGTTGTCAATGTTAAAGCCCCATATGTTGCAACCTCTAGAAATGGTTCCTACTCCAAGGAGCATGTTCCAGTTCTAGATGGAAAAAATGGAATGTATAACCAAATGGCTAGTGAACAAAATAAAGAAACAGAGAAAAAAACAGAACATGTTACTACTTCCTCAAGGGAGGGTGGGGAAAAAAAAAAAAAAAACAGCACAGATGATGGCAAAGTCAAATTATTCACCACCAGTAAACAACATGAAGTGAATTACACAAGAGGAAGAAGATCATCCTACACTACCATAGCAAAGCAGTACTTGGTAAGAGATGAGGAAACGGGGTGTGCCAATTTGCCTCTGTATGACAATGCAGAAGTGGAAGGGGAGGAAGATTTAGAAGTATATGAAGAAGAAGACATTGAAGCATTCGAAGATGTTGAAGCGAACGAAGATGCTGAAGCGTATGAAGAAGAAGAAGAGGATATCGAGGTGTATGAAGAAGATGTAGAGGAAGAGACAGAAGCAGATGTGGAAATGGCAAAATTAAATAGAGAAAGAGAACGAAGAGTAAAAAAAGGTGATAAAAAATTCACGTATCTGAAAAGTGATGAAATGAGCTTACTGAAAAGAAAAGATGAAAATTATAAATTGGAAAAGAAGGAGATTAAGAATCACGTATTGCCATCTGTAGAAAATGGTACTATGAAAAAATGCGAGAAAGGAAAAAATGAAAATGAAGAAAATACAACAAATGGTACTAGTAGTAATACTTTGACAAAGGGCATAGGAAAAGGTGTTAATCCAAAGAACGTGATAAACAGCAAATCATTGAACACCATATATCCAGATTACAATGATGCAGATGGAAGTAGAGGAGATAAGCTTAAAGAAAAGACACTTGTCACTCAAGCTGGAAGTGCTATTAATAACGCTGGTGTAACTTCTTCTGTGATGAACTCATGTAATAACGTGAATAATTCTGAAAAAAATAGCAGCGTGAAGGCAATCGAGGAAAAGACAAAACATGAAAAGGAGGGAAATATGACAATGCCAAGGGCGAATTCTATTAAAAATGGAGCAGTAGAACCCGAGAAATTTTCCCATGGAAAGAAAGAAACTTTAACGAAATCATTCTCAGTGACAGATTCCAAAACAGAAAAAAAAAATAAAAACGATAAGGCGTGGAATGTCGAAAGTGAAGGAGGAAAATGTCCACAAATGGAAACAATTTTAAAAGAAGAAAAAAATATGAATGAAAATGCAAAGAAAAAGAAAAAAGAAAAAAGTACCAAGGTGGATCCAAATAGCTGGGTTTTTAGAGTTATGAAAAATAATCAAAATGAAAGTACAAAAGATAAGTTAAATAAAAATGGTAGCACCAAGAAATTTGAAGAATCGATGGGAAAAAGAAAGGAGAAATCATCTGGTCAGCACAAACATAATGAGGTGGCCTCCAAATATGGTGAAAGAACGAAGCAAGGAGAAAAGACAAAACAGAGCCGAGAAGAAGAAGTAGAAGAAGACGAAGAAGAAAATGAAGATGATGCCCATTTAGAAGACGAAGAAGAAATCAATGTGAATGATAAAAAAATCATTATTCATAATATACACAAAAGCATGGATAAAAAAAAAATTAACGATTGCATAATTGACCGACTTAAGAATTACAATGACGGGCATGCAGTACAGATAGATATATATCAAAGATCATTTAAAAAAAATTTCCCCAATTCTTTTAGTTATGCGAATTATGAAAAGGCAAAAACATCTGAGTACTATTCATATGCCATTGCTGAATTGGACTGTCGTCAGAGCCAACAACTTTTGTTAGATCTAGGTTTGTATTGTAATGGTATAAAATTGAATATTGAAAATTTTAAGGAAAAAAGAAAGATAATTGATATATCTTCTAAGAGGTATAACAAAAAATTTACACCCTTTGGCAATGCCACTCTTGACATTCCAAAATCCAAGGAAGACCGATTTAGAAATTCCTTTTTTCGAGGACCCACAACAACGGTCACTGCTTTCGGTGCGGCTCAGTTTAGAAGCAAAAGGAACAACATTTTTGTCAAATGAGAGAAGAAAGGAAGGGGAGGGGGGAGGAACCCATATGTGTTGCGAATAATTTGCAAATAGAATATATCTAGTAAGACAGCCGATAGAAATTATTATTAAAAGTAAGTATGCATGCCGTTTAACATGTTTTCCCCGTTTTACTTCCCTATCCATTTTACCTCTTTTTCAAAAATGTGAAAAAAAGTAGTAATTAATTAGAAAAGCCAAGAACAACAAGGACGACAAGGAAGACAAGGACGAGAAGGACGACAAGGACGAGAAAAACGACAAGGACGAGAAAAACGACAAGGACGAGAAGGACGAGGACGAGAAAAACGACAAGGACGAGAAGGACGAGGACGAGAAAAACGAGAAGCAAAATGGCTGAGCTTTTTTTATTTTTCTTTTAAATTAAATATTAAGAATTTTATGATTAAACAAATATTCTTTCCATATTGATCTTTTTCCCGTCTGTGCAGGAAAAAGGTGTTCGTTCACACATGCATGTAAATAATGTGTGCTATAAAATGTAAATGGGGTACATATACGATACACCACACGTATATGTATACGTATATATGATATGTGCATATGTATGTTCGTATGTATGTTTCTTATGCATGTTTCTTATGCATGTCTTATGCATGTTTCTTATGCATGTTTCTTATGCATGTTTCTTATGCATGTTTCTTATGCATGTTTCTTATGCATGTTTCTTATGCATATTTTGTGTTCTTTCGTGTACATATCATTTTGCTGGACAAACAATTTTAGCGGCTTTTTTTTTTTTTTTTTTTTTTCCATCTCTTCTTTAATTATGAATAAAACATTAAAAAAAAAAAAAAAAGAACAAAAGAAAAAATTGGTAAAACTGAAAAGATTAAACAAATGAATGGTGGGGAGTACGCAGTGGAGGAGGCGGGGGCTCTTCGTGATTTCGGTCATATGAATGAGAAACAACAACAAAAAAAAAAAAAAAAAAAAAAAAAAAAAAGCCAAACAAAAAACAAAGCAGAAAAACGAAACAACAATGTAACGTTAGCAAAGTCTGCACTAAAATGGCAAAATGCTTGCATTCCGCTGAACAGCAAAAGATTTTTTTTTTTTTTTTTGTGTGTGTGTGTGTGTACTGTATTTATGTATGATGCTTTGTACGTTCATAAAAATTTAATCACGAGGAGATTGCATATATGGGTACACGCACGTAGGAAATCCTAGCTGTTACAATGAAAAAAATAAAATAATGGACACACACATTTCGACATGATATGAGAAATGCGAAAAAAAACAAAAAAAAACAGTATATATATATATATATATATATATATATATATATATATATCAACTCTTCTCAGTTGTAAGTGCGAACGGTGATATATAAATATGGTACATTCAATGACACGTTTCAATGGGTTACTTATTCCACTTGAGACTTGATCCATGGGTGATTGAGAGCTGGAAGAGAGTCGAGGGATACGGGGGCAGACGTAATTTTAGTTATTCTAGATTGTTACAATGTTTTGTTAGCATGACTTTCTGGATTATTTCATTATATTTGATTATTTATTTTATTTTCTCTCTCTTTTTATATGCACGAAATAATGTGTAAACAACTCCTTATACACACGAATAAGCTACATTTTTAAAAAAAATAAATTTATATTTTAGCACTCACTCACTAACCTTGACACGCCGTAAGTCTTTTCTTTTCATTTCTCTCCAACAGTTTTTTTAAAAAATCCAAGGCCTTCAAAAAAGTGGAAAACAAAAATGGAAAAGCTGAGTGCAAGATTATTTTCATACGTATGAAATATGAACACCGTAAATTGACAACATCGAAAAAAATATGTCACAGTGAAACCCCTATGTTGAAAAGGGGCCTGGCTCATGTTGCAATTCGGGCAGCCATCAGCACACAACTAGAAAACTACAAAACTACACAACTACAAATGCACATGCCCACAAACAGGGATTTCAATCCATCTGGCCTTGCAGATGAAAAAGACTTCAATTGAAACAGTCAACAAATCAGTTATTTGGTCTTTTTTTTTTTTTTTTTTTTTTTCTGTTTCTTTTTTTCCCTCTCTACATAATAACCTCGACGGAAAGGGAGGAAAATTCTTTGCCCTTCCAATTTATATTTTTGTTCAGAATTTCATCCTTTGTAATGAGAGAAAAAAAAAAAAGAAAAAAAAAGGAGATATAAGGATATGTGGAATTTGAAATACCGTTATACATTTTAACCTTCATCCATTATTGTGCTCATGTGTTAATTTCTGTTGTCAATATTTATATTTTCACATTTTGGCTACTTTTTTCCTCTTTACACACTTTAGCTATATTTTTTTTTTTTTTTTTTTTTTTTTTGTTACCACAACTTTTGGTGTGTTTTTTCCCTCAAATGGATATTTTCCTGTTAACATAAAAAAAACCATGACTCCCAGAGCCCATATATCTGATGATATTGTGTACTTTTTTCTATATAAGAAGGAAAAAAGGAAGAATAAAAATTTTGAAATGTATAGTCGAGTGAGTACATACATACAGAAGAATCTGCACGTGCATAATATTTCGTATTATTGTATCTATTGTGTGCACTTTTTTCATTTTTTACCTGATCAGTTCAGGCGAAATGTAATGGGGAGAACCACACAATTCGGTCAAGTATTCACAGTTCATCTGTAAGGGGGAAAAAAAAAAAAAGGTGAGAAGAGTTGGGTATTTTTTTTTTTTTTTTTTTTTAAATGTTATAATTATTTAACAACCGACGTTCTTATTTATGTTCACACGGATGCTTTAACTTTTTGTGTCCTCACTCGATTGCAACCACTTACTCACCTTTTTGGCCATTCCGAAATCTATCAATTTAATACTTTTCGTGTTTTTATTTTTAAAGAGGAAATTTTCGGCCTGCAAATGTGTAGTGGTGGGATGACGGAGTGATATACATAATATTTCGTGAATTGTGTTCATTTTGTCGTTTTGTTGTTCTGCTGTTCTGCTGTTCTGCTGTTCTGTTTTTTCTTTTTCTCTATCTCTTTTTCTTCCTTTTTCTTTCGAATTAATCCATAGGTGAGAAAAAAAAAAAAAAAAAAGTACCACAAGATAAATGCAACTCAATCGTTGTCTTCATCATCTGATTCATCCTTTTCTCCTCACTCTCCTTTGTCTTACCTTTATGTCTCGATGAATTATGTTCTTTGAATGTAAATATTCCAACGCACAGCAAATCTGGACGGAGATGGGCGTAAAGTCAAGTGGAAGTTGAGTAAGGTGAAAATGTAAAATTAAAAGAAAAAGGAGGAAATATAGGAAATATGGGAAAAATGCACATGGAAGATTATTCAAAAATAAATGAGTAAGATGGAAATACAACATTTGCGATGGGATGAAAGTATATATATATATATGTGTGTGTGTGTGCTTATTTGTGCTATTTTATTTTCTTGTTTGTTTGGTTTCTACATAGAAGAGGGAAATTATAAAAATATAAAAAAGCATGTGGAAAAAAAGTACTGACGGTGCTACCTGTCTAACAATATAAGCTGATTCACTTTCCAAAAGACATTTATTTTTTATAACTTTGTAAAATAACTCCCCTCCATCACATTTCTCCAATATTATATAAAATTTATTTTTATCTTCAAAGAAATCCTTAAATTTAATTATATTTTCATGGCTCATCACTGATAAGTATTTTATTTCATTCTTTACCATTTTTTCAAAACTTAAGTTTTTCTTGAGCTTTTTCTTTTTCTTTATTATCTTCACGGCGTACACTTCTTTCGTTTGCTTGTTGATGCATTCTCGTACGATCCTGGAGATGGGGAATTTGATAAAGATGGACAATGTATCTATCGACAATCTCTTAAGCACATACATAGATACATACAAATGTATGCTGCTGTGTGCATTGGTGTGTGAATTAAAGTGCTAATTGTTATGTAGATCGATGGGGTAAAACTTCACATGCACAAATATGTAATATAATAAGTACACATAATATACAATCACATATATAATTATATATACCCAAATGATCCACAGCCCAAAACTTTTCCAAACTTATACTCGCTCTTTTTCTTTTCTGCATTGTTGTAATGTTTTAGCAGCTTATTTATAGCATTCCCCATTGTTCTTCATAATACATGTCAATGAGCCTTTTCAAATTCACAGGTAAAAAAAAAAAAAAAAAAAAAAAAAAAAAAGCCACTCACATGTATATATATGCATATATGTTCGTATTATATATATGTTGTCATAGGCACTTTTAGAACAACAGAACGTGTTTCTATCCCTTAAAATAATTCTATTCTTCGTGTTCATTAGGAATTTAAAAAATTTGAAATGACAAAAAAAAAAAAAAAAAAAAAAAAAATCATTATCCATAAGAATACATGGTTTCCTTTCTCGTTTTTTTATATAAAACAACTTAGTTTTTTTTTCGAGAAGATGTTTTGCAGCTTAGTTTTTTAGTGAGAGAATGCACCGTGCTGATGATGTTGCGAACAGTTGGAAACAGGAATGGAAAATGATAATATGGAGGTGTGACGAAAAGACTGCTACTTGAGGTGGAGACGACAAGCACATAAACCCGATGTGGTATCGAGAAAAGTGGTTCCACATAAATTTGACCACAAAGGGTTTGCGATAAAGGGTAGGTATATGTATATGTGCATACTTGTATGTATGGATGGATGTACATATATAAGCTCATATATGCATGTGTATATATACGTATCATCAATAATCATTCAATAGCATTTGGAAACTTTTTAAAAAAAAAAAAAAAAAAAAAAACTCTTGGGCACACACGCGTCAACAATCATGTTACATGTGCATGTGAAGTGTTGTGGGTGTAGAATTTCCACTCTCTTACGCTTAAATGTTACGTTAGAAAAAAAAAAATAAAACAAAATGAAGCGAAGTGAAACAAAATTAGGTGACGTGAAACAAAATAAAATTATCTAAACTGCGTTCACGTGTGGAGGAAGTAGTCTGAACTGTTCTACCATCACTTGACGTCTTGGAATAAAATACACTTAACAGTGGAACTACACTGACAAGACGTGTTCTCAAATGTATATTTTATGTTTGCTCTTCTAAGTGAATTTTTTTTTTTTTTTTTTTTTTTTTTATCTCTGTATACATGTGCTTATCCACAAGGATAGTTTGTATATAACCTCTCTATTTTGCATACATGCATATTGATCAAGTATGTGTATATATATATATATATATATATATATATATATATATATATATATATATATATATATATATATATATATATTTGTCGTATATATAAATGTTCTTGTGCAAAAAAATGTAACTCTTTAATGGATGAGACAAATCCAGGGATGTCATATTCGAGTTGTGTGCACTCATTACATGATCATGTATATTCGTATGAACGTTCATACATTTATGTAAAATATTATGTACAATATTCTATATTTATGTATTTTTTTTTTATTTTTTTTATTTTTTTTCCAAATATGGATGTACATGCTCAATATAGCTGGCACTCTACATCACTACACAGCATTCACATTTGAAAAACAAAGGAACAAGAAAAAGAATATAGTACCCTTGTAATTTACAGAATGGGGGAAAGAAAAGAAAAAATTCATACATGGAAAAGTAAGGAGATAGGTTGGTAGGTTGTGGAATATAAGTTCTTTTTTGAAGGCATAAATTGTGGTATAAGAAAATAAACTAGCGGAATCGTAAAAAAAAAAAAAAAAAAAAAAAACAGTTGTGTTTAAAAGAAATCGCAAAATAGGTCATTCTTATATTTATATCCTCTACCTATCCCTTTCTATACATATATATATGTTTATATTTTTTTTTTTGGGGTTTGATGCATTTATCTCCCACTTTGCAACTGTAACATAAACTTGCACCACATCACAAATTGGAGCTCTTATAGAATACACGCAACATACCTAATTATAGCACCACGTATGACAAGGAACAATAAAAAAAAAAAAAATAATAAATATATATATCCAACACTTGTATTATGGAAGGAATTCTACTTCTTCCCACCCTGATATATATATATATATATATATACATAAGAACACATGAAAGAGGTTATTATACGAATATTATATATATGCATACATTAGTTACCCATCACAGGCAGCGCAAAACAAAGTTGAAACATTTTGTAGAATGAATTTTTCAATTTTTCAATTTTTCAATTTTTCAATTTAAAAAAAAAAAAAAAAAATATTTCGAATTACACACAAGCATGAATAAGCATAAAGATATACTCACTCTTCAAAAATTTTTTAAGCAGTCATATTTTATATATGTAGACCTCGTTTAAAAAGAATTTTTTTTTGATTTTTTTTATATCCCCTTTTATCATTTTAGAGAGAGGATGAGGAGGAAGCAAAGCAAAAACTGGGGGAGAGTGAATTTCATCCCATTCCTCTCCTGTCTGTTATCTTGCGTGTCTCGTGGCGTCTGCCACATTTGTATGGCTGCACAAATATGGCTGCAAAAAAATGACTGCACAAATATGACTGCAAAAAAATGACTGCACAAGTATGGCTGCATATATTTATTTATATATGCAATATCCAAAGCGATAAGAAAAAGAAGCGTGATGCTCAATAGAACGTGCCCAAACACGTGTGAATGAACCAGTAGAATAATACACATCTTCCTAGAGTTTGTGTCATATCACACAATGAGATAAATGAATCCATAGAACGGTAAACGAACTTTCTAATGATCCCCTAGTTCTTTCAACTCTCATTTTAAAGTAACAGTTACACATAAAAAAAAAAAAATAAATAAATAAGTAAAATAAAAATAAAACACATCCCATGAATACATAGATTTTTGCGTACAACTGTTGGATAAATTAAAAATAGTTTCAAGTTAAAACAGATAGAAAAAAAAAAAAAAAGAAAAAAAAAGAGAGATAGAACATAAAGCAGCAGGAGAGCTGCTAATGTTAACACATACAAATGCACAAAATGTCAAAAGACCTAGGAGATATGGTGTAGGTAGAAAAAAGAAAACATAAGATGTTTCATTAACATCCTTTCAACGTATCGACAAAAATTAAATAGTGCTTGTTTGTCACAATTTTTTATGACTATTTTAGACTCCTTTTTTGTCCCCTTTTTGTCACAAGTGTTTCTACATTTTTTTGAAACCACTTCTTTATGCAACTATGACTCCAAATCGATTATGCGATGTAAAGTTTGTTATTCCCTTTCTCTCTACTGCACATATATGGTCTATATATTTAAGCAAAAGAAAGAAAAAAAAAAAAAAAAAAAAACTACAATTTTTTCGAATAAAACGTGCACACACACAAAGTTTCTTCAAGGTATGACAATAATTCATTCCTTGTTACTTGTCGCATATGGATACTTAACCAGTTAAGTGAAAAAAAAAAAAAAAAAAAAAAAAGGAGGGGGTATAGATCTACACATGCATATTAAAAAAAATGGAAATTAAGGAAAACAATTCATTTATAATTTTCGAAAAAAAATGAAATGTTCTTGTTTTGTTTGTAGAGATCAATATTTGTTGAAAGCAAACCAGAAATACATGAAATTTTGTGGAATTTTTTTTTTTTTTTTTTATCAATGAAAACTGTGCAAACTGGTATGAAGGGAAGAAGTTACGTGTCAGAATTTTCTTCAAATACATTCTTCTTCTGAATCATATTCCAATTTATATACCTTGCTTGGAAAAATAAATATAAGAGCATTCACTACGTGTCATTCCACAAACATGTATACGATGGTATTATGCAGAGATCTAAACCTCAGAGAAGTAAATCCTCTCATTTTGCAAATCAATAGGTTAATCATGTAATCGTTTACCCAATTTCATCCATTTTGAGCCGCTCCAACTTTGCAGATATCCACACACCAGCACATCCATTTTTCTAACATTCACCATATAACTTGCGAAATTTAAAGAATATATCTTAATTTAATTTCACAAGGAAATAAAAGAAACACATTCAAGTTTGCCTTTTTAACGTGACAAGACAGAAATATAACTCATTTTTCTTTTTTTCACAAAGATGATAAGTCTTAATTTTCCGTTTGCACTTGTTCGCACATGGAGGAAAGGGAAATAATGGAAAGAGACGACGTAGAAATGGAAGCAACTGATAAAAGCATACCGAACGACATGTGTGACATTTCCATTTCTGCTTCTCTCTCCTTCAGATTTGCATAAGAAAGGTGGAAACGATTAGTGGGCATGACATTTGGACGTGTGCCCAGTCCCATAAAGTTATGGTACGTTAATTCGCCTGTCCATGTGCAGGTAAAAATGGTTGTAAGTTTTAGCATGCATAAATAAAAAAAAAAAAAAAAAAAAAAAAAAAAAAAAAAATTAGAACAATTTTAACTGGTATTCCTTCATAGGGGGAAAAAAAGAAGGAAAGAGAAATAGACAGAGGAAAATATAGAAACGACAACACGTTCTTGCGAGTATCACTCAAATTAGTCATTTGATCTACTTCATCTCTACAGATTTGTGTGCATTTCATTATTCTATATATTGCTAAGGTTGAGGATAGGAGGAGAAAAATAACTTCCTGAACGAGAATGTGCAGAAAAACCATCTAAGTCCTGAACATTCGAAATCACACAGGAGAATACAAGCACAACGAATATAGGCACTCCAAATACATGCACACCAAATACACACAAAAAAAAGGAAACATGGAGACAAGCTTTTTCATGCACCTGAATGGTGACAACAACTGCTTGGATCTAATTGAAAACTATGAAAAGAAAACAAAAAAAACAGAAAAAATAGCAGAAAAAATGACAGAAAAAACGACAGAAAAAACGGCAAAAAAAATGACAGAAAAAATGACAGAAAAAACGGCAAAAAAAATGACAGAAAAAAAAACAGAAAATTCCACTAATTTAGTCCTTTCAGAAGACCCCAAACAGATGAAAATTTCATTAAAGAACAGTGAAAAAACACCAACTGAGAAGAATCAACAAAACACACAAAAATTAAAAATAGTGAAAAAAAATTTCTTCATTTCAGAAAATGAAAAACTACACTTGCTTCAATCATTGGGAAGGAGTTGTTTTTCCAAAGATGTAGCTTTGGACAGTGTAAAAAAAAACAAAAATGTGTTTCGATACCACTCTTTTTGTATAAATGGTGGAATCGGAGTCATACCACAAAGTGCAAATATCTTTTCCTCTCACAGTGGAAATATTCCCTCTTTACACTCTCGAAATGACGATTGTGTAGGAAATATAGACAGCGAGGTTATTCGAAGGAATGATAAAATCAAAATGATGAGAGAAATGAATAGAACTAGCAAAGAGTGGTCAATGCCAAAGCAAAGGAATACAAAGCTAGTAAAGGATCATATCAAAGGAGTGCCAGGACTCAAGTGGGAAAATGGAAAAAGACAAAGCATAAAATTAGAAAAGCCTTCTCTAACGGTGACACAAAGTCATGCGGTAGAAAAAAAATTAGAGGAAGAAACTGAAAGGGGAGTGGACTCATCTCCTCCCATGAGTCCAAATGATATAAGAAGACAATGTCGTGGATACAGCAAATTTTACGAAAAAAATAATGGCACTCAATTTACACTCAGCAAATGTGACAAGTTAAAAAAATGCAAGAAAAATACGCTGCCTTCACATCATAATAGTACATTCTTATCAGTAAAGATGATAAATGAGAAAAAGAAGAAAAAAAAAAAAAGTAATTATTTCAATTATTATTCTGCTATAGATTTAAATCCGTCCTCTTTAATTCACAAAAAAAAAAGTGGGAGAAATTTGGCTTTTCCTGTGGTGGAAACTTCAGCAGAAAACGCTTCATCTGTAGACACTTATTTAGGGAAGAAAATAATTCACACTGTTGAGGCAGCTAAAAAGGAAAATATAAAAAAGACAATGGACACAAACAGAGAGGGAAAATCTTTTAGGAAATCGGATGCTGAGAAATCATCTGTAGTTACTCTAAAAAAGAATGCTGTTATGAGTGGAAATCTCAAGATTGTAAGTCCAAAGTGCAACTTGAAAGACAAGGGTAGAGAAGCGAGAAATTCAAAGATCCTTCGCAAATCTAGTCACAACATCTGCACTGGTGGTGGTGGTGGCAGTGGTAAGGAATCATTTCTGAAAAAAATTAAGCACAACTGCAAGATTCAGAGTAATAGGAGGAAAACATTTCTCATTCTGTCTGACGTAAAAAGACACACGAGTAAAATCCATGCTAGGAACGGAAATTCGCTTGTCAACTCTTTTGGAAATTCGTCAGGCAATTTGTCAGGCAATTCGTCAGGAAATTCGTCAGGAAATTCGTCAGGAAATTCCTCTAACAATTCGTCAGGAAATTCCTCTAACAATTCGTCAGGAAATTCCTCTGACAATTCTTCTGAAAATTCCTCTGACAATTCTTCTGAAAATTCTTTCGAAAATTCTCTCATATTGACCGTATCATCATCTTCGTCCAACATTATATCATCTGTCTCTACGTACAAAAATAAAAAAGGGAGAAAGCCCTGCATCGATCTTAAGAATGGACGAGATGTAAACAAAAGAAATCAAACACAAGGTACAAATCTACATTCTTCCACAGATGGAAAAGGTAAAGCAGAGAAGACAAATATGCATGTTATTCCGTTGGATGTGAGCTTAGAAAACAAACATTTGATAGATCCTGATGATTTGGTAAGTGGGGTGTGTCAACCGTGTGGAATGTCCGCCCTTAACGAAGGGATTCAAACTAGGGAGAGAATTATTACCTCTTTTGCAGAAATGGAAGAAGTGAAAAAAGTGGAAGAAGTGGAAGAAGTGGAAGAAGTGAAAAAAGTGGAAGAAGTGGAAGAAGTGGAAGAAGTGGAAGAAGTGGAAGAAGTGAAAAGAGAAAAGACACGGGAGGGTCCCTCTAAAATGAAGACGGAAATGGGGACTGTCCATCTAAATGGAGAGAGAGAATTGCAGCTCCAGATGCATAAACTAAGAAGCAAAAAAGTTGCATCCATGGTGAATAAAAAAAATTCAGACACGAATTCGAAGGTAAAAAAGGAAAAAGGGAACATAAACGAAATTAATGAAATGTTTTACATAATTAAGTATAAAAAAATTATGAACAGACTAAAGAAAAAAATTTTGAAAATAGTAAAGAAAATTACGGAAATGAAGAAAGCCAGACTAGTATCTAATCTATGTCCTCGTCGTAACAAATATTTTCTCCAGTTTGTTAAAAAGACAAAACGGGTGTTGGAAGAGAGGTTTGAAGAGAGGTTGGAAGGGTCCAAAATTGAAAAATTCATAGTTCTAGAACAGAGGAATGATAGGGGAGAAGGTGTAGTGAACGATGGGCAGGAGAAGCAAGACGAATCTTGTGCAAATGGGAACATTTGCGAAGCATTTCTCCAAAGCAAAGAAAATGAAATGCTACTGAAAAGGTACTTATCCAAGAAGAGATTTTTAATGAAACATGTAAACAGATATATTCTTCTGCACCAAAGGAAATATCAAAACGATTTTTTAAAGAAACGTACATTGAAAAAAAGGGAACGCATAAATTACATTCCAATTTTACAGAAAAGGGAAGAAGGAAATCACTTGACTGTCGAGAAAGAGTACAGTCAGGTGAAAAATGAATTTATTTCAAAAGGAAAAAATGAAAAGAAAAGAAGCGGTCAAGTGGATGTAATTAACATGAAAAAAAAAAAGATCAATACAATACCTCCCAAGACGTTCCTCAAATCTATGGAGATACGTCAAAATAATCTCACAACTGACAACACTACTCAGGAGGATGGGTATCAAGGTGCAAATACCTCACAGGGGTGTCATCTAGACACATCCCCATCTATTGTAAACAATTACAGACACGTATCAGGAAATAAAGACAGCTGTTTCTTAATGGACCAAGCAACATCACCCTGTTCGGGTGAAAAACATTGTGTAAAGATAAACATAAAAAAAAAAAAATCATCTAGCTTTACAAATATAGATAACGTAAAAATGATGAAACTAAATAATCACACATCTGAAGAGAGATTTTATCAAAATGGAAATTACAACTGGGATCTTGGAAAAGGACATCTTAATCACAATAACAATCCAAGTCATATAAAAACAAAGGATAGAAAAATAATAAATAGTTCTTCCATGCATTTGAGTATGACACAACCCATATTCATAAACCATTATGATTGTGTGAAAAAATACAATGACAAAATTAATGCTATAAAAATTTGCCGAAAATTTATCTGTTCTATGGATTATAATATGAAAGCCCCAAATAATTATGGCGTGGTCAAAATTGAAAAAGAAGAAAAAAGCAATTTTCAGAAAAACATGAAAACAAAAATTTTGAATAATTACACAACTATTCTTGCATTTATAAAGAAACAAATAAAAAGAGCAAATTGTATACTTAAGACAGGTTCTTCAATTCATACCAACTCACCAATGAAAAAAGAAAAGAAAAAAATAAAAAATACACAATATTACTATATGCACAATATGAAGAAACAATTGCAAAAACTGAGACACATGAAAATCGTGTCATTCATCCTTTCGTCCTTTTCTGACAATCGAAACATTGCACACACACCTATCTGCACTATGAACCCAAAGGGAAGAAGAAGTATTAACGTGTCTCATAAGAATGGTAAACATGTCCCACCACCACATATATATATATATATGCACCCTCATGAGGGGTGGGTGGAGATACACACAAACCATCTCTTTGCATCCAAATCGTAATTTTCATTTAGAGCTTCTGATGAGGATTCACCATCTGTTAGCGCTACACTGATGATTTATTTTGCTCACTTTGGATTTCAATTTTCCTCAATTTTACAGAAAAATTCCCAAATTGGAACTCAATTCTTCGAACTCCGGAACCGATGAGATACAGATTCTCACCGAATGTTTTCAGTAGACGCAGACGTGGGAAAGGTGTGAGACATGCAGCAAGATGATGAGGGAAAATTGTTGAATGGCTTTCTCACCTGTATACTACTTTCTGCTTCTTGGCGATGGAGTTGGTTAATAAACAGGGTTATTCTACAATTATGTCTTTTACAGCAACTGGGAAAGACATATAATTTTTTTTTTTTTCTTTTTTCACCAGAATAAGTGCATCCAAATTAAATGCATGCATACATACGTGTTTTTTTGTAATACAGCACTGTCTTAGTTTCCACCCTTAAGATGATTAAAATTTTTTTTTTTTTTTTTTTGCAGTTACTACTTTGCTGCTATTAATTTGCTGCTATTAATTTGCTGCTATTACTTTGCTGCCATTACTTTGCTGCCATTACTTTGCTTCCATTATTTTTCTGCCATTATTTTTCTGCCATTACTTTTCTGCCATTACTTTTCTGCCATTACTTTTTCGCATCGTGTGCGTGCCCTCGCGTAAGGAACAAGCCCCACGCGGAGAGACAGATCCCCTTTTGAAATGTCAAATGTTCGGTTTGGGCAAAATGGGGAATAAATCGTATGAACATGTACATAAAAAAGTTGCAAAGTTATGCACCGTCAGAAAAAAAAAAAAAAAAATCAAACCAAGCCAAGCCAAACAAAATAAGGCAATATATGCAAAATATGGAAAAAATTCTCGCTTCTTTTAGCTTAACCGGCTCTTTACACGCACGCGCTAAGACGGGCCAGGCGATCTGTGGCCACTCTCGTGCCAGCTGTAGTGAAAGTAATTTAACATTCTAACAAAATAAACACAAAACAAATCTAGCCACTCTTGAGAAATGATCTTTTCATTAATGGGTAAATTAATCATGTGAATAAAATTTTTAAGAACAGAAACTGTAAATAGCATAGCTAAGCATACGCAATATATGACAAACAAAAAAATAGAACTCTTCAACAAGTAAGTGTCAATGATGAGAAGTAAAATTACAAACAACGAGACTGACATTGGGTACATGAAATTGTTCCTTGTCCATCGGTACGATATTTTTGTGTTCACATATTTGTTCAGGTATTTTTTACTGCACTTATTCATCAACCATATTCTATATGCACTTTTCATGAGGACTCCTACAGTATGATGTCTTATTCCAAATCTTCTTCTCAATCCTATTAGTAGAAATTTATCTCTTCCATTTTTAAATATATTTTTCCCTTGTTTAATTGCTATAAGATCAATGACAGGAAAAAAATATGTACATATGTGAGAATCATAACCACTTCTTCTCACAAATGGAAGAAGATCACTTTGAGTACGTGTCACTTTTGAAACATTAAATGAATAGCTATTTCTTCCTAATATAGAAGAATCATTGAAATTATTCAAATGACTCTTTATTCCTTTTTTAAATTTATGTTCTTCGTTTAAAATTTTCAATTTCACTTTTTCCATGTTCTTATCATGCAGTGGAAAATTTTCATTTTTCACACAAATTTTTAATGTTTTCTTATTCCTTCTTCCTCTTGAATATCTTTTCACGTGCTTCTGAATTAGTTTGTGTTGTCTGTTCACCGTTCTCGCTTCAATGATATGTGCTAATTTTCCAGACTTATCCATGTTTGGCATGTTTCTTTTTACCCTGTTCCAAGTTGTATCACTCATGATGGTGTTATTGGAACTCATTTGGATTGATATGATACCTTTTCTTTTTTTCTTTTTTTTTTTATCTTTGGAACTTCTTTCTATTGATGTGATAATTCTTTCATATTTTCTATATGATACCATGATGATATTCTTTATTCCATACTTTATCACATTTTTCCATTCTCTTTTCTTATTCATACAATTACCCATAGCAATTTTTAACTCTCTTTTTAGTAGTAGAAAATATTTGCTAATGTAATTATTGCTCTGTTCATGCAAATATTTACCTGATCCACCCTGTTCATTCGGTTTGACTATTCTTCTCATTTTCTTTCTCTCCTTTTTGGATTCTGAATGTGCATTCCATGCATAATCCATATATTCCACTATTCCATAATTTGCATTAGATGCATCCCTTTTGCTTGTCAAATAACGAGGTGGTTCTTTTTTGTCTATATCTGGAAGCATCGCATGTCTTGTCACGTACATTATTCGGTTATTGGGATCCATATAAAATTTTGTAAGTCCTGCGTTAAGGAGGTTCACGTTATATGTGTTAATGAAAGGGTAACAATTTTTTCATTTTGCAAAAACGAATTGTGCAAGAGGGGGTGATGGTGGCGGTGGTTCGAAGTTAGAATCTCTTCACATTTTCGCATTTTCACATTTTCGCATTTTCACATTTTCGCATTTTCACATTTTCGCATTTTCACATTTTTGCCTTTTCACATTTTTGCCTTTTCAAATTCTCCAACTTCCGCGTCGGGAATAGGCTCTCACCTTCCTCATGTCCACGGCTAGCCAGAATTTCGGGTTCAGGACCTGACCTGTTCATGTAAATTTTACCCAATTTATCCATTTGATTCCATAGGAAAACGCTCTTGTGTTCACCAGAGGGAGATAAAATAGGAAACTCGCTTACTCTATGGGATGCATCCACTTTTATAAAATTGACATGTCTATAACAGTTTGTATCATTGGAGAAGTAATCATCAGTTGGATCCTTCTTCATTACATCTGTAGGAAGTATGCTATCTTTGAATTGATCCCATTCAGGGCATATTTTTTCATTACTCTTTTCAATTAGTTCAATTTCTTCTCGAAAAAAATGCCAGCTGAATGAGGAAATGAAGTTATCTTCGTTTTGTGTTATGTATTCTTCTCTTGGGTAGAGAAAACTTTGTATTTGCATTATTACATATGCAAGACGTGTGATGTATCTGTGAAGAAAATGCAAAACGAGGTATAAAAAAACGTTCGGAGTACTGATGAAACTTGCTGAATCATCATTTAAAATTAAATTTGAAAAACAGTTTGCGCATTTATAGACAAACCACACATCTAGAGTTGATTCATCACCACTGTGATAAGTTCTCACACTATGGTGCAAAATTTCTTCAGTTAAAATTTTTTTTTTCACGTGAATTATCACATCTCTGAATAGCCCATTCTGTTTCCCTCCCTCAATCTGGTGTACTCTTCTTTGCATCCTAGATGGTGGCATTTCCATTCTTGTGCCGGTTTCCATTCTTGTGTTAGTGTCCATTCTTGTGTCAGTTTCCATTCTTGTGCCGGTTTCCATTCTTGTGCCGGTTTCCATTCTTGTTTCATTTTCCATTCTTGTGTAAAAGCAAAAGTATACACTTCTCAACATTTGACTATCTTCTTTCATACCTCTTCTTCTCATAAGAAATCGATAACAAGATGAAAAGTTAATGGTATTCCAATAGACGAGTTGTATCCTTTCACTTATTTTCCACGTCTCGAATATAACTGATAGGATATCTATCTCAATAGGATCACATATTTCAAAATTGCTATTATAGATAAAATTCATCTGGCAATTCTTTAATCCGTCCGTGGTACTCTCTTTTTCCATAATTCTGTCATTGTTACACATTACATTTTTTTCTTTTTCTACTCTAATACATGGGTGATCCCTCTTTTGTAGTGATTCAATTGGGTTATTTCCATAAGATGATTCATTCCTTTTTGTATGATTAATTTTTACCTTATACCTTTGAGTACCTTGGGTAATTTGTAGCACTTTTCCACTTGAATTTATTTTCTCTTCACTCATGTAGAAGGATTCTATGGTTTGAACAGCTCTGCTTGTTATGGAACATGCTGACCTTTGTGGCTCATCTACTTCCTTTGATTCTGACTTGGTGGTGATGATTCCTTTGTCGACATCTTGCACATCAAATCGTGAAACCTCTCCCAATTCGTGATCAGATTTTTCTTCCATACCAGTACTGCACTTATCTGATAACCATGTTGAATTAGGAAAAGGCTCCATCCTCATACTGATGTTATTTTCGCTTGTGAATTGAGTCTCACTGGCTGTGTCAGCACTTTCTTTTGGAACTAGTTTTGTCATTTTCGAAATTGTGAACTTAGCGCTTCCAGATTTTGCACTTCCAGATTTTGCACTTCCAGATTTTGCACTTCCCATTTTTGCACTTCCCATTTTTGCACCTCCCATTTTTGCACCTCCCATTTTTGCACCTCCCAATTTTGCACCTCCCATTTTTGCACCTCCCAATTTTGTTCTCCCCAATTTTGCACTTTCCATTTTCTGAGTGTCCCATTTCGACGTGGTTACCTTTTCGCAACTGTCTTTTTCGTGAATCAACCTTTCAGTAGGCTCTTTCCAACTGATTTTCCTCAACATGGAGGTCATAAAAGACTTTCGATTTGGAGCATCTGTGCTATGGGAATCCCTAATAGAAGGAATATTTTTTCTTTCTTCTGAAGAATAATTTTTATGGCTCACAATGAATTCTAACTCATCTTTCCTCTTCTTTAAGAATACCCTTTCTGATTCCATGAAATGAATTTTTGTCTTGAGCCTCTGTATGACATTATCATATTTTTTTAATTTATCATTTTCTGTTTTTATTTCATTATAAGATGATTTAAGCTGTTCATATTTTTCTGCATACTGTTCATTGATTTTAATTTGCTTAAAATATTCTTGTATTTTTTTTTTTAAATTTTTTTTGGCAGATTTGCTCGTTTTTTTGTATTCTACAAAATGGTTGTTAATGTAACATAATTTTACATATATATTTTTTGTTTTCAGAAAATATAATCCAAAATGTGTATACGTTAAATATAAAAGTGTCGTTAAAAAATTGATGCTTTTTTTTATTGTTTCATCATTATTTTTTATCCTTGCCTTGTGCAATTGTTTATAAAAATTTTCACACACTTTGTTCACATTTTCTTTACTAAATGCGTGTTCAATATCTTCTATGTTATATTCATACTTTCCTCTCTCTAATATATTGAAAAGGCTACTACATTCTGTCTCTTCGCTCGCTTTATCTTTACCACACCTTAGACTCCTGAGGTTGCACTTTTTATGCTTTTTCCTATCTATTATGCAACCATTTATTTTGCTCCTAAATTTGTCACTTCTATTTTTGTTTTTCTCAAAAGGAAAGTCGTTCTCAATTGTATCCCTTCCCCCACAGACATTGTGAAACCTAACGGAATCGACATCTCTGTCATTCTTTTTCTTTAAGCCTGAACTTGTGAAAATGGTGTTAACATTTTTGCCTGACCTGTTCATACGTTTTATTTTGGGTACTTTTTTCTGCTGATTTATGCAGGTATTTTCTGCGTCCTCCGCACTCGCGTATTCCCCCGTAGACGCCTTTTGGAGGTGTGCATACAAGCCACCGGTGCGTCTATCGCTTTGGTTGTCACTTTGGCTGTCCCTTTGGCTGTCACTTTGGCTGTCCCTTTGGCTGTCCCTTTGGCTGTCACTTTGGATGTCACATTGGATGTCACTTTGGATGTCACTTTGGCTGCCACTTCGGCTTCTGCTTCGTCTATCGCTGCTCTTGCCACTTCCGTGGGTGTTCCTTCCACTCGACATTCCTCCATTTTCGCATTCTTCTCGTATGCATGTAAACAAAAAAGTTAACAAGTAAATGAATTCTTTAACAACTGGGTGCAGATTAATGTAACTCTGTTGTGTTGTTTTCTTCAAGACTTCTTCAACATATGCACAATTTTTAAACTTGATATTCTTGTGGTAGAAATCTGTTTCATTTTGGGACATTTCCCCTTCCCCTCTCTCAGTAAGTGGCACCTCTCCTTTGTGCGTATTTTGTTCATAATTCTGTTCATAATTCTGTTCATATTTGTGCTCATATTTGTGCTCATATTTGTGCTCATAATTCTGTTCATAATTCTGTTCATCCTTCTTCTCATAACTTTTATCGAAACTTCGTTCATATGTTATCTCATCGCTGGGACGGGTAGGACTGCTTTTGAAAAGAAGACGTGTACTTCCTAAATCAGATATCAAGTCATCGCTACTATCCTGTCTCTGTTCAAGCTCATTTTCATGTTCCCATTCATGTACGTTCTCGCGTCCATTTTGAATTATGTCTATACCTAGCTATTTTATGTGAAACGTGGTAATTCATGTGATGCTGCTTTTTTCATATCAAAGAGAGAATGTTCTTATGTTGCTTTTTTTTGGCCTATTTTTTTGGCCTATTTTATTGGCCCATTTTATTGGCCTATTTTTTTGGCCCATTTTATTGGCTTAATTTTTTGCCTCTTTGCGCTTCCCCTTCTCTTACGTCTATTAAGCCTTGCACATTCCAAGGACTTTCCCCGAGTTTAGCCTTTATGTTGCTAATAATGTATTTGTCAGCAATTCCTTTCGAAAAGGAAGAAGAAAAAAAATAAATAAATAAAATAAAGCAGCTGTAGAGTTTATCTATTAACAACACACTGCTTTATATGCATGTGTGTGAAACTTTTCCTCTTTTGCCAACCTGCAGTCAACATATCATTGGCATCAACCGACTCAGACCCTTTCTTAAAAAAAAAAAAAAAAGGAAAGAAAAAAAAGTCATACACATGTGTGCATATATATGTACATATATATATATATACGTGTAATTTATGCCCAACACATCAGAAGACACCATCAAAGTGTTGAGTCTAAGCTATTCTACCAAGAACAAATGGTAACAAAAAATTTACAAGTTTTACAAATCTACTATTTGGATATTTGTAAAGTCGTATTTTTCTTTTTTTTTTTTTTTTTTTTTTTTTTTTTACTGCTAGACTAGTTAATAACAACTTCAGCTCGTCTACAACTTTAGGCATGTTTAACAACTTTTTTTTTTATTTCTCTTTTTTAATCAAACTTAAGTTGGAATGAAAATGAAATAGAATAAATGTCATTGGAAGGAAAGGAATTAGAACACTTTTTTTTTTTTTTTTTTTTTTTTTTTTATAAACAATAATGACAATGGATGGGGGATATCATACGCTCAAATGTCAAACATTTCACAAATGGTGTTAAAAAAGAAGAAAAAAAAAAAAAAAAAAAAAAAAAAAAATTTGTGTCACCTATTTTTTATTACTTCTCCTGTTTCCTTTTTGTAAGTACACGTAAATGTATTTGTGTGTGCGAGTTATTTATCGTTTTCGTGCTTGGCGAAATAAATTATGTTTTTTTTTTTTTTTTTTTTTTTTTTTTTTTCTTTTTCGCACTTTCCCATTGTGTCCAGAGTAAAACGTTACAAAGAGGAATAGCATAAGCTTCGAACAAAATTAGGTGACACATGTATTCACAAGAGTTATATGTAATACACAGGTTTAAATGAATTCAAAAAGTCTACGTAGTCTATTTTATCGTCAGTTTCCACGGTGTATGAAAGAAGGTCTATCTGTTCGTCTGTTAGGGGCTTTTTCCTGTAAAGGGGAAAACATAAGAAAATAAAAAGCGTGTACGTGTGTGTGTATGTTCCTGCATAAACATGCGTGTGTATATGCCTGCATGTGTATAGAGATGTATATACACACATGCTGTGATAAAATGTTCCCAGCGATACGTGAAAATTGAACGAATATACATTAACAAAACATTTCATGCAACAGGGATTCGCAACACAGCGGAGGAATTAGTCTCCTCTTCAGTCTGAATTACATTTCATGCTTGTTCTCTTCTAGGATTTTGTTCAACTCCAGCAGAATGTATCGAAAGTGTATACTAGCTATTTTCCCCTGCATCGTGTCTTCCAAGTAGTTCATGCATTTTTTCAAGGCAACTTTGTTTTCGTAAATCACGGTGCATATGTGGCACCATATCTGCCAAATGGGGGAGTGGCAATGTGAAAACGTGGCAATGTGAAAACGTAGCAATGTGAAAACGTGGCAATGTGAAAACGTGGCAATGTGAAAACGTGGCAATGTGAAAACGTAGCAATGTGAAAACGTGGCAATGTGAAAACGTGGCAATGTGACGAAAACTGAATGGCCTCACCTCGTCCACGTAGGAATATTTGCTCTTGTTCACAACGTAAAAGGCTTGCAAAAATTCTAAGAAGTTAATCTTGGACGATTTTGTTATATCTATGGATTTGGCTAGCTGGAAAAAAAAAAAAAAAAAAAAAAACAATAGTAATAGTAATAGTAACAAATGGCTAGCTGAAAACAGGTTTAGCAAAAGAAACGTGTGGGGGAATATGATTTACACATGTCCACATTCTCAATTTTCCCTCTGCTTCCTCTTTTCTTTACCTCCATTAAAATTTCGTCATCCACTTCAAAATCTACATCTTTACTAATCTTATTCATGTCGAAATTTTTAATTGCTCTCACGAAGTCTTCATAATCTAGGTACCCTGTACAGGAGAACAAAAAAAAAAAAAAAAAAAAAAGAAGCAATTGTATATATGCTTATGAGAAATAAGGAGGCACATCACATTATTTCACAGCTTTTCACAGCTTGGGAAAAAAGAAAATTAATGAAATTCCCTATTTTTTATGTCAAGATAAAAAAAAAAAAATGTTAGTCTTATATTTCTTCCTCCTCACCATTTCCAAAATGATCGTAGTTTTTAAACTTCTGAAATAAGGCAACAGATTTAATTACACTGGATCTTTTTCTTCTTTCAGATCCACCTCGTGCATTACTGTCTTCATAAAATTTGTAATGGAAATTAGCTGTGTCTGCACTATCCGCAAGTATATGTTTTCCTATAGTTTCAATAAGTTTGGTTATTTTCTCGTTGTTTACATATTCTTTATTTATGGCTAATCGATAGCATACTCGCATTTTCCCGATAAATTCTGCAACGTCGATTTTCTCATTTTCCTGTACACTCTCCTTGTTACAAAGTGAATTGCTGTTGATCAGTCTAACTAAAATGCGAATTTGTTCATTCGACAGGCCTGCGAATGGGTTTTTGTGTGAAAGCATGTTCAGGGGAAGTGGCTTATCCGGGCTTGTCCCACGAATGTGCCCATACAGGTGTACATGTAAACACATGCACTCACACATATATACGCACAGGAACACACATATATACACACACACACACACACACATGCATGATCTTTAGGCTATGCAGGGATGAATGGCCAATTTAGGGAGGATCCTTCAGTACACACTCTATTCATTAAAGTCGTTATGGACAATGCCATCTCCGTTCCACAAATGGCCACAAGAACTTACCAATGTTTAAGTCCTTAAGCACTTGTTCAAATTCAGAAAAAGAAACTTTCCCATCCAAATTTTTGTCAAATACCATTAAAGTTTCTCTTAAACTCAAATCAGCTTTAAGTAAAGCTTCGTACAAATGCTGGAAGCATTCATTTTTCCATTCCTTGTTAACAAAATTATGACTTGGTTCATAATTTATTTTAAATCTGTTTAATATGCTGTTATAATTAACATGATTATTTTCTATCATTTTTAGTTTTTTGCAAAGATATATCCATGGCACTTTTTTCGTCTTGGTCAATTTTTCCAGTTCCTCCCTGAGCATGCAAATGTGCGATAATGGTTCAAGAAATAAACACACGAATGTGTACGCATACGTTCATATGTATATATATGTATGTGGCCTAAAAGCACCACGAGGACTATCACCACCATGCAAATGTAAATGTGAGCCCTTCCCTTTGGGGAAGAGATGAAGAAATAGAGAGAAAAGGTATTAGAAAAAGTATTAGAGAAAATATTAGAGAAATTATTAGAAAAAGTATTAGAGAAAGTATTAGAGAAAGTATTAGAAAAAGTACTAGAATAAGTGTACTATAATATAGCCCTTTTCTATTCGTATTTTCTCCTTATATATTACCTCCATATATTTATGTGAATTACCCCCGTGTTGTCTTTATCTTGTTTGTATAGATTGTTCCAAAGTGCATTTTTCTCATAGCATATTAATGTACTTAGACAGTTCAGAATATCGTTCATTTGACACTCAGTTGATATTTTATTATTGTTCCTTTGGGCCTTAAAAGAAATGAAATGGGTGGGAGAGTTAGTGCATAAAAAAAAAAAAAAAAAAAAAAAAAAAAAAAACAGAATGATCAAATGGATATGTCCTTTATCCTTCTATACATGCGTTGTATAGATAAAAGTCAGTTCCATTATACATATATATATATATATATATATATATATATATATATATATATATATGCACGCTCTCTCAGTAACACTCCGTCGTACATTCTTTTCCAGATTTAAAATTTTCGAAGAATGTAACACCTTTTCTCGCAGTTTCTGATTTTCTTCAAATGTTTCTCTAATAATGTCAAGGGAAGGAGACATGTACTCTTGCACTTCTAATGTTAAGTCTTGATTAAATACAATGGCTGCACCTAGATTTTTTATTTTATTACAATAATTAGAAGCAGAAAACAAGGTAATACACTTTCCTTCATGATGACTTTCAATACCTTTTAACGTTTTAGGTACTTGATGGGATCGAATTAATATGTCTAAATTGTTGTTTTTTAAAAATAGTTCCGTGATGTCAGGCCCAAATGTTATACAGTTATTCCCTCTTGCATTGCTTCCAATTCCATTTTTTTTTTGTGGATCAGACCATAACAAATCAAAAATAATGGTATCTTCATATTCCTCTGGATGAAGAATCTCATGCTTTTTCCTGTTAAGTTCGTCTATGTCTTTCAGCGTTATGTCTTGGTACCTGCTCAATCCTCCATGCACTACAAAAATCTGATCTGGAAGATTAGTTTGCACACAAAGGGGAGAAGAAATAAATACGTGTGTAAATAAGTGGGGTAAATAAATGAGTACGTAAAGGGGTGGAGTAGGGTTAACGGTGATAAAGGAAATGAACAAAGCAGGAAAAGAGAGGCGGACGAAGACGAGACATGAATTTGTGTAAAAAAAAAAAAAAACTAATGCATGTGGAATTTGACTCATTTGTCAAAAGGACACACCTCAGAGCAAGAACTTGTAAAGCAAATAAAAAATAAGTCAACTGAAAAACAACATGATGAAGAGAAAACCTTACTTTGAATATTCACAGCTAATCCAAGTAACTGAAAAATTCCCTGGAATAGATCGAAAACAGCATTGTCATATTTGGAAAGGACTAAAAAGTAAAAGGAGGCGAAAAAAAAAAAAAAATATAAAATATAAAAATGATAAAATAATAATAATAAAATAATAATAATAAAATATGAACATGTACATACAGATATCGCCACAAGCTAAGAAATCATATTTATCATTTAATAAATGTCCAACATTATGATAAGGACAATATAAATCTAAAAGGAAAAATTAAAGTAGAAATATTTCCCTTTTCAAGCCCACCCTCTCCTTTATTACCTTCATTGTAGAATCCGTAAACTTCGTTCATATAGGAACACTCATGATTCCCTCTGTTAATTATAACACTGTCATAATTGCATAATTTAAAAGTGAAAAGAAGAAGAAATATTTCGGTGGCATTTTCTCCTCGATCTGCTATATCTCCATTAAAGACATATCTGCATATGATAGGATGTAGTTTCACCGGTGGCGAAGGGGTGTTGGTGGGGTGTAATTATTTGTTCTTCTCAAAGGGTGCAAGAGAACACATGTACATGTACTCACACAGGAACATATATGTATATATACACATATGTGTGTTATGTACATTCGATTAAGTATATATGCATATATTTATATATGTATATGTTTTTTTGCCCTTTTTCCTTCTAACATGTTGTTCGATGAAGGTAAACCAAATCGATTGAAGAGCCAAAGGACATCGTTCAGTTGGCCGTGTACATCTCCCAGGACCTTCAAAATAGGGGAATGGGGGTAATGCCAATTTGACAGACACACATACAGACATAATAAAAAAGAAAAAAAAAAAAAAAAAAAAAAAAAAATCAAAAACAAAATCAAAAGCAAAAGCAAAAGCAAAATCAAAAACAAAATCAAAAACAATAACAAAGATGACAACATTCCGAAACTTTAGATATGTCATTATGCAACATCGCTTTGTTACACTTTTTGATGAGCTAATTTGATGGTTTTTTTTTTTTTTTTTTTTTTTTTTTTTTTTTTTTTTTTTTCTTTTTCCCGTACTATGAGCTTAGTATCCTTGGACTTTTTCGTCATGTCCAGATGTATAACTGAACTCTTTATATTTTCCTCTAGCATTTTTTGAGTTTTCATCAGAATTTTACAAACTAAATTGTTCGGAAGGATATACTACAGCGGGACAGAGGCGAATGAGAATGATCATTCAATGAAAACGAAATAAATGAGAGCGAAATAAATGAGAGTGGTCAGCCAGTGGGGACAAAGCAAATGGCTGCATGCTTTTGCTGGTGCAGAAAATGATTTCGATACATCTGTTCATCCCTGTAGACTTACATTTTTTGTTGTTAAATAAAAATGGAAAAGTTCCATGGCAAAGGTTTTGTCAATTTTGTCTTTCAGTATAGGTACATTTTCATCATATGCAGATGGCTGCAAGAGAAGAAAACAAGGAAATGTCGATAAAGAGTAAGTGGACGAAATTAGTCACATATGCATGTATACATATATATGTGTACATGCATATGTGTTTATGTTCTTGCCCTCCATTTGTAGAAAAAAAAAAAAAAAAAAAAAATGAAGATTGACGAATTCGTATGTATATTCTCATATACCTCGTAGGATGTAGTAGAAACTCTAGAGAACTGATTTGAATTACTTGAAAAGCATTTTGAAGAAAACTGAATTTTCCCATTCTTTATATCTTCACTTATCACTTTGATGAGGGGTTTATAAATTTCGCTACGATTGCAAGAGGGAGTGGAGTTAGTGGACAGTCACGTTATCATTTGTGTGGAAAGATGAACTGATAGGTAGGTGGGCAATTGTTTTTTTTTTTTTTTTTTTTTTTTTTTTCTCGCGTATCAGGGTTTTTTCACATTTAGATTCTTTTTATTCGTACTCGTGATTGTTGAGAATCATGTTTTCATGAAGGTGTTCAAATTTTCTCCAGATTAAGGAACATGTAGAGAAATGGAACTCTTTCCTGGCTTTGTATCCTCTAAACGTTTTTTGTATTTTTATAGAAGCGCTTTCTTCTTCTGAAGGGGGTGGAGGTGATGTGGAAGTGACGTGAGCATGATGTGGAAGTGACGTGGGCATGATGTTGACGTGACGTGAGAATGATGTTGACGTGACGTGAGAATGATGTTGACGTGACGTGAGAATGATGTTGACGTGACGTGAGAATGATGTTGACGTGACGTGAGAATGATGTTGACGTGACGTGAGAATGATGTTGACGTGACGTGAGAATGATGTTGACGTGACGTAGACATGGTGTTGACACCTCAGTAGCAACTATTAGAGATGGTGCACTGGAGAACATTACCTGAGAATGGCCTAATCGAATTTCGAGAACAGAATATGACGAGGACTCCATTATCTGGGGTGAATATCCTTTCGTTTTTATACACACCATCTGTGTACCCATTCCTATAGACAAATTTTGCTACATATATCTTTTTGGGTTCTGAATTATTTTTTCCAGTTGCAACATCTTGAATATGTTCTATTGTTGCCTTATGGCCATAAATCATGACAGTATCATTAACGTTTACATTTTCCATTTTTGATAGCTGGCATGTGATGCTGATTTGTGTGTGGGATTGATCCGTTCTGCACGTCTATCTCGTATACATGTGGAGGTGTTCACAGTGAAGAATATTCGTAGATGCTGAAAAACTGTAATTACAACACTTTATAGAAGTGTGTATGGAAGTGTGTGTAGAAGTGTGTATAGAAGTGTGTAAATATGTATGAATGTGTGTGTGCGTGCTTTTGAGAATTTCTCAAATTCAAAGTGAATCTGTGTCTGAATTTCGCAAATTTAGCAAAGCAAAGAAGAACAAAATAGGATGAAGAGGACGGAAAAAATAATAAATGAAACAAAATCATATGGAATATGAGATGACCAATCGAATAACGTTTTAATAGAAACGATCAAATTGAAATCGCAGCGTAGAACAATTCTGTTGATGTGCACATTCGCGTCAGTCACACATAAGGAAGGGGAGAAAAGTCTGCTTTGCTTCTTTAGTCCGATTAGTTCATTTCACCCAATTTGTTCGTTTTTTTTCAATTTCTTCATTTTGTATACTTCTCATCTGGAGAAGCAATAAACATTTGCGTATTTTTGCAAAATGAAAAAAGAAGAAAATGATGAAAAAAAAAAAAAAAAAAAAGACACCGGAAAAAGGGAGTAAAGACAACTTTTCTTTTTTTTTTTTTAAAATGAAAAAACACATTTATGAATGCACTTTATTTTTTAATGTGCAATCGAGTGAAGAAAATGTTTTTAAATTGCTACGTTTAAAACAGTGACAACGGAAAAATGTTAAAAAAAAAAAAAAAAAAAAAAAAAAAAAAAAAAAAATAAAAAAAAAAGAAAAAAAAAAAAAAAAAAAAAAAAAAAAAAAAAAAAAAAAAAAAAAAAAAAGAAGAAAAAAAAGAATATTTATACATACACATATGCACATTATGCATATATACATGTGAACAATATACTCAAGCGTTATATATGGAGACGTAAGAGATGAACTATTTTTTTTTTTTTTTTATCTCTATCCCAACTACTTTGCTTATTTTCCAATCGTTACTTTGAATGGTCTTTTTTTCCCTTGCTTTTCCTTTAAGTACTTCTGTTATAGTGAAGAAAAAAAAAAAAAAAAAAAAGGAGAAGAGTGTGTAATCAATGATAATAGTGGTTATGATGATACTAGTACTGGATGTAATATTGTGGAGATTATCACAATGCCAAAAAAAAAAAAAAAAGCTGATGGCATGGAGTAAAAGTTTTGTTGTAATAATGTGCCACTTCATTTCCTGCTCCTCTTTGCTACACATCCATGCATAGGAATGTTCCATGGGAGTGTTGCATATGTATACACTTATTTTTTTGCCAATTCTTTTGCCCATTTTTTGCCCATTTATTTGCCCATTTATTTGCCCATTCATTTGCCCATTTATTTGCCCATTCATTTGCCAATTTTTGTTTATGCCTTTCCAGCTCTGCTGCCACACTCCACTCTTCCATATGCACCACATATCAGAAGCTGGTTTACCTGCACACTGAATTTCGAGTCGTACGGACGCTTTTTTTCGTTTTCCATAGGATTTATCATCTGTGCATGGGGAGAAGGAAAATGTTCCACGTTCAGATATAGCTTTCCTTAAAATGGAAAAAAAAAATAACTACAAGTTATTTTTGAATATACATATATACAATGAAAAAAGAAGAAGGGGGTTTGTAAAAATCATGTAATGTAATTCAAAAGAGGCAATTTGTAACACGCAGTGGGGATTTGTATGAAAATATTTACATTCTTCTTTATGTCTTCATATTCGTATGCCTTGAAAAAAAAAAAAGAAAGACATGTAACATGTTTGTACACGCATGTGTAGTATCCTTTTTACAAGTGAAAATACTCTTGTGTAAAAAAAAAAAAAAAAAAAAAAAAAAATATTCTTACATTGGTAGAATCAATTTTGAATTTCAATCCCTCAGTGTTTAGCCAATCGTGTTTCACCCCTTGACTTTTTTCTCCTAAAAAAGGGATACACATGTGCATCCATATATGCATATATATATATATATATATACGTGTGAATGTGTGTTCGGGGAGAGGTTCCACTCTCATGTCATATGAATACATGGGCGTGCTATGGAAAATGGTGTAACCACTCATCACCCCTTTTACAACTAACCGTCTCCAGAAAAAAGATCCTTCAGTCTACTGTCGAATTCTTCTAATTTTTTCAAAGACTAAAAATTATGTGTGTTTTGAGGTGAGGGAGGAGGAGGAAAATTTTTCATGAATGTAAAAATTTACTCATCATATATTTGCAGTGTATATATATATATATATATATAAACTAACACACGGGATCTGTGTACATAAAAATAAAAAAAGAAGAAAATGATGAAAACAAAATAAAAAAAAAAAAAAAAAGATACAACAAACAGAGTGCATCATTCATAGTGGATCTTTCACAACTGATAAAAAAATACACGACATTTAGCCGCTAACCTGTTTTTCTCTTTCCGATTTGGACATTTTTTTGTACTTTTTCATCTTCCTTAAGTATGCATCATCCTGTGCGTAGGGGTGTAATACAAAAAAAAAAAAAAAAAAAAAAAAAGGTGGATAATGTGTAGACTCAGTGTCAAGAGAAGTGGCGTGTCCACTTTAATAGAACCCCTCCAAAGGTTCAAGTAGGCAGCGGTACAATTATGTTCACCCAGATATATATATATATATATATATATATATATATATATATATATATGCGTATCCATCTGCATGCAGATGCATGTTAGTACGCACCAAGGTTACCAAATCCCGAATGCCCGAATGGTTTTTCTTTTTGTTCGTTGCAGATTTTTCGATATCTTTTGTTCTTTTTTTTAACATATTTATTTTGTCCACATCTAGCTTGTTGTCATTTTTGTTTATTTCAGGGTTCTCCTTTTGCGTTCTTTCTTTTGGACACGCTTGGATTGTCATTTCGCTCATGTCGACGCTTTCGCGAGGTGTGTCATCCGTTCGTTCTCTCGACAACTGCTCTTCGTCCTGTGCTGATTGGATTGTTTGGTTCCATTTTTCGTGGTGATAATGGGATCGGTCAGGTAGAAGTGGAGCATGCGCAGCCACATCAGCAGAAGTCACACCGGCAGAAGTCACATCAGCAGAAGTCACATCAGCAGATGCAGCCTCTTCATCCTCCACCTCGTCATAGCCAAATGAGAGTAAACTGCTTTTCAGCTTTTTTGTGCTCTTTGTCACTATCTCTTGTGCTGAAGTGTCTCTGTCATCCTTATCATAGTTTGCATAAGGAACTAGATGATGAAAAGGATTTTCAACGATTTTAATATATTCAATGTATGGAATATCTTCTATCGGTTCGTCATTCTTATTTGTTTTTATATTATTAAATTTCAGCAAATTATATATGCTATGCTTTGCTACCTTTCCAAACAATGTACTTTTGTTATTCAGATATTCTGCCTTATCCAAAGTTATAAAAAATTGACTCCCATTTGAAGGTTTTTCTATATTTAAATTTGCAAAAGATATGCAACCTGTGTATAAGAATTTCAAACGGCTGTTGTATTCATTCTTAAAAGGTTCCTTGAATGCGTATTCATTGTCTACATTGGGGATGAATGATGTATAGAACAAATGTGACAGAAAGTAAAAACGTGCTTTGTTTGGATCTCTATCTCTCCGAGAAAGTGTGTGTATGTGGGTATGGGGGTTAAGGACACGTGGGAAAGCAGATGTGCATACACTTGTGCATACACATGTGCACACACGCATGCATGTACACTCCATGGATGCGTATTCTATGGATGTATATATATATATATATATATATTGTGTATTCCCTCTGAGAATACCATTTGAGTAGGGCATCTACCCCACTCGCATACATCTGTCACACAACGAGAAAATGGAACTCTCTTCATTCTTACGCAGTCCAGTATTCGTGTGATCGCCTGTTTGAATTAGAAATTTTGGAATAACTCGGAAAAATTTATTCTTGTTATAATAGTTATTTAAACATAGCTGAATGAAATTTTGGCAAGCTATTGGACATTCGTTACAAAAAAGTAAGACCTCTAATTCTCCTAAGCTTGTGTAAATAATTACTCTTCCAGATGTTTTGGGTTCTATACTATAAACTTCCGACATGTCTGTTTTCAAGGACCTTGGATGCTGTTATTTAATATATATATATATATATATATTTTTAATTTTAGAATTGCACTCTTGGATTTATTTATTTATTTATTTTTTTTTTTTTTGGAGTGGGATTAATTGTAGATTTTGCTTGATAAAAATTGTTCCAAATGTGTGAATGATTTCGATCGTTAAGCACGATCGTACGCGAAAATTCCACTTTTTTACATTTTAATTGTTAGGCGTCCCAACGCTACAGAAACGAGGTACTATTGTACAAATGATAGAAAAAAAAATATATGCATAAAGATATATGCATAAAGATATATGCACAAAAATATATGCATAAAGATATATGCACAAAAATATATGCATAAAAATATATGCATAAAAATATATACCTACAAATATGTACCTGCAAATATGTACCTACAAATATGTACCTACAAATATGTACCTACAAATATGTACCTACAAATATGTACATACAAACATATATATCTTCGTTGATTTGACCCTTCAAATTGTGTAAAACCACACGGCCACTTATGCACGATGTTTACGCATTCGACATTGCTATTTTTTTAATTCTGTCACTTTTGATAATTGTGAAAAATGGTGAAAAGAGGAGAAGCTATTCCTTTTGCACTTAAATAGTTCAGCTTGTGGTAAAATTATTTTTAAAGCACGTTGATCCTAGATAAACAGTCCTGCCCTGCTCATCTAGCTGAAGTAAAAAATTTTTTTTTTTTTTTTTTTTTTTTTTTTCCCCTGACTCACAGTATATGAGTTCTGATGAGAAGTAGCCCAATTTCCGTCTTCATCTTCTTTCGGGAGGTTCATGAAATAATCTTCTTAGAACATTAGAACGTTAGAACGTTAGAACATTAGAACGTTAGAACGTTAGAACATTAGAACGTTAGAACATTATAACATTAGAACGTTAGAACATTATAACATTAGAACGTTAGAACATTATAACATTTGTAAGTTTACACATTTGCACAAGTGAGAAAGTAACCATATATAAGTAATACATGGTAGATGGGGAGTAGTAGGAATTTTGGAACAGGAAATTATTCACATGTTAAGTTTAAATTGTATACAAGGAGAAACCAGGCCAAATTTGGCATTCCAACCAAAAGTGTTTTGTGTGAAAAGTTTTTTATATTCAGTTGGTGCATACCCTCCCTATGCAGAGGTGTACATATATATGCACTTATATATACATGTACACATGTAGATGCGCGAAGGAAAGCACATTAGCAACACCTTCCATTGAAGTACATGTAACATGCTTGGCAACCGCTAGCCAATCCATCACACGTGGTCTCAATTCTTTTTACTGTGTTCAATAAAATTTTATAACACAACGAAACACACTTGTAAAGAAAGCTACAAAAGCAAGCTAGCATTATTATACTGATACAAAAACACATATAATCGTTGTTCTGTCCCGATAAATTTTTACATGAGTAGTATGTTTGATGTCCAAATATTTATGCACAAGTAAAGTTACTCTTTTAAAACTTCTGACCATCATGCATAATCTGAATGACATCACTTCTGACCATCATGCATAATCTGAAAGACATCACTTCTGACCATCATGCATAATCTGAATGACATCACTTCTGACCATCATGCATAATCTGAAAGACATCACTTCTGACCATCATGCATAATCTGAATGACATCACTTCTGACCATCATGCATAATCTGAATGACATCACTTCTGACCATCATGCATAATCTGAATGACATCACTTCTCACCATCATACATAATCTGAATGATATCACTTCTCACCATCATACATAATCTGAATGATATCACTTCTCACCATCATACATAATCTGAATGACATCATTTATCACATTTATAGCATTGATAAAAAAAAAAAAAAAAGTGTCATCTTTTTGTTCCTAAAATTTGCTATGCACTCTGTTATATATATGTAAATTTTGATCAAATTTTCTCAAAAATTTGATGCTAAATATAGCATAAAAAAAATAATTCATAAATGTTTCTTTTTTTTTTTTTTTTTTTCTTTTCCAAATCTCTATTGCTGTTTATAAAAATTAGCTTACATAGTAAGTCGAAAGGGTAAAACAGAAATATGCTTACATCCCCACACACACACACAAAAAAAAAAAAAAAAAAAAAAAAAAAAAAAAAAAAAAAGAGAAAAAAAAAAAAAAGCGCACACCAAAAAAACAAAAAATAATATGTAGACAAAAATATCACAAGTGA